TTCCGCCGCCAGTTGATCGGCCACATGAGATGCACGCAGCACAAGGAGCTAGTTTTGAACACAATTAACTTGCTCTTTGTGTTTTCTTAAAAATTTACTTCGCTTTTAAAGAAAGTGCAGACCGAATGTATGTTTGTTTGATAACAAGGTCAACAAACATGTCATCTGATATTTGACTATAAGTAACCGATTCGTTTATCACTCGTTACCATGTTAAACAGTGTAACAGGCTGGGTATTAATTATGAATACTAACTTATATTATTAATATCATTATTTTATATTATTAGATTATATTGTAAGCGCTGGTCACACTTCTGATCGGTCGAGAGAGGATGTGCTCTCTCGAGAGAGTAAGAAGCTGGGAATCATAAGAGAACACAATAAAGAAGATCCTGATACACTTGCTCTTTGTGTTTTTTTAAAAATGTACTTCGCTTTTAAAGAAAGTGCAGACCGAATGTATGTTTTATTGATAACAAGGTCAACAAACATGTCATCTGATATTTGACTATAAGTAACAGATTCGTTTACCACTCGTTACCATGTTAAACAGGACGAACAGGCTAAGAAATAAGATTTTCTCTGTGCTGGTGTCCCCGGGAAGGAGACCCTGGTAAATTAATAGCGTGGACCGTTGTTTGCCTGCCACTCAGTCGCCCTGTTTGCATAGTGCTCTCCAGCTTCTGCCTCACTTTTCACGCTTTCCAAGCCGAAGTAACCGACTCAAGTGACATGTATTTGCATACACGCGTTGAGCAAACGCAAACTCAGAGAAATTCTTACAGCACGGGATTTAGGATGCGATACAAGTATGCCAGTAATAAGGTTTATATTACGGAAAAGCACATTTGGGATCTGGGAACTTTCTTCTGAAGTCCCATAATTTTCTTGTTTTTCTTTAGCTTATGTGGCCACTTAAGTTGCCCCACCTTATCCTACTGTTTTCCTATTAGCAGCAATTTTTTCATAATAAGCAGCAATTAAAATAAAATTAGTCACAAAAACTAAATGTACATAATATTGTTAACAGCAAAATTTATAGACAACATCCAAAACTTTAAGATGTTGTACCTACAGTGAAGAGATTTTTTTGATTTCTATTTTCAATTGAATTTAGCAATTCTTAAAAATGAAAAGTTGCACATTAGATTTTGCATAATGTAGACCATTAGACACATATTTTAGACAAAACAAATTTCATATGGGCGTATGTATACGGCTTTAATGTTGTACATATTCCGTCAGTTAGATTGTCATTTAGTGTGTCATTCAGCTAGTCAGTCAATCAGGATTGCAGCTGCCACAAACGGCACACAGGCTATAACAATGGCGAGCATTGAACAATTTACTGGATGCGTTCGCCCGACTGAGTGTGTCAGTATTTGTGCGGGGATACATTGTACGAACAGGATTTACTGTCATCGTCAACGCCATTGTCCTCTTTGTCAATTTACGTCCCGATCAAGGATGGGCGGCCCCCTTCTCTGTTTGCCCAAGTCTGGTCCGGACTCCGGAGCTGGGTCGCCAGTTCCACTTTCATTAGTCAATGCGGCGGTGTTGCCGCTTTGTTTCTGACATCCCAATAAGCGCACGTGCTCTCTCCACGATGTCCCGAATTGAAAGTGCGAGGTGGGTGGTGGGAGGTGGGAGTTGGATGGCAAGTGGTCGGTGGTAGGTGACCAAGTGGGTGGTGCTGGCTGATGTGGCGCCATGCGATGTGGTGCGGCTTATGATGCCTGGCCGAGCACTGATGGCTGCCTGTCTGTCAGTCAGTGGCGCTGGCAATGTGTGTGCAAATAGGTGGAACCACGCAAGCGGAAGTCAAACCGAGGGTTGGGTTGCCTCCAGGCATTTAGAAAAATCCATAGGTTGCTCAATTTTTCCCAATCTAGTAACAATTGAACCATTTTTTGTGCCTGTCTATGAAAAGTGCAGATATGCCGTAAAATTGCAAATCAAATTTCTTGTGAAAAGTTTCTAAATACATATATTAAAGTTCGATCTGATTAATTAAGTAGACAAAAGCTCTAGGATTCAAGGATTAACACGCCGTTGAACGACCATGCATATCATCTTGCGTTGTGATAATTTTCGATATCAGCATTTAATTTAAGGTACATAACAACTTAACAAATAAAAGAGAATCTCTTAGAAGAGTATCAACAGTCTTATGCATCTACCCATAAATGTCCGTATAAGCGTCAAAACTTTTAAAAGTAAATAAAGCTTTAGATCTGACAGTTTGCAAGTGTCTGCATAGACACCATTTTATGTATTTGTTCGTCTCATGAAATCGTGGGGAGCAATTTACTTCAATTTAAGGAGAAAACACGAACCCAAAACGTACTAATTCCAATAGTGCCATAGTGTATTTTGAATTCTGTGTTGTTTTTTTAGTGCAACGAATGGGAGGTTGGGCAGCACAAATGGATATAGGACCCTGTTCGCATCCTGTATATCGTGTGCATCGAACCGTTAACGGCAGACAGTTCAGCAGTGGAGCAAAGGAACACTGGAACAGTGGAGCAATGGAGCAGCTTCACAGCTGCGGTCACATGCAGTCCATAGTTTTCACTGAACAGAACGGGGAATCGAGTCAACAATCCTCCATGGGCCACACACATCGCAGCCCCCTTCTGTGCCAGCTAACTGGTTTGTCGTTCGACTGTCTGCATTGTAGACGTTTTCAGCGGAAATTGATTTTCGTACTCCGACGCCCTGCCACCCACTTGTGGGCGGTAATTTATGAGGGCTTCTCTAGCAGACAACCTCGGGGTATATAGTACTGAGAACCAACTTGCAGTTTCACCGCCTCTGTCAATTAAAGCTTCTACCCCACCATCCTCAGCAATTGCAATCAGTTGACATTCAAGTGAAACCTTAAAACGGTCGATGGCTGGGTGGTTTTTGGGTGGTGACTGAAATCACTTCCCAAGGACACACAAAGAGCCAAAGACCAAAGAACGAGCCAGTTGCAGTTGATAAAAGGAGATCTCTCAGAAACACAATGCGCAGCTCACAGCCATTTAATTATTTCCGCCCACCGCCTACGTTAGATTTAATTTGCCCAGACTGTTACCTCGGATTCCGATTCATTAAAATCATATCAAAGCCGTCGAAAGCAGCAATTTATCTATTTCATTAGGTCCAAGCGATTTCTCGACCCGCACTTAGCTGCCAGGACAATGCCTTTGCTTGTAAATTTCTTGGTAATTTACCTTAGGTAAAGGTCGGAGCCAAAATATTTGCATATTGATTAAGCTATAAGCTGGTTTACAGGATTTCCAAGGAATTTTACAAAGCATTAATTGAACAACAGGATTAAAGTGATTAGGATTTCAGGTAGCGCAATACATACATGACTTTACAAAAACTTAATTAGCCCTGCATAGAAAATATTAATAATCTGGCAATATAATTAAGAAAATATAAGTATAAGTAAAAGACCTAGCTCTTATGTGTGTATAGGAGGTTTGGAATACCGCTCTTCTAAATATACTATATACCGTATATATCTCGCATATATATACTAGAAATATATACTTGTAAAATCCTTTTTTTTTTTTTTCATTTTAACATTTACAAAAATAATATCATTTTCACGCACAATCGTTTATTGGCATTCCAAACTAAGTAGTCGTTTGGAATCGTCCTGATAAGGACCAACTTTTGCAGACTTTTTGAAATACCGTTCAGCTCATTTAAATGCAATTTGCAGCGTTCCCTGAACCCCAAAGACTGTCTGGTCTGTTTTGGTTGGGTTCGATTTTGTTTTTGTGGCCCAGACGCTGCTAATTGATTTCTCATTAGTCCAAAGCGGCCTTTATAGGAAATTGGTTGACTTGAGTCAAACGGGCCAAAGTGTTGCCTAGTTTTCGGGGCCCCAAATTGGACGTGCACAAAAATGTGAAGTTGGAGTCTTGGCAGCCACAAAGGGAAAATCTGATAAGTTAGGGCCGCCAAGGACCAAATAGCGAAATTGTTGTATTTGCCTCTGGCCTTTTTACGCCATTCTTTTTAGTTCCATCGATTTTTGTGCTGTGTGCGCGCGAGTGTGTTGGTATTTGGTCCTGCCAAATTGAGTTCGAATGCTGCGCGAATGGCCGGGGTTCCTGGGACAGCACAAGTTGATACAACTTGGGTAGCGACCGACTTGGCGTTTAAGTGTGATTCCTTGTAGGTGTGCCAGTGTGTGTATCTGCCTTGTTGCCCTGTTTGTTTTCCACTTCAACTCTGCCTGGGCCTAAGGTTCAACAAATTCGTTCTCTCATCTCACTCTCGTCCTGTTTTCTCTTTGTCTTCCGCTGTCTCTTGCTCTCCGTTTCTCCCTCGCTTTCTCTCTCTCACTCGCATTCTCAGGGAAGCTTAACATTTTTCGTGCCTAAGTCAAATAATGCGCTAACACATCATTTCACACTTAAACGCTGTAAAAATATGCATAAAGCTTTTCGCCCATACTTGGTTCACGGTAAATGTACAGGATCACTTCTATATATCGAATTCTAGACGATGAAATAATCCATGACTCTAACTCTCAACTTTATCTACTCTACTCTAAGCTTCAAATATATATAAAGCGTTGAAAATTAAGCATCTAATACAAGTTCTATACGATAAAACGCAATTTCTTCAAATAAAAGAAAAATTGGCTCCCACCGTAAACTTTAAAATTGCATTGCTCGGAGACTCGAATTATCTTAATCAAGTTACCAATTAATCGAGTTGAATGTTCCTCTTTTAAAAGCTTTACAGTGGAAATTGCTTGCCCGCTAGCTGACAAATGTTTACAATATTCTGTTAATTGGACTGTTCTTTGTTTAGTTTTTGCCATATTTACTTTGTTGGGATATGTTTACAAACAAATTTATTTAATATGTAAATTAAATTTTATAAATTTCTGTACACTCATTTCAATAACGTTTTTAATGCCCAAAATGGTGGTTGCAATTATGGGGGCTCGACTGTCGATATGAACGTGTGTCTGTATGCGTTACTTACATATCTCAATTGCTGTCGCTTGTCTGCTCACATTTGGCGGTTGTCACTGTTGTTGTTCGTCGTTTTTCTTGGCCTTATTGTTGTTATTGCATTTCTTGTATTTGTAGTTGCTGTGCGTTGGCAGCCAGCATCAATCTCTGTCCAGCATTTTGGCATCTTTATGGTTCGTTTTTCCTTTTCTTTTTTCGGCTCTGTTTGTTTGCCTTGCCTTTGGGCCACACACCTCAGCGTTGTTGGGTTTATTTTATATTTATTTCGTGCCGTGGGTTTTTTGGCCAAAAATATGAACCTGCTTTGAGCTGTGTGTATGTGTGTTTGTGTGTATTTGCCTTGATATTTTAAGTATCCTGTTTGCGCTGTTTGCTGCGGCTGCTGCTTCTAATTCCTCCGTTGCCTACTTACGCGCCCGCTCTGCTTCTTTTTCTTGGTTGCCCCCTTGTTGTTGAGCATTATTTGCGTAAATAGAATTTACGTCGGCGCTTTTGTGTTGGTAAATTAACTTTGATTACTTGCTGGTTGGGCTTCTCTTTGGTATTATTATTATAGCAAAAATATATAAAACACTCACGACTTTGGTGCAAATAACAAGGTGCAAACTAAAGCTAATTTATTTTCGCATTCTCACAGTCACTCACTCTCGCATTCTTTCTTTCTTTCACACACTTAAACAGTTAGCCTGCATTGATGTATTGTCTCGCTGTTTCCACTTCTTCATCCGCTTAAATTTCACTCAAGTTAGCTTTCTCCTATCTCCCTGCTATCCTCTTCCTCCTCCTGCCTCTCCTTCTCTCCTCCTTGCCTATCCCAAAGCCTTTGTTGTTGCGATAGTAAAGCTGCGCTCTTGTGTGTTGTGTTGTTTTTGCTGTGGCTGCTCTTCGCCTGATACGCTTGTGTTATTATTGTTGCTGGCCACCACAGCTGCTGCTGTTTTTACTGCTGCTGCTGCTGCTTTTTTTACTGATGCTGCTGCACGCGCCGCCTCGGTTAGCACGTGCTGTTGGCCACGACGTCAACGACAACCGCCTACGCACTGCAGGCGCCAAATCGGCGACGCTGGAATTTCAATTACAATTTTCATAGACCCGCTCGCTCCATGGTAGAATAAATATAAGGTAGTCTCGTCGGCTCTGTCAGTCCGATAACAATACTTCAAATGAGCGTGAGTAAAAGGGTGTTTTCTAAAGAGTGCGAAAGAAACAGCTTCAAATTGTGTTCTCTAGACCTTATGGGGTGCATGGGGTTAATAAATTGACTGTCATAATACAATGAGTACATTTATTTGTATATTTTTTTTTTTTTGCAGTCGTGGCGAAAAGAATTATCTCCCATAGGTTTGCCTTGCTAAACATTTTGGTGCATTTACAAATCGTACGCCTTCCACGTGCTTGCAAAAACTGCAACAAGTAATTTTTTTGCGCACAAGGGCTAGCATTAATTTAAAATCGTTTCCACACTTTCAGTTTAAAAGCAAGCACAGCTAACGGACTGAACCCTATCGATTTGGCAGCCGACAAGACTACCTTGTTCTTATTCTACTATGCCTTACTCTACCGCTAACTAAGCACTTTCTCTTTAGTGGTAGGTTATCCCGCGGTAAGAGAGGGCTTCAAGCTGAGCCTCAAGCTAAATTTTCCAGGCAACTGGAGTTCTCAAACATTTAAGTGAACTGACTTATAAAAGCTTGTGGCTTTTAATTACACGTGAAGGTTAAAGCTTGAATTTCTAGTTAAATGATATTTAGCTTAGAGTCACTAGGAACTAGACATGTAGTCTTATTAAAGGATTACACATTTGCAAAACTTGCTAAAGCTGCTTGATAAAAAAAACATGGAGAATTTGGTAAGATAATTGCGAACTGATTAGGAATTTTCAACTAAACAAGTAAAAAATGTGATTTTACTAAAAGAAAGCCAAATTTTCCAGGGTTGTGCACTTGACGTATGAGCAATATTTACAAAAAAATTTTTAACACTTTGTGTTTGAGAAAATTTTTTCAAAATGTGGCAACCCTATTTAAGGAAACAAGAGTGTAAGAAAAGAGAAAGAGAGTAGACTTTCTGGGAGCAATCTCACCACACATCCGATGGCTATGGAAGGAAAGTGAAAGCCATTTGCCGGCTGACAGCTTATTCTCTCTCTTGGCCTGGGACTGGTTCCCACACCACCCCCGAAAAGGTGAGTGAAATAGGTAGAGGTTAGGGGGGAGGGTTTTTCAGCCCCCCGCAAAAAAATGATCCCTAGCTTGCATAATGCGCTTTGTGTTCAATTAATATTCATTGTCGTCGTTGTCTGCCATTTGTGTGTGTTTATTCTTCTTCCGTTTGAATGTGTGCTGTTTATCTCATTTAAGGCGCTTAGCCTCTCCCTTTTACTCACTCTTTCTTTCTCTTTCTGTCCGCTTCCCTTACGGCACTCACAGCTGAGCAAAAACAAAAGCTAAAGGATAACCATGCAACAACAAGTGAGGAAGTCATAAATTTAGCCAACGGTTAACAGGTGCGTTTGTAGTGTTCGCCCTTAAAAGAAAATAAATGCAACTGGGGGCATGCAATAGTGTGTGTGTGCAGTAACTTAGAATTGAAACCATAGAAAGTTAGCTATTTAGTTTTGATATGATTTAATCCTTTTTATTTATATTATTAATTATGTTTTCTGAAAACGTTTTTTATTTTTTAAATTGCAATAACGTTTTTCACAAAACCGGTTCTGGATATGGATATAGTCAATGTTTTAATATTGAATAAAGAAAAAGCTCTAAACATTGCTATCTTATTAAGCCTTTCGCTTCGCATTAATAACCTTGTTCATTAAATTCTTAAAAAATCTACAAAAACTATCTTGATAACTTTTCTAACTTTTCCACACTAATTGTCGCAAGAAGGAGAGATAGCCGCGCCAGCACTTTCAGCAGCTCTTTTTTATCTCCTGACCGGTGCTCAATTTATCATGCAGTGGTCACAACAGACTCACCGTGATATCCTTGCCAAGCTGCTGCAACTGGAGCGACGAGGTCCTCGAAGTGCACTGCTCAACGGCTAAGCCCCAATTCAAAGTCACGGCCAGAAGCGACAGCCGAGGGCATTCGCTAATCGAAATTCCGCAAAGTAGTGTCGCTTTCGGTGGAAATTTATGCAGAAATGCGAGCAGTGAGTCAGCGGGATTTCAGCAGGGAAAAACTGAGTGACGCGCTGACAGCGGAGCTTGGAAAACTCCGTTGGCAGGCAAGCCTGTTGCATGCCACCAATGTGACCCACTAACCAACGGCCCACCACCCACCGACTGAGTGGCAGCTCGACGTGGCGTTAATAAGCGCCTTTTCCACGGAAAATCCTACTCGAGTGGCACTCGAAATGAGAGTGCCCACAATGCCGTTGTTTAATTAAAGCTTTTATTTCAGCTTGTCCATTAAGTTTGAATCTAAACAAACACTCTGACCCCTTGGAAAATCCCAATTGGTTAATCACATTCGAAATCAAAAAGCAATAGATAAAGTCCCATATCTTTGTTAAGGACATTGAGATTTAATGACAGATAAAGGCTTAAATCTTGAATAGTATACCATATTTTAGGGCTGAAGATAAATTCAGAGTGAAGAAGAAACTTTAGGCTCTATAAAAATATGTGTAATTTGGATCCGAACTACCAGTATACGATGTAACTTTTATAGGAAAACCGAGATTCAATAACATGTGAAAAATATTATTTTCCTATAACAATCTTTTTCACTAGTGAACAAAACGATATACCTTTTTAAGTTCGCTTATAAAATGGATTAAAGTTACTACAAACCACCGTTAGTAATGACAATACTTACTCTGTAAGCAATTCATTTCTTTCAGAAGAACTTGGTTCCCAAGCTTTGATGGAAGTACTAATTAAATTTTTTGCTTACAACGCTACTATTGTTAACCCTTCTAGACCATTCCAAGGTTGTAGTTGTGTCTCGCCCCGCCTACAATGGACCAATGGCATATTGAGAGTGCAGCAAGTTGCCGACGGCAGCGAGAAATGCCATAAGGACCCCAAAAGTTTCCACTTTCCACGCCGCACTAATCGGATTTCATTTAATTAGTTGCTCAAAGGCAGCGAGCTGCAGAAAGTGGAAAATACCGGTGGCAACAACAACTATAAGGACTGCAGAGACAAAGCACTTTTTCATTACAATTGGCCAGGCAAAGAGGCCAGATTGCCGCATGTCGCGCGGCAAATTGTCAGGGGCTAAGCTTTGATAAAGTGCGCACTCGAAGGACTCAAAAGGCGATGAATAAAAAAGCTAAGCTTGGCCAGGCGACAGGCGAAAAGAAGGGAATTTTCCCCGAAACAAAAAGCAGACAAGAACATTTATAAAACGTGAATCGTGAACGGCATTTTGTTTGTGTTTGTCCAGAGATAAAATAACACATACTGGGTTTATGCGAAGCGGAAATAGAATAACTGAACCAAAAGTTGAAATGATACAATATTTTTTTGCGTTTTTCTATTAATAAAAAAAATTAAACAAAAATCCATAAATCTGCCAATATAAATAATATGACTCACCCTAACCTTGTGACAAATTTACTAAGTCCTAATTGGACTTTAAAGGCTCAAAAAATATATTTGAGTACGCCTCATAAATTTTTAATTGTTTATCTTTCATATATAAATAAATAGTATTAATTATATTAATAAATAATAGGTTATGTGTTAAAATCCAAGTAAACGACATACAAAATGTTCTAATGGTAGACTTATTATAAATTTGTTGTGACACCTTTTAAAATATATAATTTTTTTAGATAGTAAGATAAATAAATTCAGTGCATGAACCAAAAAAGACCCTCTCCTGCTTTCTCTCAACGCAGGTCAAAGTTTCTCGTTGAAAGTTTCACACGGGAAATAACGGGAAAAGGCGGTGGGTGGGGCTCAGGTAACTGAATCGTTGCCTTCGCTGATTTCGAGCAAATTGGCTCTGTTTACGTATGTGTGTGTGTGTCTATGCGTGTGAGTTGGGTTTTTGTTTATGGAAAGTGTTATTGTTTGACTTTGAACTTTCCGCTTGTTTGCCGTCCTTTCGCCTGTATGTGTGCTTTGGACCAAACCCGACAATGGCCCAAACAATATCATAAAATTTAATGTGCTCATATTTCATGGGCCAACAAACGCACGCACGCACAGTATTCTAAAAAGTGGATTCAAAAACCCAGGGATGGGCAAATATATAAATCATTCAGCCAACTTTATCACTTTATTTTAAAACGAACTGCCGAAATGATTGAAACGTTTCAGCCAAATAAAACGGATTTACATAAACGTGTTGCGATTTACATCACATTTACCCTTTTTTTTTAGATATACTGCCGTAAATGGGTTTTTAATAGGTTTTAATTTCGGTGACAACAAAACAGTATATTTTTGGGAGTTACATTTATTTTCAGCTTGGTGATATCAGCAAGCCAATTTATCTACAAATTGCGTTGTCAAGCCTTTATCTCTTTACCATTAATTGATGTGTTATTTATTTTACCGCTTTCAAACTTGAAAAGTATATATTTTGTGCGACCTTTGATAACATGTTTTGCATTCAACTATTACTTGAAAAATGCTTTTAACATTTTTATATGACAGAATAGATATATTGGAAGTTTTTGTTTTGTGTTCGAAGCCAAACAGTATTTATATGACTAAGATAGTGTTTTAACTATTAACATTTAACATCTTGGCGAAAATAATCTAATTTGATTTCGACTATTTAGTAACTCACAAAAGAATTTAAATAGTTCATACATATATGGAGTTAACTTCATATATTTTAGTTAACTTAACTTAAATAAATTATTCTCCAAGAAAAACAAATTTCAAATTTGAAAACAATTTTTTTGTCGGCTTCTCGAAAATCTATTGTAACGATCATATTTAGTGGACTTTATATTACATTTTTATGACTTAATATTTTGACCAAATATATTTATATGACGTATGGGTACAATAATATACATAGTTGATTATCTTACATTATACATATTATATTTAAACCATATAAGCTATGAAGTGAATCTGCTAATAAGAAATATTTTTATTTGTTTTTTTAATTGATTACTAAGTAAATTTATCAATATTTTTAATAAATCAAATACATAAATATTTTTTTCTGTTTTAATTTAAAAAGATCTTTGATTATTAAATCTAATTGACTTACAGCATCTTTCATCACATTTGCTTTGCCCGCTGAGGAAAGATTATGGGTGTATAAGAGCAAGATAATTATTTTTCTAGAGTATTAAAGCTTCCGTTCTCCGCGATAAGGCATATAATCTTTATATCATAGTTCAGCTTTATAATGGTTTGTTTGTATGCGCCTTACACGTATTGTCTCCTAGATTCGCGAACACTGGAAGAAGTAGTAACAAACGCACGACTTTTAATGCAGACACATGACAGAGGTGTTTTCACAACTGTTTTTAGTAGTCCATAGCTATATGATTTAGCGCTTCTTTGTAGCTCGGATATTCTTGCCGACACTAGGGTTTTGATAAGCTCGCGATTTGCACAATTAACAGTAACAAAGGCGAGGAGAACAGAAGGGGAGGAACAAACATCCGCGGCACTTATTGTGATTTTCTTGCGCTCGGAGCGCGCTTTTGTGCATTAAATGTGTACGATAAAAGAGGCAAAGGTTGAGAAATTGACGCAGCAGTATTTACAATACTGTGGTTTTTACCATGGTTTTTTATTTGCTTTTATCGTTTTTTTCATTAGGCAGCCATTTCGGACTAACTTTTATCAAATGGAACCATTTGAATTTTTGTTTGGCGCCAATGGTAAAGAATCCATCCCTGGTATTCAGCTGTTTTCTGTGCTTGCCCATTTTTTCTTCGACAGCCGATTGCCGCTACTCTATCACATTTCCATCGGACGGGCACACTGCTCGCCAGAATTCTTATTCATTGCAAATTTAATTTCACTTAAATTCCTACGTGTCTCGTTAAGTTTGCATTATGGTCGACAACTTGGAGCCACTGGAGCCCAGCCTGCAGAATCTCATCGAGCAGGACTCGCTCAAGTGGATCTTTGTGGGCGGGAAAGGCGGCGTGGGCAAAACGACATGCAGGTAAGGCAACAACAATGCAGTTTTGACCAATTAAATAAGGCATATGTTTTCATTTAGTTCCAGCTTGGCCGTTCAATTATCGAAAGTTCGAGAATCTGTGCTGATTATATCTACAGATCCGGCGCACAACATATCGGATGCATTCGATCAGAAGTTTACCAAGGTTCCCACAAAGGTACATATGTTATGGCCAGGATTTGTCAAACCTAGTTCTAGAAAAAACCCACATTAATTTGCCAAAACACCGATTTTGTTAGGTACTATTTGTATAGACACCATAAATTGTCGCTTTAGAGATTTCCAATAATAATGTTTCCTTGTGTAGTTTAACCTTAACGCGTCAAAATGTGCAAAAATAAGTGAATTAAAGGCGATTGATTACGAGGGAAAAACATTTTAAAGATTACATTCAGTAAACAAATGTATTAAATGATTTTTTCTGCTCCCCAGGTCAACGGCTTTGACAACCTGTTCGCCATGGAAATCGACCCCAATGCCGGTCTTAACGAGTTGCCCGAGGAATATTTTGAAGGCGACAACGAGGCTTTGCGCGTCGGCAAAGGCGTCATGCAGGAGATGATAAATGCGCTGCCCGGCATCGATGAGGCCATGAGTTACGCGGAGGTGATGAAGCTGGTCAAGGGCATGAACTTTTCAGTGGTTGTGTTTGACACGGCGCCCACCGGACACACGCTGCGTCTTATTGCATTCCCCCAGGTGGTCGAAAAGGGACTTGGCAAGCTCCTGCGGCTCAAAATGAAGGTGGCGCCGCTGCTCTCTCAATTCGTTTCCATGCTGGGCATGGCCGACGTGAACGCAGACACGCTCTCCCAGAAGCTAGACGACATGCTGCGCGTAATTACCCAGGTCAATGAACAGTTTAAGAATCCCGTAAGTTGCTGGGTATCAATCTTTTATCAAAGCTAATCCGCATTACTCCTTCGACAGGATCAAACCACATTTGTTTGCGTCTGCATTGCCGAGTTCTTTTCGCTGTACGAGACGGAACGCCTGGTCCAAGAGTTAACCAAGTGCGGCATCGACGTACACAACATCATTGTGAACCAATTGCTCTTCCTACAGAACTCGCACGACTCGTGCAGCATGTGCGCTTCCCGCTTCAAGATCCAGGAGAAGTACCTGGACCAGATCGCTGACCTGTACGAAGACTTCCACGTGACCAAGCTTCCGCTGCTCGAGAAGGAGGTGCGCGGTCCGGAGAGCATCAGAGCCTTTTCCGAGAACCTTATGAAGCCCTACGATCCAAAGGAGAAGCCCAAGGAGTAGAGCAGGCCGTCCACCCCAGACCCATCCCTTTGTAAGTTTACTCCCCTTATCTGTGTCAACAATAGTGCGTGAAATAAATTTGAGTTGCAATGTGGAAACAGTTAACGCATTCCTAATTGTAAAAGGGGAGAGGGCGACAATGAAGGAAACACTTTACAGACCGCTGCCGGTCTGTTCCATATTCATCAGGGTAGGATAATCGCTGCTGTGCATCTGTTTCTTGTGATCCAGGTACAAGCGGGCGTAACGCAGGTACTCGGTGTCGCCCTGGACTATGGCGGACATGAGCAGCAAAAACTCGTACAGATTGACCTTACCCTGGGCATGGACATCGATGTCCCGGAGGACGTTGTGCATCAAGTCGACGGGCACCTCCTTAACACCCATTGTTTTCATGGCTTTGCAGCATTCTGCGACGGACACATAGCCCGTTCTGTTCTCATCCAGCTGTCTGAACTGCGTAGCGAACTTTCGCACCTGCCCTACGGACATCTTGATGGGGATGTTCATACGCGAGGCGTTCTCTTTGGTCAGCTGGCCCATCTGGGTGTTGAGGAAGGCGCGTGTCTCGCGAATCTGCATCTTCGTTTGCTCCCGCGTCCACCTTAACTCCTTGGCCATGATGTTGGCCACCTGAGGTAGTATCTCCTCGGCCACCTGAACATTCAAAAAGGCTACTCTTAACCTCCGAGCCACCATGTCCTCCAGCGTGCAGGCAAAGTCCCGGACGCCCTGCTTCACTTCCGCCTCGATGTACGGAAACTCCGAGTGCAATCGCTTGCCCACAATGGGCCAGGCCATCCCGCTGCTGTTCGCACTCACGGCCACCTTGAAGGCATTTGATCCGTACGTGTTGGACAGGTGCTCGGCCACATCCGGCTCCATGCCGAAGTCCTGCACCAGCCGGATGAACATCTTCGGGCTCCAGCCACTCGCTCCGTCCAGTTTACAGGACGCGGCCGTCACCGAATCCGTTCGTAGCGGCGAAAGATCTCCCAAGCGGATGGCTGTATTAACTGTCTTCTCGGCCAAAGCCCGAAAGGAAGACCAGGAGGTGCCCACAATCGACAGCATGTTCCTGGGTCCAAGTTGGATTACATGACTCTTAAGCGGAGTGGGGTCCAGGAAGTCCGCTTTCGAGGGCTTGAAGCCGCCCCAAACGGCCAGCACATCGCACCTCCGAACATCAAAGTTGGGCGAAAAGAAGAGCTTGACGCCATCCAAAAGAGACTGGATATCCGTCTCCGAAGGCTGGGTGTCCTGTCCCAGCTGATTTTCTGATTCGTCACTGGATCCCACCAGCGTGTGACCCTGCCAGGGCAGAAAGAAGATGGATCGCCCGCTGGGCGTGTGCGGATCGAAGACGCCCACTTCCTCCGGGCAATAGAAACGCGGCAGGACGAGGATCGAGGACCAGCTGCGCGTGCAGAGCGGCTTGGCCTCCGAGTCCTCCATCCGTCGCACGCTGTCGCTCATGTGCCCGGTGGCGTTGACCACCACCTTCGCCCGGATGCTATACTTCTTCCCCGTCAGCTGGTCGACCGCCTCGGCGCCCGCCACATTGCCATCCTTGTTCTTGATCAGCCGCACCACCTTCATGTGGTTGCAGATGTCCGCTCCGTAGCGAGCCGCTGTCAGGGCCACCGAGAGGCACATCCGCGCATCGTCGTGCTGACCCTCGTAGAAGACGAAGGCACCGAAGAGCTCCTCTCGCCGCAGCATGGGAAACACCTGCAGCGCGTCGTCGGCACTCAGGTACTGGAAGCTCTTTGTGCCCTTGGGCGCCATCAGATGGTACATCCTGAGCTTTAGGTAGTACAGCGGGGCCTCCCACCAGTGGTGAACCGGCAGCAGGATGGGCACCGGCTGGCTGAGATGCGGCGCTAGATTGCTGATGTGTCTGCGCTCACGCAAGGAGCAGCGAACCCTCCGAAAAGCCGCGACGTCCAACCGGGAGACGGCCCGCTCCAGGTCCCTCAGGCCGCCATGCACAGTGCCGCCATGCTTGCTCGACTTGGACGAGGTGCCGCTGCCAAAGTCGTTCGCCTCGACCAGGGCCGTCTTCAAACCACGTGTGGCTGCATCCAGAGCACAACCTGAGCCCACTGCCCCGCCGCCAATGATGAGGATGTCGTAGTGGGTGCGCTTGAAGGCCTCTAGGCACATCTTGCGAGTGGGCAGCTCCCGCTTCATCTGGGGCACGGGTGACGAGTCCGACCGCTCGTCGAATCCGAAGGCGCCGTGGCCGAGCTTGGAGCTGCCCAGCATAACCGCCATCTGCAGGATCTTGGCCATGCTGTTGGTTCCTATGCTTGCCAAGTGGTTAACTCCTGCGATACACGCCAAATTTCGACTTAATCTGTATAAATGGACAAAATGAATGCCTACGGAACAATCGAACTGACAATACTAGGAAATTTACACGGGTTTCTTTTCTTTTGGAAATATGTTTAATGTACATACATGTGAATAAAAACGTTCTGTCGCCGTTTCGTGCCTCAAATGTTGGAATATCATACCATAACTCTAGACCCGCTGGCTGAAGGAATTACATGTGTAAAGGGGTGTACAAAATGCCAAATGCCAAAATTAACTTTAAAACTTAGCACAAATTTACTATTAAAATCGCTCCTGCTCCGCCGGCCCAGCTTCACCTTTGGATCCTGTGACTTTTGAGCTTTGTATATTAACTAAGTGCCTTCGGAGCAGGTTGGAAAGTCTCTGCTGGGCATTGTGGGTGTACTACTGTTTAGCGCCGCCGAAGAAGAACTTGTAGAAGAGCGTGGCCACCAAGCAGAGCACCAGGGGCACTAGCCACGACTTCACCGAGCTCTCCTCGTTCTGCTGCTCCGTGCTCCAGGTGGGCTCCGACTTCTGGGCCACGCTGGTCCTTTCGCTCTCCACCAGCTCTCCCACTTTGTACTTCTTCATCATGTCGCGGGCATCGTTGCTGTGGCCAACGTCCTCGAAGTTTTCTGTGGCATCCTTGCCGGCCTGCTCGATGAGCACCTCCTCACCACCGGGATGCTGTGGTTAAGCAAAAAAGGAGAGATAAATATTCGCATAAATCATTGCTGGCTAGTCTTGAAAAATGCTAATGGTCGTCTGACCGTGAATTTAATAGGTTTAGGGTGCGAAGTCTGGAGTACGCTTTCGTAACATCCGTTTATACGGAAGCAATATGGTAATCCTGCTTTACATTTTCGTCACGTTTGTTAAAACTCAGAATATTCCAAAATTCCGCATAAACTTGTTGCCAGGAGGATGGTTTTTTGTTTAAGTATAAAACAAGATTATAAAAACAAGATAAAGTTTAAATAACTTTTAGCTATATAGCCTTTAAACCCTGATAGAGTCTTAGAGAAGTTGCAGATATTGGATATTAATTATGAGTATAATTAATTTGTATAATAATAATACCCCTTAGGTTTACCATGAGGCAATTATGGTTTAAGTATAGTTAAATGCAAACAAGTTGTTATAGCTTAAGTAGAGCTGTTTACTGGCTGCTGAACGGTCGGCCAAAATATTTTCCCTACGTTTTGAACGTTGGAATGTCAACTAATGTTGATCTTAAAGTACAATAAAAGCTTTTAATTTGACTTATTGACATCTATTACGCCGCATATGAAATATTTTCATAATTTCTTGAACGATTGCCTAATCATCATTTTACCCTAGTTTGAGTTTGTTTTAATTCGCTGCCAGGGTTTTTATCTTAAAGTACATTTATGATGATATTGACTTATCTCCTGATTAAAACGTACAATTATTATTTAGTGGTATAGGTTGGCAGGTATTTTTTGTGTAAAGGAAAGGAAAGTCATTCCCTCTTTGGTTCCTCGTTCATACAATTACAACAGTTTGAAATCTGTAAGTCAAATTCTCTGATAAGTACGAATAAGTTTTGAAACTCCTGGTAACAATATACGTGTTGTGAAAAGAAGAGGATTCGGCAGATCAGATAGGGGCATGTTTAAAACATGGACTGGATCGCTTGACACGATCGGCTTTGCAAACTTTAAAATGGAATAAAAAATGAACCGCTTGGTCACCCTCACTGATGTTATTTGAGGCACTAAAAGCGCAACGTCATCGTTAGAATTGAATATTCAGGTAGCTTATCTTATGGAAGTAGGCGATCTTACAGATAGCACATGTATGTAGAAGACCCGATTGCTGCGTCAGGGTGAGTAATTTTTCGGAACCGGCGAGCGGTGCACTTGCATAAGAATCGGCATGCAAATCCAGGCCCATATATTAAATGAGATGCAAATGCAGACGCAAATTTCGCTTAACACTTGACCTTCTCACAGACAAACGCATATGCATGCAAATCGATAGTTTCGCCATTTGGAGCTCTTGCAAAAGGTTTGGCGTCAGGCAAAAGCGGCGGCTGCTGGAAATTTCCACGTTCATACATATGAGCGTCTCCGTGAATATGCGAAATCCGGACGCAGGTCAACCGCTGGCTGGGGGTCAAAGTTCAGATCTAATTGCGGGGCAGATGATTTCCACACGCGCCCAAATGAACATATGCAGGTGTTGTTGTCGGGGCACAAGTTTGCCTACGTGGGTTCGGCTCTATCGACGCCATTAGATCATCCGAACAAGTGGGAACCCTGATAAGGCCTATTAACGCCCGATGACCCCCATTTCGGGGCGGGGGCCCTCGACTCCAACGTGTTCGATGGAACTCTCACCTCGTTCAGGAAGGCGGTGACGTCGTAGATGTTGTTGTGGATCAGCAGCCAGGTGTCCTTGTTCGTGTTGTGCTTGGCGACCTCGGCCCGCGTGAAAGTCTTTGTTCCTTCGCTCGACATGTTGATCACTTGTTGATTTCTTACTGCGCGTTTGATTTGTGATTGATTCGAATCGTAGAGCTGCGAAAAAATTGGTCCCACAAACGATATTATCGATATTTTGAAATTGTTCGATGCATCGATTTCTTTTATTATATTTTGTTATCGATGCCTGGCCGACATTTCTTTACCGCCTTTTTCCACCATGGTTCAGTGCACCGGTTTTTAATCATGAAGCGTAACAGGGGTAACCGATGCTTCCTCTAACCTAGCGAGTGCAGCCTCCTAAATTGGCTTAGAAAGTGCCTCAACCACAGGTAGCCAATACATACTCCGAAGAAGATCGAATTTAAATAGCCGTATTTTTAGATTTTGAAAATTGATTTAAGAGTTTTATATGAGTCGAGTGCGACCAAGCGCAAAATTTTAATCCAGTACAAAGTACGGTGATTTTCACATTTCAACAATATTCGCATTGTAGTACTATAGTGGATACCCTCTATTTACAAAATGTTAGTCTCTTTCATATGTATTGCATACTTTTGGTTGTTATTCGGCCAGTGTTATAAAACAAAAGTAGCATACTGCCCCCATTTAAAAATTCAAATAAACGGCTAACTAACGAATATTAAAATAAAAAAAGCCAAAAAAAAAGATTATAAATGGTTGTAGCAAGAAATTGCATCTATAAATCTATAAAGGACCGGAACCGGTTCCACAGCAACAAAGAAAACTATTACTTCCATCAACAAAGACTGCGCAGGCTCAGATCTTGTATTTACACTTAGACCCTGCCTTTCTTTCACACTCGCCAAAGGAGACTTCAAAGTCAAAGGTATCCTGCTGTACGCCGTACGGCTGCGGTGCTCCCTAAAGAAAAACAGTTGACAAGCATCGCAAAAAGTTTTACAAAAGATACAGCGCTGTCCAGGCGATCCGATTGAACAACTATTAAAGTTAACAACAGACTAAAAAAATTTTGATAATCAACGGCGGGAGTGTTTATAGTACACCACGCTTTTAACTTTTTTACAAAGGGTAAGTTGCGAGCTAATCCATATTACGCAATTGGTGTACGTGCAGGTTGCCATTTTCTTGGGTACAACTTCCTTTGTGGGGTAGACATCCTTTTCTTTCCGACTGCCTTTGCGGCCACATTGTTAGTGCGTAATTCGATTTAAATAGGGCTTATACACGCCATCGTCGGCTTCAAAAATATGTTTCGAAAAGTTATTTCGTTTTCCAATCATGCCCTTGGAACTGATTCCATGCGTTCGCTAGGAACCCGAGTGTAAACAACTCTTATGGGGAGCAATCCAAAACTTTGTCGAGTGGCTTGTAAATCATCGAGTTTGTTTGTGTCTTCACAAGTATCAAAAAGTAGGCTCCCGTATCATAGACTTATCAGCGCCTGGAGATTTGCGTTGGCAAAAAACACTGAACAGGCTTCAGGGGATTTTTCTTCTTGAAAAAAGGTGAAAGGTAAAAGTGGACATCATAACATCGTAGTAGGGATTTATATAAAATTGTACAAAATTCAGGTGGGCAAAATATGATTGATGACTTGACTAAATCGCGTTTATACAAAATGGAAATGGCACATACTACCGAAATTTGGGCGTGGCGTTTGTTAATTTATAGTTATATTTACTCCAACTCGCTTCGAATATTATATACACTTTACCCCATTAAAACGCAATCAGGGATTGTAAATTAGCGCCACACATGTGTGCTCGGAGACAAGAGGAAAAAAAGAAAAACAAAATTGAAAACTCAGATCTCGAAGGCAATATTCACATTTAAACAAAGGGTGTAAAAATAGATTTCCCCGGCTTCTGTGTTAATTTTTTCCACATGCCGGTTAGCCGACAACGATTACAATAAAATTTGATGTCTCATTGCTGCATAATGAGTTACATTTCCAATCAGGGATTGGAAAACGACACTGGTCCACATTTTTTGGCGCGACAGCTCCACAAAATTTGCATTGCCAATCTCTCATTAGACTTGATTGATTCCGTCATTAAATACAATTGACTAGAATTGACCAACAAATGTTTCCAATTCAATCGCAATGCCACGGCAATAACAAATAAATAAATAAATAATTCAGTAAATATTTTCTCGTGTGCTGATCTTTTGATCGCGATGAGGAGATCGGGGGATATATCTTTGGGGACTGAATTTAATTGGCAAAAAGTCGAGTCCAAGCATTTAATTGAAGACATATGTATGTATGTATTGTTTTTAATTGTTGCGAATTTTACTTATTTTTATGGTACTTTCGCTTTTGCCTTGACCAAATGGGCATTAACTTCGGACCCGCTCATATTCAAAATGGTAGTTATTGGGTCTTGTTTTCGTTACTTTCGGATCCAGGGATACAGCTAAATAAAACTAAAATTAAATTGTAATATTTTTCTTAGTGTAAACGTTGGAGATTGTTGATTAAACCCAAAAAAAGAGCATTTTGGCGTGTCAGGATGCGAATGTGCGAAATGTAACTGCGTAAATATGAGTCGTATTTATAGCGGTTTATTTACGCGTTGTTGTTGTGTTCGGAGAAACAAAGAACAACAACAGAGCGGCACGCACAAAGAAGATGCCAAATTCTATGTATCCCCGCGTTCCATTTTCTGCATTTTTTCTCCACGAAAGAGAAAGATTGGTAGAGAGAGGGAGAAAAACAAAACAAATTGAGGGTGGCGCAAAGTGAGAGCGTCAGCTGGCAATCTCCTCTCTGTCTATCTTCCTATCTCTTTCTCTCAATGGCATTCAGCCAGTGCGTGATAATCATGCACCGAGCACGTGTACATGACTTTGGTTTTGTTTGTGCTTGTTTCCCCCTGCTGTCTCCTTGCGAACTCCCATATTTCCATACAAACATCCACCGTTCCTCGCTCCACAAACACAAACAACAAGCAATCGGAAACTGATACAAAACACATAGATACAGCACGCATACCTTTTCATGCACTTACTGCAGAAAAATTTGCAAGTAATTGTACTATAAACCATAAATGTGTTATGCTTTTGAAAAGGTCTTGAGATCGTATTAGAATGATGTTAACCTGTGCGGGGAATAGTATACAGAACTTAGCAATATTAAAATTAAAAAAAAAAAACTGCTAAAATCGTTCCCCCAGCAAAACTGGTTGTTATCAAAGTAATAAGTTGTTTGTTTGTTTTGCTTTCCAATGGAGGGCACACAATGCAGCTTTATTGCACTGGGTCCAATCAATAGGCTAAATATTTGTTAGAGATCTACCAGTGAGTTGGTTATAATCTGTTACCACCCGCCGAGAACCCGACGTGACTAATGGGGCATCCTCGTCCCACCGTCTCCCTCGAGATCGTTGGAAAACGTTTGTCATCCAAAGTTCTATAAACAAATTTGTTGGCCACTTGGCAACGAAATCTAGAGGGTTCCGTTCTTGGAGAGGGCTTTTTCAACCAGCTCCTGAACTTTGTTTTGGTCATAAATATGTCGCACGCGTTGGCCTAATGCATTTGTTGTTCTTTATTAAATTGTTATGATTGCCACTGCTTTTGTGTTTGTTTTTCTCTCGACTACTGCGTCCTCGATGTTAATTCGAATGTGTAAACAAAAGATAAACAACAATCTTGTTCTCACACACTGGCGAAAAATTGTGATTTAATATAGGCAAAAATACATGTAAATAGGTTTTGCTATTTTCATTTTTAATTTGATCCTGACCTAACAAATTTACATGAGGGACACAAAAGCTAACAGCCTTTAAAGCCTGTTAAGCGATAAAGTTTGTTGACATTGGAAGCTAATAAAAACGATAAAAACAATGCATAATTTAAATCTTATTTAATGTTTTTTTCGAGTAGTGAATAAAAACAACGGGCTATAAATAAATATGGAACGTTCTGTATTCACAAAATATTGAAATGCATTTCTATAGATGCGAATATGGCCATGCAGTCCGAACAAATGAATAAACTCATTTCAAATGTTTCACGCATTCCCTGCGTGCTGTGTATGTGAGAGCGGAGTGACGTAGAAAGAAAATTTTATCAGAGGGATTTAGATATACAAATGTTAAAATTCAGTTAAAAAGTTTGAAAAGATTAATTTTGAGAACCCAAGTGTTCAGTTCTTAAATTTTCCTTAAACTTACCTTAAATTTAAACAAATTCGATTAAAAATTTGACTGATTTGTTGTTTGTGTCTAGCAATAAGACTTTTCCTGTAAAAGATTTTTAAAATAGCTACCCCTTTTACAACGCCACTGTGCGTGCTGTGTGCGTGTGCCTGTGTGAGAGTTCCGCTCGTTCCATTTCGTCACCGGCTTTTTTGCTTTTTAGCTGGCGCATCGACTGAAATCGTTTCAGATGTTCTTTGGAAGTGCGCTGGTCAAGACGTGAAAAAAACAAGCAAGTGCAGCTAAAAGAAAAATCTTGCCAATTTACAAGTAAAAGTGTTAACCAGTTTACCGTTGGTGTAAAAAAAACAATATACAAAGAACAAATACTTAAGAAAAGCAAAGAAAATAATAACGAAGGACATAAAAATGCCGGTCGATATCTACAGTCAACCTCACAATTTGCTCAGTTCAATAAGGTAAACTATTAATTGGCGTTGATTGGATTTTCTCATTCTCGCAATCGAGTTTTCCAGCCACACTAACCTATAAGGGTAAAAACAATATTTTAACATATTTAACCTCGAGAAACATTGATAAATTTTAGAAGTTTAACCGTCATAAGTGTAAGGTGGAAAGATGTTCTCTTGGTTGATTGATTGCAAAACATAGCGATCCTCAGTTTTTTTGTGCATCTGTGTTCAGTTCTGCTGAAAAAATGAAAGTGCAAGTGATGTAGACTTTGCTCGTTGGTTTTCGTCGCTTTTCCTTATCAGTCAGCAATATGCACTAATTGAAACGCCAGACACCAACCAGACTAATATCGTTATTGGCCCTCACACTTTATCTACCAAATTTATTAGCCATAAATTGCCAGCTTTTCTCGCATATTAACCAAATCAAATGTGCGATTCTGACGATACTAGTTATCTGTTAATTAAGGCTTTGGCCAGTTCATTGAAGTGAGGGGATCCGTATCATACAACGATTGCTGCGTCGATTTGTCAATGAACCGGGGCATATCTCTGTATTTATGAAAACCTGCCCACTCAACCTTTCAGAATAAGCCCACTCCACACAATAAAATTACACCACACAAAAAAATGCTAGAATTTGTATGGAAAATGCTGAATTGTTGCTGGCATTGAAAATCAAGATTATGGTAGAAGTGGTTTGTATATAGGAAAGGCAGCCCGAGAATACGAAATAGAACTCGCATATCATGTTGTGGTATTGAAACTATTGAAAAGTACGCAATACCAACGACCTCGGATATGTAATACGTACATACATATGTGTAAGGGATCAATTTATAATTTTATGGCGTAAATTTTGACCAATAAACATTCTGGACAACACTTTAAAATCAAATAGAGTGTATGGTATGAATTACTTTGTTAAATAAATTCCTATTACTATTAGTTTCCAGATAAAATGGGTAAAGAGGTCAATTTGAAAAAACAGAATTTATTTGGCAGAAGTTTTAAAATTAAATTTAAATAAAATTTAGCTAATGACAAGCGGTAGAGCGATCGTTTAAGGTATATACGAATATAGTAGTATATATTCTTAGAATGAGCAAGGCAAAGTTTATTGACCACATCATATACATAGATCCATAAGTATTTTTAGTCCGAAAAATAGAACAAGTCTAATGTATATTATCCATTCCTTTGTCTGATTGCAGCGGAACATCAGATACCTCGTTGTCGTTGAACTCACTGTCCCTGACTTCCGCTCTGCCGCCGACGGATCCTGATCACCACAATCCACACAACATGAACAAGCTGTGCCGCCAAGTGTCAATTGAGTCGCCCGGCCCGGGTGCCAAGAACTGCGTCTTCAACTTCTTTGTGCCCATCGAGGACACGCCGGCGTTGGGCGCCCGCATCCGGATCGTTTGCGCCGGAGCCTGCTACCGTCGTCGGGACCGCTCCAATTCAATAACCAGCATGTCATCGGTTTCGTCGGAGCTAAGCGACTACTGTCCATCGGTGAACTCGATGTCCTCGCCGGCCCACCAGGGCATCCGGGAGGGATCCTTCTTCCCCGGCTTCGAGGTAGCCGGTGTGATCGAGTCTCTAGGCTCAGAGATCACTGAGGCCAATAACCGCGGCCTGCGCATTGGACAGCGCGTGATTGTCTATCCGTTCGACGAGACTCCAGCCGGCTACGCCGAGCTCCTGGTTGTTCCTGATCTGAAGCATGTGGTGCCGATCCCCGACAGCCTGCCCATGGAGGTGGCCGCCATGCTGCCGACAGGCGCCCTCCTCGCCTGGAACGCCGTCTTTAAGGCCCAGGCGGTGGTCACACAGATCCTCAGCCAGCGGGCTGCCACGGAGCCGAAGCGCAAGCCCAAGATCCTTATCGTCGGCACCGGCGGACTGGCACTCTGGGCCGTGCGCATCGCCTCCTATCACTTTGCCACGTCTGGAGCCGACGACGTGGACATCACAGTGGCCAGTCTCAGGGACGAGGGCTTCCGCTTGGCCACGGAGATCAAAAAGTAAGTAGACTAGTTAGGGACTCATAAAACATCCATAATTAGCCAGAAAGAATGTTGATACAAAAGATATTCTAATGCTCGTTCTGTAATACTTGAGTTATTCCTTCAAGTACTAAACAAACTTATCTTTTTAGTGTCAGCGTGGTGCAGTGGAACGAATGCCTGTACGAGCCGCAGCTGATCGAGCGCACAAAAGACGTGTGCGGTGGAGCCGTGGACGTAGTGATCGACTTTGGCACAACTTCCAGGAGTCTGCACCGCTCGATGCACTGCCTCTCGAAGGGCGGCGTGGTCTTGATCAGCGACGAGGTGGCAGAGAAGCTGCTTCCCAAGTTCTCGCGGCTGTCGGAGCAGTACCAGCAGGAGATCATCCCCATTTCAAACGGCACAGCCGAGCAGCTAGCGGAGGTGGTGGAGCTGGTGGCCAACAAGAAGATCGAGCCGCCGCCGCACTCCGTTTTCCCCTGCGAACAGGCAGCTGAGGTTATCGCAAAGCTGTGCAACTCAGAGATCCCTGGACGCGCCATCCTCAGGTTCCACGACATAGAGTAGGAAACTTGAAAGAGGAGCTAGAAAAAGGGAGGAAGACGCCTCCCCTAATCAAGGCATTAACTCATTCAATATGGATATCTGTTAGTTGTATTCAGAAAACACCCGACAAAACACTGCAACCTGCAACACTCTCGAAGCGGATTCAAAATTGCTTATTTTGTAGCCGGCAATTGTTTTGTACCCTTAATTTTTGGACTGCTGACGACCTCCTCGTTTCATTGATTTAGCGTTTTAAGCATTTTTAGTATTATGTACATATAGATTGTGATTTATTTTTATTTGTAAGCAAACCAAACACATGATTTTACTTTTGCAAAGTCACCAATTACATCACCACATTAGCCAGAATCGAGATTCGTACATGCTTCTTAAATGATTTTCGATTACGTACAAGACCCAAGCAGAAGCGGATTAAAGAATAAATGTTATACCTACTATAAACAAAAATTGTTATGCATGCGATGCAAAATGTTTGATTCAATTGCTTGATGTTTGTACTCATTACGTACCCAACATTATATTCTACTCTTATTCACAAATAAAAACCATAAATTATCAATTCATCGGTCAATGTCATCTAGGAAGAATATGAAATCTGCATTTGCGGGATTTTGGCTTTGCAGAATGACTTAACTGTTTCATTTACGAAATTCTAAATTCTTATTTAAACAATAAGACTGCTAAAGGATGTTCTCCTTTTTTGAGATTACCATAAGGGCAAGATAAGCGTTATAACTAAATATTTATAGTACGAGTATAAGGCCAAGGGCGTCGCCAGCCGATGGGGGCAGCTGACCCCCCTTGGCGACGCCCTTGTATATTGCTTATATTTTCCATACAAGCTAGGTTTTTTTATTCTAGGCTTTCCCTCTTTTTCCTTTTGTAGGTTTTATTAAATTGCACAAAAATAGTTCGAGGACTTTACCATATCAACAGGTTTTTTTTCAGTTAAACATTTTAAAACATTTGATTAGAATAGTACATATTTATCGCTGCTTTATCTTGTTAAACACTGTCGGTCTTATTTACAATATAAAAATATTAATTTGCGTTTGATATAGCAAAATAAATTCCACGATATTAAATTTTCAAATGGGTTATCGGCATCGCCGATAAGAAATCGATTACTTTTAATCAAGTTAGCAGTCCGGTTTTGAATTATATAGTGCTGAAAAGCGCCAAACGTTAAATCGCGCCAAAAAACTGTAAACGGCGCGACAAGCTGATCGAAGAAGAGGAAACTAGTCGAAGTGCTACAAAATAGATCGGAACCTAAATAAATTATTGCTGACGTCGGCGAATGTTTGATAAACGAGATGGTTAACAAAGAGAACGCCCTCAGTGTGGGCCAGCAGGTGAAGTGGATCGGAGCTCATGACGCAGTGCAGCCGGTAAAGAATCTCGAGCACAAGAACGTGTTCTTCTACCAGAAGTGTATCTACGGTCCGCTGACTCTGACGGTCGGCGAATTCATATTGGTGTCCAATGCAGATGCAGCCGAGCCGGACACCGTAAGAGGCTGTGACGTGGCTAGGATCTTGTACATGTATGAGCTGCGCGAGCTTACCGACCGCGAGCCTTACCGCGCCATTGTCCAGTGGTATTCCTGGCCAAGGGCTATTCCCCACAATAAATTCGACGACGACAACGTGGCCATCGACTTCAGCCTGGAAGTGGTCGAGGAGCATCGCCCATACGACAACGACGTAGCCCTTGGCGCCATCTACCGTAAGTGTATCGTCCTGGAAGGCACTTCGAAAATCTCGGCGCAGGAGATTCTTAACCGCCACTTGGGCAAAGTTAAGACCACAGCCTGCCCCATGTTTGTCAGCCGATACAGGTTTGTCAAGGTGAAGCGAAGTTATCGCTTGATTCCCTTGGAAATTCACCTAGAGGAGCCGGAGGACAAACCCCGTTTAACACGGAAATCGCTAACTGCCACAAAGAATACAAACGGTCAGCTTCTGCCCGCAAGAATGCCGCATCTGAAGAGGCAGGAGCAGGGGTGGAAAAGCGACGGCGTTCCTCTACGGCGGCGGCCAGTTCTGTGGAATTCGTCGATGTCAGCTACTTCAACTGCGAAAACAAGGTATCGCCCATTAAGATCGTGGGTGGGCGCAGTGTAGTGCGTCTGTCGGAAAAGAAGAAGGCGGCATCGGAGATTAATGCCAACTATCTGCCGGCTTCGCCGCTTACCGAAAAGAATGCCAAAGTTGAGACGCCGAAATCCCGAGCTTCGGCAGCAAGGCGCAACCTCAATCTCAGTTTGGATCGGGGAGCAGACACCACCGCCGACTCAGACTGCCTCAATTACTCGATTGTTCAGCAAACCCCGGATCCCAAGACACCCTCCAACGAGATGAAGATCAAGCTGCGCATCTCAGAGAGAAGACGTTCGGTTCGGCTTGCATCCACGGACGAGGATCCCTTGTCGCTTGAAGAGCTCAAAGAAGCTCCCAATACCCAGGCACGCAAGCGATTGGGCGTATCAAATGGCGATATCTACCACACGCCCACAAAAAAGTCCAAGGAGCTGCTGGAACCAGCGACGGGCAATGAACAGACGCCATCAACGAGGCGCAAGAGTATTCTTAAATCAGCCACCAGCCGATTGGGTAAGTAGAAGTTTTAGTTTTAGTTTATCATGCTTGAATAATCTATTTTGATTGTTTTAGCCGACGGCACTCCCAGACGAAGTATTCATTTGTCCAATATTGTGGAACAGCGCGTGTTCAAGGACGATGACATTATATCCACTCCGAAAAGAGGCCGGCCTAAAAAAACAGTCCAGGATGACGACGAGGACTACTCACCGAAAAAAACTGTTCAAAAGACGCCCACGCGATCGCGCCGCTCCAGCACCACAACAAAAATAGCGATGACTCCCAGCAAAGGAATAGCCACAGCCGCAACAGCAGCCCCAATGACGCCCTCGCAGAAGATGAAGAAGATTCGGGCCGGCGAGCTTAGTCCTACCATGCAGCAGCGCACAGATCGGCCTGCAAAGGAGACTAGCAAATCACAGCTGGAGCTGGCGAGGGAACAGCTTCACGTGTCCGTCGTGCCCAAAAGTCTGCCCTGCCGCGAGCGGGAGTTCGACAACATATACGCGTTCCTGGAGGGCAAGATCCAGGATCAGTGCGGTGGGTGCATGTATGTGTCGGGAGTTCCGGGCACTGGCAAAACAGCCACCACCACCGGTGTAATACGCACCTTGCAGCGTCTAGCAAATCAGAATGAGCTGCCCGCTTTCGAGTTTCTGGAGATAAATGGCATGCGACTAACGGAGCCGCGTCAGGCCTACGTTCAGATTTACAAACAGCTCACGGGCAAAACTGTATCATGGGAGCAGGCACACTCACTGCTGGAAAAGCGCTTTACAACTTCAGCACCACGAAGAGTAACCACTGTGCTGCTGGTCGACGAGCTTGATATCTTGTGTAACCGGCGCCAGGACGTGGTCTATAACCTGCTTGACTGGCCCACCAAGTCGGCGGCCAAACTGGTGGTGGTTACCATAGCCAACACTATGGATTTGCCTGAGCGGCTGCTGATGGGTAAGTGTAATTTCCAAAACTAGGATAAAATTTGGAAAAATTTAATAAAATCTCAATTTGTTTTTAGGCAAGGTTACTTCTCGGCTTGGACTCACCCGGCTTACCTTCCAACCGTACAGCCACAAGCAGTTACAGGAGATCGTCACCGCACGTTTAGGTGGATCGGAGGCGTTCAAGGGCGAGGCCGTGCAGCTGGTGGCACGCAAGGTGGCGGCCGTCTCTGGAGATGCTCGTCGGGCGCTAGATATTTGTAGGCGGGCCACTGAAATCGCCGATACAGCCCAGGTCAAGTGCGTGACCATGCTGCATGTGCAGCAGGCGCTGGCGGAGATGATAGCTAGTGCGAAGGTGCAGGCCATCAAAAATTGCTCGCGGCTGGAGCAGATTTTTCTGCAGGCTGTGGCAGCGGAGGTTACACGAACTGGCGTCGAGGAAACGACCTTCATGGGAGTCTACATGCAGGCCGAGACGATCGCTGCGTTCACTGGTGTGGCCTTACCGCCGCCAGGACGTGCCCTTCGCTTGTGCGCCAAACTGGGCGCCGAACGTCTAATAATCAGCGAGCACTCGCGCAATGATCTCTTCCAGAAAATCTTGCTTAACGTCAGCGCTGATGATATTCACTACGCCCTCCGCGTGGGAGAAGTGGCCAGTTAAGAGAATACTTAAAGAGCAAAGATTGGAAGGTAACCTGGGAAGTTCTTAGTCAATTCATTTGCAATTTTACATTCTGACTTCCACTTATAACACTAAAATGAAAACTGCAAAAGTGGCGAATTTCGCCCTTCTATTCGTCATCAATCATCTTTGTAATAGCTTATGCATTTTTAAATTAATTCTTAGTTTTAAGCATCATGTTTAAACAATCTAAAGTACAAACTCGTTACTATAAAAACCAAATAAAACACCAGCACAGTGTAACAGTCATAGAGTACTTTTGGGGAAAAAACGGAATAGATGAAAAGGTGGTAGCGAAAGCCTACCAACAGAAAGAGGTAGAAAGCCGCCGGCAACATGATAAGCGCGGCGTAGAGTGGAGCTATCAGTGAATCCGCAGCAATGGAATAAGGCGGCTGCAGATGCATGATGCCGACACTCCGCAGATCAGAGCGCAGAGTGTGGACAACCAAATAAAGGAATGCATGAATCTCCGCACTGTAAGTGTTGAGGGTGACGAAAAGGCCAACGATTACTGGGTTGTAACTAGTTTGCCCGATGTAGCCTGGCGTCAGGTCGATCGTGGACAAGCTGTTCGAGTTGCCCTGGTAAAAAAAGAACATTCTGGCCAGGAATATGGTCATTATGATCTTATACACGTGCACCAACCGCACGGAGAACTTTCGGGTACTGGTCCCGAAAACATCGCACAGCTTGTAGGTTTGCTGCAGGGCCACGAGAAGCACTGGCAACAGTAGGATATTTTGGACCTTTTGTAGAAGTGCAGCTAGCAGCAGGGAGCTGGTGAGGTTCGTCTGGAGCAGCTGCAGCAGCACACTTTTGGGAGGAGCACTTTCGAAACTCTGCGTTTGAGGCAGAGCTGCACGGTAGCCCAACACAAAAACCAATGCCAGACAGCACCAGAAGATGACCAACGTGGGCACCATGAGTTTAGCACTGGAAATTGAGTGAGAGATTAGTTTAGTTTTGTTATATAGTTCAATTCAAACATACGCGGCATACTGTGGGACCTCGATGAAGTGCACCTGACCGTTCAGTCCGCGAAAGCAATAAACCATAAACAATGCTGCTGCACTGGCCACCGACTGCGGCAACTGGCTGTGACGATGCAGGCGCGCCCACAGCAACAACAGTGAGAATATCATTATTGTACTTCGGATGGCCTGCAACCTGTGTATATAGCGCATCAATGTGAGCAGCATGAGCATTACGAAAACTTTGCGCATCTGCCAAAGACACGTTGATGCAATGGTGTACAGATGACGACCATCTAGTTCCACGTTAGTTTTAGTGATGCGCCGTCGCAGCGTTCGGAATGCAGTCAGCAAGATAAGGGTATTACCCAGGTAATACCAGGTCTTATACTCGTACTCAATGAACGACGAGGAACCAAGTGTTAAGGTGCGAATAGCAAAACAAGCTAGCAGAGGTAGCGGCAACGGAATGGAGATCTTTAGGCGCCGTGTGTATATCGGAGGCAGTGCAATCTTTAGCAGCGCCTGCGCCACATCAATTATTAAATAAACAGCAATGGCAATAGGTGCCATAAGCAGAATGCTTTGGAGCATGGTGCTGGTTAGGATTATATCCAGTGCATGACTGGCCACATTTAGAAGGACTGCCGCAATCGCGGAAACTAGAAGCTGTCCCCATTTCAAACTGTCCAACTGAAGCTGTTCAGTGAGATCCAAATACAACACGCTGATCACAGTATGGAGGGATGTCTGGAAGATCAACAATTTTTTGATGTAACCATAGTTTTAAACTGGTCTTTAAACATACCGCTGTCGTTAAGGCGAGTCCTATGGCCATAAATCCGTAGTCAAACTTAACAAGGGATTCAGAGAGCAGACCCGAAATCTCACGAGCCACCCGCATGTAATTTAGCTTGGCATTCTGGTAGAACACCTGACTAGCTCCACCAAGCAGCAATTTCTTGTGCAGCAATGTAGCATTCTGATACCACGTGTAGAAATCTGAAGGATCAAGTAAAGAGTATTATTATGGAAACCGTCTACGCGACTACGTTCTCACCACTCCGATGAACTTTTTCATGACCGAACTTTACACGCGCCTTGTTGAGCAAGTGATGGGCGTTGTAAAAATAAGCGTACATCTGGTACTCCAGGGACAACGAGGTCAGCATCTCTGGAATCAAGCAACCGATGGATAGGGTAGGTATCTCAACAGACAGAAGCACTGAGAGAGTGGGCGCTAAGTCGATTTGGTTGTAGCGTTTCGTTGCAGCTGAACTTAAACACAATTTATATAAAAAATAGATTAGGGATATGACTCCCAAAGTAATACCAAAGGCTTACGTGGTCTGGCTGCAATTGTTAGAGTACAGATAAAGAGGTACCAGAGTTTCGGCTGGCGTATTTCCGCCATGTCCACCACCATCAGCCATGCCGTGATCTCCCGTCAGCAAAAGCATTTTATTTGTAAAACTCTGTAAAAAGAACGTTGTTTTGTAAATACGCCTTACATAAATTTTCTAATAGTGGACCTTGTGTTTCAATATTTTCTGCACCACTTCATCCATTTCCCTAAGCTTAAGCGGGATCCTGGGACTGGCATTTCCTTCAACATGGCCGATGTGGTCCAGGCCCAGATAGTGTAAAATTAGCAGGGTCCAGTCATTAATTTCCAACTCCGCCTCCAGGGTTTTGGTCACATTTCTATCTCCTTCGTAAAAATCGTTTACATAAAAAGAGTCATGGTTTTCGGCTTGCCGCGTGAACTCGCTGGGAAATAGTTTTACCCAGGTGTGATCACCGGCAAAGGTAATAAGTCGATTATGGTGATTCAGGCGGTGCAGCAAGGAGTCCTGCAGTTGCTGTGTGTGGCCCACGTTCAAGGCAATGTCAATGAAGTTAGACAGGGTGCCGGTGGTGATGCTCTTAAGTCGAGGCATTGTCACCGTCGGAATGTCTACATGAAGAATCAGCTTCTCGCAGGCTCTTGAATGAGCCACCGGCATAGACGTGGCATTCGGGAAATCATCTCGCAGAGCATCGATCAGTAGCAGTACGAAGGAGTCATAGGCAGGTGGTGGTGGCGTCAGTCTGCAAATGGTAAGTAACCAGCGTTATCGGTCTTATCTCAACGAATATTACCCATATACTTACTTGACGCCGTGCAATGTGGTGGGCCGGCCTTCAGGCACGGTGCTCTGGTCTTCTGCCACGGAGTAGGAGGCCGGAAAGAAGCCGATCAGAAACAGTACTGCGCCGCAGAGGAACAACGAGAGCATGCTGATGGTGTAAACCAGCCGACCCTTGTGCTGCTCCATTGTATCGTTTTCATTGGAAGTTCTCCTCCACTAAAAAAAACCAACAAAACAACAACACCGAAAAATGCCGCCTGTCAGCTGGAAGAAAAATATAAACACTAGCCAATCGATAACCGCAGCATGCTATCGATGAGCGACAAGAACACTTTTCAAGGGCGTAGATTTAGGGTTTTTGTGTCTTGCACTTAATAATAATAATATAATTTAGAAAATGTGTGCTGTCAAAATATTTTTAAATTTCATTTTAAGCTTTCATTACAAACTTAATTTAAGCGCTAATATCAACCATTTTATTTTATTAGTTGGATTCTCTAACAAAATAACCTCAAGTAGATAAACAAACAAAAAATGAATAATATAAAAAAAAACTTTAAGTAACATAAACAAACAAAAGAATTAAATCTAATCAAATGCTTCCATTTCAAAAAATCAATACCAAATATGTCATAAACCCCTTTACGATTTATTTAAACTACACTCATGGCTTCCAATTAGTTAGGATATAAACAAACGCTTCTGATTTTTGTTCCTAACTTAAAATGGAAACTTGCGGCCTTATTTGTGTAAGTGGGGACTACGAGAAGTTTTTGATGAGCTGCTCCCAATGTCCCACGATTGTGGAGGTTGCTCAGTGGCAGGAATTTGTGACCCACATCCGCAACGTGCATAGCAAACACGAGTTGATCCAATTTCGGGAAGATAGTGCTGAAATAGAGGAATTCGAAATGGAATTTAAACAGGAGCATTTAGCTGGGGAACCACAAACGCAAGAACTGATGACTGGGAAAAAGGAATCAGAGGAGGAGGCTAACATAGAGCTCGACATAGAAGCAGTTGGCTCTTCGATTGCCGCGCCAGAGGAGTCTGATCTTTCAGAAGCTTCATGTCAGCAGGAGTCCGACCAGGAATCGGAGCAAAGTGGGCAAACTTCAGAAAGAGTTACATTGTATACTCTGCCAACATATAAGGTATTCGCGTAGAATAAGACAAATACATCAAAATAACCCAGTCTGGTGCTTTAGTTTCTACCATCCTTTTTTCGCCGGGATCCTAGAACTTTAAAGTTTATAGAGCTCTACAAAACACATCCTTGCCTTTGGAACCCAGAAAATAGCGACTACAAGGAGCCCCGGGCATGCAAAGAAGCTCTAAAGCAAATGCAAGCGGATTTGGAGACCTCGGAGTCCATATTCCTAAACGAGATTACACTGAAATTGGCCATCAAAAAAATACACACGCAGTTCAACACCGTTCACAAGCGAGTACTCTCTGGAAATCAGAAACCTTATTCATTGCCTTTTAGTATCTACAATCTATGCAGCTTCCTGAAGGCAAGCAAAGATGACCAAGAGGCTAACAAAAACGATAAGATCAAGGCAAGAAATTGAAACTAGTTACAACAAAATCCAATAAAAACCTACCTTTATTCAACAGCTGGACTTTTCGAAAAAAAACAAGGTGACCACCGACCTGATAGAGATGTATGCCAACTTTCCGCAACTGTATGATTCTACGCATAAGGAGTTTTCTAACATAAATTCACGAAAACAAGCATATGAAAGCATGGCAGCGGAGATCTCTGTGCCCAATGAGGACATCAACAGCGATGACATCTTTCGCGCGATCCAAAATCTTCGTCAGTGGTACTATAAGAGCGCCAAACATCCCATTAATGCTGTTAGTGAGGGCGAGAAATTCTACATGGAGGTGTGCCAATTCATGCCGCCAAAAATGTTCAAACAGCGACTGGTCTGCCAGATCTGCCAGCAAGTCACTTTCTCGGATCACGTACTGCAGTCACATATATTCAAGGAGCACAACATTGGCGAGCTTCCGTTCAAGTGCACTCTGTGCGACCGAAGTTTTATGATGCGTGGTGAGCTGACAAACCACACTAAGAGGGTCCACATCGGCAAGACACACAGGTGCACCCACTGTGAGAGGACATTCGCTGTGCCTTCGGACCTGAGGCTGCATATCCGCACGCATACGGGTAACAAGCCATACATCTGCGAGCACTGTGGCAAGGCCTTCCGACTTAGATCCCAAATGAAGCTCCACGTTACTGCCATTCACACCAAAATCAGAGCCTTCAAGTGCACCATGTGTCCCAAGGACTTCAAAAAAAAGGTCCACCTGACAGATCACGTTAAAGGCCATCTGAATATCCGTGACAAAATCTGCAATGTGTGCGGCAAAGCATTCTACAGCGGTCATTCTCTCATCCGTCACCGGCAGATTCACTCCGATGTAAAGAAGTTCGTCTGCAAACTGTGCGACTCCAGATTTTCCCAATTCGTGGGTCTTAATACGCATATGAAACGCACCCACAACATTGTTCGCAACAACTCTCAAAAGCCTAAGGAGGCTACGGAAGCCGACCACTAAAGTCGGTTAAATATTTAATCTTAAATTAAATATTTAAATATAAATACTTTTTCATTTTATTATTTTATTAACTCATATCCCAGGAGGGAAAACCCATCTAGCTAGGGTATATGTGATTTTCTTCTAAATTATGTTTTTTGGAACCTCTGCCAATTTTTAAGCAAACATTTTTGTAGATGTGCATTATTATATGTACTTACATCAATATAAATCAAGCAGAAAAAAGGTTTTTTTTAATACATATTTGAAAAATATTCCGATAGATGCCGTTACGTCTCGCGATATTCCAACTGATGTATTTCGATTACATTTCATCGCTATGCAACACTGTCAAAAACGTAAAGGCATCGTATCGTAAATAAACGCGGATTTAGTCAGAATATTGTTCATTTTCTTGAATTGGGACCGCCAACACGAGCATGGAGGTGTGCGGCAGCGTGGTTACCAACTCCAAGTACGAGCTATTCCGGCTGAAGTGCATATACTGCACGATAGAGAGCGAACTGAAAGATTGGGAATTGTTCATCGTCCATGTGAAGACCGCCCACTACTGTGAGGAAGAGGACCAAAATCCAGTTGATACAAAACAGGACTTGCCAGCGGAAATATACGCTGCAGACACCGCCATCACCTATGGCCCTGACGATTTTTTTGAAGTAATCGAAAACAATAACACCGAGGATCAATGGCTTCAGCCCGATGGCACTGTAAGGCTCTAAAATGTAAATCCTTATTTTTTTAATTACTTCTGCTTTGTGTTCTACAGGATGTTCAATACCTAGAGGACGCCACCGCTTGGTCGGATCCCACAGTCGATTTTTGCGAATTTATACCGGAGGGAAATTCGGCCGAAAATCCTACAGGAGATACAACCACAAACATGGGTGATGACTCTCAAAATCACATCCCTTTAAACACGGACGACGATGAAGTCGACTGCAGTGACTTCTATATGTCTGAAGATGACCTAGCACCACCAAGAAGACCTGGACGGCCGCCCAGACGAAAAAGACCTGGACAGGTTTTCAAGGTGATCATGATCAAGAGCCATTCATTTGAAAATCGTCAAACTAAACTATATTCTTTAGTTTAAAGTGTCCTTCACTCGAAGCAATCCACGGGTTCTGCATTTGATTCACGCGTACAGAGAGCATCCATGTCTGTGGAATCCCTCTGATGAACATTACAAAGATGATCCAGCGCGGAATATGGCCTACGAGGCTATAATGGAACGTATGGACAACAAGGCCAACGTTCTTTTTAACTTAGATGAATTGAAGAGAACGCTCGAACAGCTGCACGTTCAGTATACCCTAGCTTTGGAGACAAAACAAAAAGGAAAGTTAGTCGGACTGGCAGCGCGGTACTTTGCTAAGTGTGATTACCTTAGTGTGGCACCCACCGTAACTCCCAAAGACGCAGAAGAGGACGACGACTTGACTGTAATAAAGGTAATAAAATATCAACATTCTATTTGACCCAATTTAGTTGAAACCGTTCATTGTAGCTTAACTTTAAGGAGGAAAACCTGGTCACCAGTGCTTTCATCGAGACATACGCTAATTATCCCGGTCTGTACAACAACGAGCTGTCAGACTTCGGATCGGTGGAGGCGCGCGCGAGTGCTTACCGAAAGATGGCCAAGGAATTCCAGCCAGTAGTGAAGTGCAACGAGACGGACATTTACATTGCGGTCAACAAGCTGCGCCGCTGGCTATACGACGCCATGCGTCGCCTGAAATCCAAGGAGCTGATTCAGAAGTGCAGCAAGCAGGAGGTGCAGTACCTGCGCATGTGCAGCTTTCTGCCTGCGAAGGGATCGGAAAGCCAGGTTCTGTACTGCGACTACTGCGAGAAGCGCTTCCACGGAGACTACAACCTGAGAGTGCACATCTTCAAGGCTCATCAGTTGGGCGACCTCCCCTACCTCTGCAACCTCTGCCCGAGACGCTTTGACCGGCAGGTGGACATGGACAGGCACAAGCTGCGATCGCACTTCGAACGAAAGCTCAAGTGCCAGTACTGCGAGAAGACCTTTGCAGTGGACAACGACCTAAAAGTACACACGCTAATTCACACGGGCGAGAGACCACACGTCTGCGACATCTGCGGCAAGACATTCCGGCTCAAGCTGCTTCTGGACCACCACGTCAACGGTGTCCACCTTAATATACGCCCCTATAGCTGCGACATGTGCAGCAAGACCTTTCGAAAGAAGTTCGAGTTGGCCAACCACATCAAGGGGCACTTAAATATTCGTGATAAGAAATGTGAATACTGCGAAGCCACATTTTACGATCATTCTTCGCTGTCCAGACATCGCCGGAGTCACAGGGAGGGAATGAGTTACTGACTAACTTAATCCTTATGCTTTTAAATCATTAGCTTCACGTCATATTTTCTTTGTCAGAAAATAACTTAAGCTGTCGAGAAGCATTTAACAAATAATTAATGTTAATCATAAATTAAACGTCTCCCTATAAGAAAAATATATGAAAATGTTCGAATTGTGTCTCATTTATAATTTTCTGAATCAACGATAAACTTGAAATTAAAATGATTTAAAGTGGTAATTAAAAATTTCATAAACAACGATTATAATTGTAATATATATAAATAACATTTATTTAAGAAATACAAAATGTAGGTTTTCAAAATTAAGCATTGGATATTCGACTCGATTTCTTATCAATCAATTTCTTCGAAGTAATTTTCCAACACTAAACAGCAGGTGCTTATCGATACATGGCTTTGTTGTGCGTGCTTGCATTGGAATTTTTTTGTTTGGATGTAAAGTATGGTGATTTGCGGCAATATTTTGGCCAAGAACAACTACGAGCATTTTGTGCTGTCTTGTCTGCACCAAAATGAGTGCTCCGTGGAAATGGAATTCAGACGGTGGCGGGAGTTCATTATGCATGTCAAGGAGCACCAGAACACGATATCAGAAACGCAGGAAGAACTGGATGCTTCCGGATGCATTTCTTCTGCCGAAAGCGAGACCGAGATTAAGCCAGCAAAAGTGTTTATAATGGAGGAGCCCCGGGAAGACTGCCTTGCCGAGGATATGTATGTGGATCTGCCCGTATCCTCACAGGACGAAAGCGCAAGCGGAGAGGAAGACGTGGCGGATTACCCTTCCATAGCAGTTGACTGCGAACTAGACACCGGCAATTCAACAAATTACGTTCCCCTTTCCAAGGTAAGATACTGTCTTTACCGCAAAACATAAATATTTATTTATCGAGTTATTTTACATTCTGGCAGTTTAATCCCACGTTTTACAGAAGAAGTCCACGAATCACTCAGTTTATCGAGCTCTACAAAAATCAGACCTGCTTATGGGATCCTGCGGATGAGTCGTACAAGAACAAGGAGAAGCGCACAGCAGCCTACGAAGAGATGCTGAAGCAGTTGAAGGCCACCGCAAACCTCCACCTCACATCCTACAAACTTAAGAAATGCATTGCCAGTCTGCACGCCCAGTATGCTGCGATTACGCGGCAGAAAAAAACCCAAAAGCTGACCAAAGTACCACTCTATTATCACAAGAAGTACGGCTTTCTCGCAGATCGTGGATGCCCCGATGAAGCCGATAGCGATGAAGATGACAGCGATGGAAAGATAAAGGTGAGCTGCTAATAAATTATAAGCCAATGCTTCAATTTTACCTCTCGACGACAGCTCGTGTTTACGGAGGAAAACCGACTGACCACTCTTTTCATTGAGCTGTACTCCAAGTATCCGCATTTGTACGATCCGACGCACAAAAACTTCTCCAATCTAAGTGAACGCAAGTCATCACTCATTGAGATGACCGATTTACTAAGTGTGGAGATTTCGCTGGGCTTAATCAATCACTATGATGTTTACGATAGTATTCAGAGCATGCGCCAGTGGTACTCGCGCCGAATAAAAACCCTAACGGATGTGCAATCAGTGGGCCTGTCGCTAGCCGAGAAACGGTACATCGAGTGGTGTAGGAGTTTCATGCCCACCAAGACATTCCGCCAGAAGCTAAAGTGTGAAGTTTGTGAGCAAGCCTTCAGCACGGATCACGCGCTACAGGCTCATCAGTTTCGGGATCACAAGATGGGCGAAGGCGGCTGGTTCCGTTGTACGCTATGCGAGCTGAACTTCGACAGAAGATGCCACCTGCAGCAGCACATCCAGCGTGTACATATGAGCAAGGCGTTCGCCTGCGACATCTGCAACCGGAGCTTCGCCTTTGGCAACCAGCTTGCTAGCCACAAGCGCACCCACGACGAGAAGCACGTGGCCAAGCCGTTTGTCTGCGAGTTTTGCGGAAAGTCGTTCAAGCAGAAGATACAAATGACCACGCACGTGACGGCGGTGCACACAAAGATCCGGGCCTTCAAGTGCGACATGTGTCCCAAGGACTTTCTGACCAAGCGCGACCTGAAGGACCACGTAAAGGCGCACCTTAACATCCGCGACAAGGTGTGCGAAGTCTGCCAAAAAGCCTTTACCAATGCCAACGCGTTGGTCAAACACCGACACATCCACAAGGAGAAGACGTTGCAGTGCTCCCTCTGCACCACGCGCTTCTCGGAGCGGGTGAGCTTGGGCGTTCACATGCGACGCACCCACAAGATCATCAAGAGCACTCTGAAGGTGGCTGAGCAGACAAACGACGCCCTCTTTTCACACACATTCCCCCTGCCCCAAGACATTTCCAACAAGTGAAAAATATTTATCCATGTTAGGCATTTATATTTAGAAAATAAGGTTTACATTTGGGTATAATTTTAAAAATGCACCATTTCTGATAACTCGCCAAGGTAACTTTAAAGTGATGTATTTTAAAAATATCAATCAGGCTTAAAAATCTTTTACATGTAAAAAATAATATAATATTTTAGATACATTTTGACTTAAAACCTTATGCTAAACCTAACATTTCGGATTTAAAAAATTAATTTTTTTATTATTTTTTTTCATTTAATATTTCTAAACTTAATTTAAAAATGAACCATTTGGATATTTAAAAAAAATACAATTTTTTCATTTCATTACATATTTGTTTATTTTTATTGAAATAAAATTTTTTTATATTTTGGTTCGGGATAAATAATAATTAATTTTTGCTCTCAAATATATTGTAACGAAAGTATTATTTTTTTACTATAAATTTTTTATGAGTATTTTTTATAATAAAACTCGGGCTTCACATTTTCAAGAAGATCTTTATTTTACAGCTTTCAAATTTAATAGGAATTAAGATCACCAATTGGGGAGGGTACTTCATAGCATTATCTTTTTGCCTATAATCATTTCTAAACCAGTGTTCGGGATGGCTGGGATCGGTATCCTGATTAAACTTCCATATCCATTCAAAATATTCCATATTTTCTTCCTCAGCGTATGAGATGCGTATGAAGCAAAACTGTCTCAATATATTAATATGGGCCAGAGCCCACTTTTTTTCTACTCAGAGAATACAAAACTTACAACAGAGCATATTTTTTTTTTTAATTTGGTCGATATTTTTACTTAACAAATGGATATTTATGTCTTTAAGGTATTTTTTAGGTGTTTTGAAGATGGGAACGATTTATGTATATAAGCTTTTGATCTTGTTAAACATCGTTCGTTACCTACTTCGTTACCTTCCTTTAAATGGATAGCTGCAAAAACTTTCATTAGCTCTAGAATTTTTTTATTTTTGTCTTTCCCTTCTCTCCAAGTTCTTTGAAAATTATACGCTTGACAGACTAGACTCGGTAAGCCATTCCGACGTAAAAGCCGAATCGCATATGATTTTTTCACAAAATTGGTCATTTATAGAATGACTTACATATATAAAGCCAAGCTCCTAAGCTTTCTTTTTTAGAAACAACCAGAAATATTGCAGAGTTTGATTGCCTGTTCTATATTTTTAGTTTAAGTACAGCTTAATTAATATTAATACCCACCCAAAAACCATAGCACACTTTAGCATTCTCCTTTGTGATATTGACATTGTGTAAATAATTTATGTAATAAATAAACAATTTTATTATATATTTATTTATTAATAATTTTTTCCTATCACTCATATTCGATGTGGACTTTTTGAAAAGTCAAATCTTAAATTTCTAAAATCCTTACGTGCTTGTCAAAATTTGATCGTAAAAGTACCAGTCCACCAATTTTGCGCTGGTTAACACTGGCGGATCAGCTGTTTTTGTTGTGGTTTGCGCTGTGTTACGTGCCCTGCACTCGGATTCTTAAAGGGAGCGATGAGCGGACTGTTTCCCAAATTGTGGCGTCCATGTGACCTTTTGTTTCTGCGCCGGACTACGCAGGCACTTCCGGTTGTCGGCGTCAAGCAAAGCCAATGGAACGGACTCCGTTGGCTGGCCACCAGTGCTGACAAAAATCCGGCAAGCGACCTGCGTGAGTTACCGCACTGCAATGTAGGCACCATCGGTCATGTGGACCACGGAAAAACGACCCTGACCGCCGCCATCACAAGGATCCAGTCCCAAAAGGGCCTGGCGGAGTACCGCTCCTATGACCAGATCGATCGGGCGCCCGAGGAAAAGGCGCGCGGAATAACCATAAACGCTTGCCATATTGGCTACGCCACCACTGAGCGCACCTACGCTCACACGGACTGCCCGGGTCATGCGGACTACATTAAGGTAAAGAGCCAGAGTGCAAAATTTTCCGTTCAATACATTATTTTTCCTGTGAACTGCAGAACATGATCTCGGGGGCCTCCCAAATGGATGGCGCCATCCTTGTTGTGGCTGCCACCGATGGTCAGATGCCACAGACGCGGGAACACCTGCTGCTCGCCAAGCAGGTTGGCATTCAGCGCATTATAGTGTTTATAAACAAGGCCGACCTAGTTGACCAGGAGGTGCTCGAACTGGTAGAAATTGAGATGCGTGAGATGTTGAGTGATTTCGGCTTTGATGGTGTCAACAGCCCTGTGATTTGTGGTTCAGCATTGCTAGCTCTCCGCGAGGATAAGTCTGAATTTGGCGTTCCCTCTATTGAAAAGCTATTGGAACATTGCGATTCCTACATACCAACGCCCCAGCGCGATGTAACTGCCCCATTTATCCTGCCCATTGACAATGCTTTTACGGTCCCCGGAAGGGGAACCGTGGTAGTTGGCACCATTAAACGCGGCACTATTCCCCGGAATGCAGATGCTGATCTGCTTGGCTTCAATCAGAACCTGAAAACAAGCATTAGTGACATCCAGATCTTTCGGAAGAGTGTGCCTCAGGCGCAGGCCGGGGAAAATGTGGGCGCCCTACTGCGAGGCATCAAGATATCTGCCGTGGAGCGCGGAATGTTGCTGTGTGCAACGGGTTCCGAGGACATTTCCAACCATTTTGAGGGTTCCATGTACCTACTTTCGCGGGCGGAGGGTGGTCGCTCCAAGCCAATGCTCTCCAAGTACATTCAGCAGCTATTTAGTCAGACGTGGAATGTTCCGGCACGTATAGATATAAGTAAGTAGTTACATTAGGTCAAACTAATAAGTGATAAGTCAATTTTAACGTTATACAGCTGGAATTATTATGTTTTAGTTCAATTAGTAATACCAGTTCCAAATTAATTTCAGTTCCCAGTGAGGCTATGCTGATGCCGGGTGAGCATGGCCAGGTGCGCGTCACTCTGTTGCGAAAAATGGTCATGACACCTGGTCAGGCCTTCACCATACGCGAGAATGGAGCCACAGTGGCCACCGGAATGGTTATGCAGCGACTGCCCTCCCTGGACCTTCCCAAGAACAAGCTGTCGAAAGCGCTGGTGGATTGTTAACGACTCGCAATTATATTTGTACAAATTCATAAATTGCTATTCATACACGAAAAACTGTTTTTGTTAATATATATGTATCTGTTAGGGTAAATTGCTTAGAATGTTTAAAACAAATGCCAACATATTTTAGGTTTTTTATTACTTTCATAGTCCTAAGCCATGGCCAAAGCAGAAATAACAAATTACAAACAGAAAATGAGAGTAGATAAATAGATGGAATGCAACACCAATGCAATAGTGTTCTCTATGAGTCTTAGCCTATAATCTGCAGTTTCGGCGTTACAAGATTTACTTTAGGCAACAAATTGGCCCGGTTAAGTACATTTATTGTATACATATGTGTATATATATATATTGTTTCTAAGGTACAAGGTTCAGGCAAGGAATGCTCGTTTTTTTATGGTCGGAGTCTTACTCCCGGCACTTATTGCGTTTCACATTATAAGGTTGGTTCATAACCTTTTATACATTTACTACAAATGTTTCGTATTACAAAAAAAGATTGGCAATTCGGGATAGTAGCCATTTGATTATCGGAATGGATACAAATTGAATGGAAAATGGTGGGTAATTTTAAACTAAACAGGAACTACATGTATTGCGGCAACAGTGCTAAGCATCGTTTCATTGTCTAATAGATTTTCTAAGCATAAGAACATTATTCATTTCTCCAAACATTATACCGTATAATACACAAAAAGAAAACGATGTCATGTATGTCGATTGACAAATCCGACTCTTAAATCTTTGTTAGAAACTCGTCCAGATTCAGATGAGAAGGCAGTTCGATATCTTCCAGCTTGATGTCGCTATACCTGAAGACCACCTTGAAAGGCTGAATGAACTTCTGGTCGATGGTAAATTCATCGCTAATGCTCTTTTGCTAAAAGACACATTGGAAATGTAAGGATATCGGATATTTAAATAGTTTTTTTACGTACCGTTTGTCGGGCATTAAGTTCCTTGGTCAGTTTTTCAAGAAATACGTTTGTTATTTCACTCTCGTAATCATCCAGTTTATAGGACTTCATCACCTTAAGCACCTGAGCCGTGCTCAGTGAAGTGCACAGATCGCAGATGGTCTGAACGTCTTGCTCACTTTTCCGGGACTGTAACAGTTGGGATACTTGATTTAGAGGCGCCAACGGTGACAGCACATCGTTTGACTGAAAGAAACAAAACACGTTAATCTATAAACAATAAAGTTAAGTAACCCGACCTACCATCTTTTTGCTACGGACCCAATCCTCAATGCAGCCGATATTATAGCGTATTATCATACCCGTCTCCCACATGCAAATGTCGCCCCTCAGCATCAAACAATTGAGGGCCACAGCACATATAAAGTAAAGTAGCTGATGGAATATCTGCTCCGCATAGCAGTTGTCCAGGCCGAAGTGCTGGAATTGCTTATAGAAGTGTTCCAGCTGCCCGATTAGTTGCTTCCAGGCTGGACCGCCTCCGTGCTCTGGCGATGAGGCGGCTCCAATTGACGTGGCCCGGCTACGCATTCCATGTGCCTGTCGCCCACGCTGGATCTCATCGTTGTTAAGAATGGCTGGCACTATCTTGGGGTCCAACAGGCCCTGGATCTGCATGATCAGGGCCTGATACAGATTGACTATCAAATCAAGAATTACACGGCGGTACTCGAACAGGTTAAAGTTCTTCAGCTGCTGCTGATTCTGTTTCTCAGTGTTAAACTTCACATACTCCTCCACATCGCCGTATTGCTTGAGAAGGTTGAGCAGTCTATTGCAAAAGGGTATAAAGGAACATTAAACTCTATGTTTAGTAGAGTTTTACTTCGCTTACGTTATGGAGTTAACAAGCCAAATGACGCGGTTTTCAATCGGATGCGGCGTGCGGTGCATTTTTTTGATCTGTATCACAAATTTGCTTAGCAACTCGCGCACATCATCGTCGGCATTGGTCAGATCGGTGTATCTTGATTAACAAAAAAAAATATTAATAAATATTCTTATATTGTATTAGCAAGGAAACATACCGGATGCACATAAAGATGAGATAAGCTGGGAAACCTGGCAGAAGGCCGACCACTGTGCGTGGAGTCAACGCGCTCAGCAGACGCTGCAATATTTTGTCCAGATCGCTGCTGTGGAACTTCATGAGACCCTGTGGATTTTGAGACTTTTGCTTGGTCACATTCGCGCCCACGTCGGTGGATGTTCCGTTGGCCTTGTTGCGGCTCATCTCTTCCTCCAGCTTGTGTTCTAACTGGCCGCCATCCTGCCGGTAGGCCTTCAGCTTGGCATTGGCCAGCTTGAGCTCCTCCTGCACAACCAGATACTGAGCCACAGCATTCTGCAGTTCCCGACGCAGATAGCGGTCGTTCTGCTTTAGGGTATCCACATTGGCTTCCTCGAACTCATCGATACTTTCAAAGATCACCTTCTGAAGTTCATCCTTTTCGTTGTTTAACCGTTCAATCTCCTGCGTCATCTCCATAAGCCTGCTGTTGTGTTCCTCCGTAATGGCCTTAAGCTCGGACTCTAATTGACTGCAAAAGTAGGATGAAAAGATAAGTACTTCATTCTTTTTCTATATCGCAACCCACCGATTAATGAGCTTTTGCGATTGGAAGGCCTCCATAAGTTCGTTGACATCGTTGCCCCGCAGTTGCAAGCTCTCCGGCTCTAGAGATCTAATCGACTGGCTTTGCTGCAACAGGACCGCCTTCAGCTGGATGCATTCCTCGCGGCGCCTACGGACTTCTTCCTGTAAAGCTGCATGTTGAGCTGCAATGGCAAAGAGAGGGAGAAGAAGGAAGAACGAAAAGTGGTTCAGTTGGACAACTCTGTGGGTCGCACAGCGTGCGTGGGCTGTTACCATTGAGCTCGTTGATCTCAACACCGTGTTTTATGCTCGTCCGCAGCTGATCGTACTCGCTGCGCAGTTTCTCGTTCTCTACCTCAAGCTCGGAGACGCTATGTTAGTGGTGAGCAGTGTGCGGCAATAACACATAGATGTAGACAAATGTAGTTTGGTTTTAGTTGTAAAGACTTGGGGCAACATCGATCTCGGGTAGCGATCTCGTGTCAGTATTTTGGCAACAGGGTCTTGAGTACTTACCGGAACGAATCCTCGGTGGGCTTGTGGCGACTGGCCAGCTTCAAGTACTGCTCCTGCAGGTTTTTGTGCTTCTGTTTCTCCTCCTCGAGAATGGCTCGCAGCTTTACAACAAGACTGGTAGAATCGTTGTAAGAATCTTAACAGAAACATTATTAATTAGTCTACACAACGACTTTAGATGTAGTGGTCTTACAATTCTTGCTTAGCAGATCCGGAGGCCGGTTAATGTCAAGCGTGTTTTTAGCAGAAGCGTAGCCCACATCGTCCTCGTTTTGACTGGAGGCATTGCTAGCCTTGCGGCCGTGCAAGCTAAAACTGCCGGCCGTGAGTCGACTAAGCTCCTCCTTGAGCATGTAGTTCTCAGTTTCGATGACCTCCTTGTCTTTGATCGCTCGCTGGTAGGCCTCGTTCAGCTCCCTGTTGTCAATCTCAGCCAGCATGCGGTCCTCCTGGGTACGCTGGCTGACCTCTGCGTTCTTTGCCATCTCGATAATTTCGTCGATCTGGCGGCGCAGCTCCTCGTTCTCCAGGCGCCACGTCTGCTTCTGGCTGAGCCACTCCTCCTGCGCATGACCATTCTCCTCAAGCAGCTGCATTTTTTCATCCCGCTCCGCCTCCAGCTGTTTGTTGAGGGCTTCAATCAGTTTGTCCTTGTCCTGGCAGGCGGCCTTTACATTCTTAAATTCTCCCTCCAGGGTCTTTTTTAGTTCAAGCTTCATTCTGCGAAGAAAAATACAATAACAATCTGTATGTCAAAATTCTTATTTCTTTAAATACGGACTTTAATACGCTGATCTCGCTGGTCTTGTGCTTTAGGTTGCTGTTGTCGCGGTTTAACTCATCGATGCGCTGCTGCATAGAGATGATCTTGTTTTCCAGACCCATGTATTTATTTTCCATGTGCGAGATGGTTTTGGCCTCGGCCTTCATGCGCTTAAACTTACGGCGAGCCAGAAACCTGCGAATCGCCGCCTGGCAAATGATGATGTTGCGTCGTCGCTTCTGATAGGCTCGCCTCGCCAGGGCCCCGCGCACAAACCGCTGGATCTGCACCGCCCTGTAGTGATCCCGCATCGCGTTAAATTTGCTGCGGGCCATCATTCCACGAGCATAGGTCTGTATGCCGAAAATAGAATGGCGAAGGCGCAAATATCGACGACGGCACAACCAACCTCGAGCGTATTTTGATAGGATCAGCCCCGCCCGCGCTTCCCGCATCTTCTGAACACGCTGGCGGGCGAGAAAGCCGCGCGCATGCCGCTGTATACCGTTGATCACCATCTGGAGGCGCAGGAATCGACGCCGGTAGATGAATCTTCGCACCACCGACTGCACAATGGTGATGTACTTCTTTCGCAAGTTAGCCCGCACCTGTTCGAGGAACGCCACTTGACCGGCGCGGAAGAAGATCTGAGTGTTTCCGAAGCGATACTTGTCTTCGTCCTGGATCCACTTCATCACTATGTTCTGACACGACTGCTTCATGTCGTTCTTGTCGAGCTTGGAGCGGAAAACCAACAGCTGGTAGCGAGTGTAAAAGTCGGGATAAAGCCACCGCGAGGGGAACCCCGCCGCAGAAATCCGAACTGTTTCCAGCACACCGCAGGCCCTTAGCTGCTGAATAATCTTTGCCGTTTCCCACTTGAAGGCAATCTTGTCGTCGTTGGGCTGCGCGGGGTAATCATAATTGAAGGAATTTATAATTGAAAGTTTCGATTCTCACCTTGATGCAGCGCACGTAGTGCGGTGTTGTGGCATGCAGCGTGGATATTAGCGAGGCCAAGCTCTCCTGAAACTGTGATCCCACCGTTTTCCTATGCTGCTTGGATGGTACCACCTTATAACAAAAATTAAAAAGGATTAATAAAGCGACTTTACAATTTTAAAAACACAAAAAAATGATTTCTTTAAGTTAAACATGTGAAATTAAAATATTTTAGTATATATAGTTTTAAATTATTTCTGAACCTAGAAATTTAAAAGAAATTAAAAAAAAGAGCAAGAGCTATAGTCAACTGTCTCGACTATCAGATAAACGTTACTCAGAAAAGCAATTTTCAATTGGCGGGACAACTTTTTGAAAACTTCTTTCGCCTATTTGCCTATTCGTCACTATAAAAATCTGTAAGTTTAATAACAAAGAAGGGTGAAAGTATAGACTAATTAAAAAAAACCCACTCAGTACGCCATTAACTGAGGGTGGTAAAGAATTTTCCGGCTCGTGGGTGTAAAATTAGGGTGTGGTAAATTTCTTAAAATTTATATCGTTTTCAAGATATCCAGAATGTGGAACAGACATCAAGGTGGACACATCCCCAAAGGGACTGCGTATTTTTGAGTATCCTAACAGTACAGGTGTTATTCTAGCACTTGTAGTTCTAAAGATCTCGACGTTTATACGGGCAGACAGAAATAGCTAGATCAGCTCGGCTGAAATTCCTCATTATGATAATTTAGGGCGTTCGCAGGTTATTCCTTGTACCTTCTTTCTTCCTTTTCAACAAAGTATCGAGTAACGGGTATAAGTGTCTTATCTTACAACTTCAGTATTAGAACTTGGTTAGGGTTAAAATGAACAAAGAAGTGGATGATTACAATTTTATATGTCGTTCTGTTAGTCATTTTTAAAAAATTTAAAAAGGTTGTAACTAACTCTTCGACGGGTGTCGTTCCCTTGCTGTTGGACATTCCGAAGGACGTTGGTGGTGAGCAAACGACAAGCGTATGGAAAATACAGATAGCAATAAGACAACGGTTACAGGTGGACTAATGTACAAAGCAGTTTGATTCATGAGCTCCGTGCTGCATTTGGGTAATCACAAACCTGTTTGCGGCCAGCACTGATCACGACACGACCACCTAAAGTGGACGATTTGGCGGTATCCACGCTTAATGTGTCAATCTCCTCGAGAGTCATCACCTGCTTGACCAGGGACATGTTGGATTCGCTAAGCACTTGGGTTAGCTCCTTGGAGACAGTGTCACGATTCTTTTCCAAGAATCCGTTCACGTCATACTCGACCGTGTCGGAGAAATGTTTAATAAAGAAACCTTAAAACGTGCAATTGAAATAACTGTAAGATTTTAATTGATTATGAATATCAACAACTTACTTGTGGTGCCGAAGCGGGGCTTCTCGAAATGCGGAAATTTACTGCACTTTCCGATGAGCTTGCCAGCCCAGCTCTCGTCTGAGCCCTTGGGCATCTGCATAATCACAAAAATTAATTAACGATTTTAAAACCGAAGAACAGCAAAGTCCTACTCTACACTCCTCGTCGAGCAGGTCCAGCACTCCCAGTCGAGATTCAATTAGATCAATGCACGGCTGATTGTCGTAGAAGTCAATCATAGTCCAGGTTATGCCCTCCTTGAGGTACTCCTCCTGCTCCAACTTGAACACATGCTGGTTGAACTGCTGCTGGAGCTTTTCATTTGCGTAGTTAATGCAAAACTGTTCGAAAGAGTTCACCTCGAACGTTTCGAAGCCGTAGATATCGAGGACGCCAATGAAGCTGCACTGCTTGCTACCGTTGTTGAGGCTTTTGTTTAGCACACCGACGATGTACTGGAACAGTTTGGCGTAGATGTGCTTGGCTAGGGCGTCCCGCGCCGCCTGCGCCGCCTCAATACTATTCGGTATCAGCACATATTCATTGACCGACTCTATCTTACGCATCAAAAGCCACCGGCGCAGATCCTCGGCGCTCACACGTAGCAGATCGCCGGTGATCTGCAGGTGGATGTCATTATGCTAAGGTGTGGATAGATGAAGTACTTAGTACAAAGTATAAGGAATATGATATCGGTTTTGTTAAATATGCCTTACAAATATCTCGCAGGAATCCGTGTCCTCCTCTTCTGTGCCCTCATTAAACTTCTTTGACACTTGAATGTTGCCCAAATGGAGTATTCCGGCCAGGATTTTTACGATATCCGCTATCTGCTGAATGGAGAAACCCAGCACAGTCATGGCCTGTACGGTTTCGTTAAACTGATCCGCATCAGAAACGCGTTCGATGTCTGGAGCGCAGCCCATATTAAGGAACTGAAACTTGTCCTGGTGGTCTGTGATAAAGATGTGTTCAATCAAATACTGTGCGAAAATCAAAGAGTCATTCTGGTCTTACCGAGCACCAATTCCGGGTACTTGGCCCGGGCCGCGCACAACTGGTAAAATATGTGATAATTGCGCTCGCCCTGCGCTTGGTATACTACCCTGGATTTTTCCAACAAGTAGGTGTGCATGGTGGCCCCTTGCAGATACATCACGCCCATTTGATTACGAAAAAGCAGCTTGGTGAACTTTCCGAAGCGAGAGCTGTTGTCGTTCCGGGTGGTCTTTGCATTGCCAAATGCCTCCATGATCGGCGAAGATGCCAGCACCTTACGCTCGACCTGAGTCTCTGACTCGGAGCCTCCTACGGCGGCGAAGTACCTCATCGCATACTTGGCGGACACCGTTTTACCGGCACCCGACTCTCCACTGACTATGATGCTGAGGTTGCAGTTCTCGCGCTCCAATTTTGTGTACGCCTCCTCCGCCAGGGCAAAGATGTGCGGCTCCAGATCGCCCATAGCGTGGCCCCTATATGCCCGGATTATGCTCGGTCCGTAGAGCGGCATCTCCGCATAAGGGTTAATGGCCACCAGGATGATGCCGCAGTAGGTGTAGATAATCTGACGCTCGCAGAAGCGGACACGCAGATTGTGCAACACCCCCGGCTCATGCAGGTAGGACAAGGTGGTGAGGTCGTTTTGTCCCACCAGTATGGCCGGATTGCGCAGCGGGGGCAAGTCGCTGCCATCGGCCTTTAGCTTGACCTCCTTGAGGCTTCCAGATTCGGTGCAAATCTTCAGGAAGCCAGCGCCCCTTCGATAACTCTCCTCTAGTGTGGCACTCTCCCATACCTGTTCCACGTGGGGTATCCAGATTTTCGCGCCCTGAAAAAGAAATGTTTGTGATTATTGGAGGTCATAACAAGCACTAACCCCAGCAGCTGATGGAAGAATACCCAAGTAGGGTAATATAATATAATAATACTACGCTCAGATCTCCCAGAGCTCGGTAAAGTGGTCGATTAGTGAGTGTCACGACCTGCAGTTAACCCGAATCTCCTCCAGAGACGTCATCCAAAACGCTGTTATCATTCTAGCTTATCGCTCGTCCAATTCCCGGGCCGATAAGACCGCCCTGTGATTCACTGCCAAACATTTTTGGGGGCTGCGATGCAGTCATCAGTGGGTAATCACTTGTCATGGAAACAAATCAGGGCCAAGAACTGGAAAATGACCAACACACCTACACAGGCACGCATACTTTGGCCAGGGGAAAATCACGTTATGGGTGCAATTTTATATTGGCACCATTTGCAGACGACACCGACACCGCCGCAATCTGCCACGATGCACTTGTGGGGCATCAATATATATACTGTGTATACCTGCGCATATAGCATCTCCTCGCTCGACATGGTTTACACTTGCGGCCTCGTCCGCTCCTTTTACTCCTTCTTCTCCTTATCTCTCCTCTTCTTCCTACTCCGCGTGGGTGCAAGAGTGATTTGGGCTCATAAATCCCGTTAGCTTTATCCCCTTTTCTGTTTTGGTGAATTTTTTTGCAGGCTCTGTCAGCCTTTTTAAATTTCCATTTTCGCTGTTGCTATGTAGTTTACTAAAAATTTGCAGTCCAAACGCGTTTAAATTTTTTTAATAGAGTTTACAAAATCATTGGTAATTTTAGAACAAAACTCCAAATTATGAGAAAAACAAACAAACTTCCGTCTCTGTCACTAACCGACTGACTGATGTTTTGTTGTTGCCAAAGGGCAGGGTTGCCAAAGGGCGTGCGGTTTGGGCCATGTACAAAAAGGGTGGTTAATTTGCAGGATAAAGATTGAAATGCATGATGCCCATCATGAGAAAGATTCTATTAATTGATTAACAAACTTTACTTTTGCGGAATAAACCTCTGAGAGAGCCTTAAACATTTGGCGCGCAATGCCCTGAGTGAGTTTCGCAACACTGCACATCCACCCAAGGGTATTTATCAGCACTTTCACAGAAAATTTCCCGCGAAATTTTATTTGGCTGCGACACAAGCGAGGCATCGTCTGAATTTTTGTCACAACAGCTACAGTTTTCATCTGGAGCAGACTAAGTAAACATACAGCACTAAGAAAATGTCAAGTCCCGCTCGTTCGCCCAGTGTTGGAGCTGCCACACCCAAACAGGGAGCTCGCACTCCCACAAGAGGTAAGTTTTGGCATGTGAATAAGGGCGATTTCTTTGCAAACTCAGAATCTTTTTACACACAGGCATTGTCGCGCAGGATGTGGAGACGCCCATGCGTATGGGTCCCGGCAGGGCCGGCGTACGACCCTCGGACAACATAAGTTTACCGCCCACTTCACCAGGAAACATTAGTTTGCCGGCTACTAGTCCAGCTCGAGGATTGGGTGCCAACATGAGCGAGATCGATCTAAGTTCGCCGCTTAACTACGGCACGCCAAGTTCAATGGGCTCCATTCGCACCCCGCGCTCCGGAATAAGAGGCACTCCGTTGCGGGCACGACCTGACATCCGGACGGACAAGCGCATCCGCCAGGTGGCTATTAGTGGAGGCTCAGGGGTAAGTGGCATCCGGCAGATCTCCCTCAGAACTTAGACTCACTTGGGCTACTATTACAGCTAGAAACTATTCCCGAGAAAGGCTCTGAGACCACCGATCCTGTCTCTGAATCCTCGCAGGCACCACAGCTTGTTGTCTGGGGCACAAATGTGGTTGTCAGCCAGTGCAAGTCCAAGTTCAAGTCGTTCATAATGCGTTTTATTGACCCGGGTGCAGAGCAGGATGAGATCTCGGAGAACATCGATGTCAATCAGCCGCTTTATCTGCAAAAGCTAGAGGAGATACACACGCTGGAGGAGCCGTATCTTAATCTCAATTGTGCCCACCTAAAGACCTTTGACCAAGATTTGTATCGCCAGTTGATCTGTTACCCGCAAGAGGTTATACCTGGGTTTGACATGGCCATCAACGAGATGTTCTTTGAACGATATCCAGCCGCTTTACTGGAGCACCAAATCCAGGTGCGTCCTTTCAACGCGGACAAGACGCGAAACATGCGCTCCTTGAATCCCGAGGACATGGACCAGCTGATCAGCATCAGCGGCATGGTGATTCGCTCGTCAAATGTTATTCCTGAGATGCGCGAGGCGTTCTTCAGCTGCAACATTTGCTCCTTCAGCACTACCGTCGAAGTGGACCGTGGTCGAATCAATCAGCCAACGCTGTGCACCAACTGCAACACGAACCACTGTTTCCGTCTGATCCACAACCGATCCGAGTTCACGGACAAGCAGCTCGTCAAGCTGCAGGAGTCGCCGGATGACATGGCAGCCGGTCAAACGCCTCACAATGTGCTCCTGTATGCCCATAACGATTTAGTAGACAAGGTGCAGCCGGGTGATCGTGTTACAGTCACGGGCATTTACCGGGCCACGCCGCTTAAGAGCGGTGGCCTTAGTTCATCGGTAAAGAGCGTGTACAAGACCCACGTCGATGTGGTGCACTTCCGCAAGGTAGACAACAAGCGACTGTATGAGGAGGAGGAAGGGTAAGCTCGGTAAACTTAAATAAAATAATAATATCTCACGATAAATACATTTTCAGGAAGGATCACATCTTTCCGCCAGAACGTGTTGAGCTGCTGCAACTGCTGGCCAAAAAGCCGGATATTTATGACCGCCTAGCCAGAGCCATTGCGCCCTCTATTTACGAGAATGACGACATCAAGAAGGGCATTTTGCTGCAGCTTTTTGGTGGCACTAAAAAGAAACATGCAACTCTTGGCCGTCAGAACTTCCGGTCGGAGATCCACTTGCTGCTTTGCGGCGATCCGGGTACATCCAAGTCTCAGATGCTGCAGTACGTCTTTAATTTAGTGCCAAGATCACAGTACACTTCAGGACGCGGTTCTTCGGCTGTGGGCTTGACTGCCTATGTGACCAAGGACCCGGAAACGCGTCAGCTGGTCCTGCAAACGTGGGTTCAAATTGAAATTTTGCAATTCTTTAATATGCTAAACTTTTTTGTGCTTCAGGGGTGCTTTGGTTTTGGCTGACAATGGTGTTTGCTGCATTGACGAGTTCGACAAGATGAACGACTCGACGCGCAGCGTTCTCCACGAGGTGATGGAGCAACAGACCCTTAGTATTGCCAAGGCGGGCATAATCTGTCAGCTGAATGCAAGGACCTCCATCCTAGCAGCCGCCAATCCTGCCGAGTCGCAGTGGAACAAGCGCAAGAACATCATTGACAACGTGCAGCTACCGCACACTCTGTTATCTCGCTTTGATTTGATATTTCTGGTCCTGGATCCCCAGGATGAAATTTTTGACAAGCGTCTGGCAAGTCATTTGGTATCGCTCTACTATGTGACCCGGCACGAAGAGGAAGACACCATGTTTGTAAGTAGTTTTGAATGAATGTACAATTTAGATATGTTATTTTAATTTATTTGTTTGTCACTTTCTATCTAGGATATGAGTGTTCTGCGCGACTACATTGCCTACGCCCGAGAACATCTGTCGCCCACGCTCTCCGATGAAGCGCAGCAGCGATTGATTCAGGCCTACGTGGACATGCGCAAGGTGGGCGCCGGTCGGGGACAGATTTCTGCATATCCTCGCCAACTGGAGAGCCTTATTCGTCTGTCGGAGGCGCACGCCAAAGTGCGACTCAGCAACGAGGTAGAGTTGCAGGACGTGGAGGAGGCTTGGCGACTCCATCGAGAGGCACTCAAGCAGTCGGCGACTGATCCGCTGTCCGGCAAGATCGACGTGGGAATCCTTACCACTGGCCTATCCACTGCAGCCCGCAAGAAGCGAGCAGATCTGGTTGCAGCAATTAAGGAGAATCTTAAGAAGAAGGGCAAGGTTCTCACAGTTCCATATCAGAAACTATTCAACGATATCAAGGAAGGGTCCCAAATAGTTAGTATATATATATTTTATTTACAAGCTTGGGAATATAAATGAATTATTTTTATTAAATAACCTATTATTAATTTTAGATGATCACACGTGAGCAATTCGAGGACGCTTTAAAGGAGGTGCAAGATGAAGGAGCAATTGTTGTCATGGGAAAAAATACCATTCGTATTTGTTAATTTTATAATATTTATCTCATTTGAAATCATAAACTCACTCATTCCTATTTTAAGCGCTATTTCATCAATAATTTAAAAAATAAAAAATGCTTAATTATGCTGCCTTGTTTTTATGACCTCTAATTTCATGAGGAAATTTGTTAAGGTAAAATTTCATTACAAATAGAGTCCAAAACCACATATGCATATTTTTGTTCAAAACTCTATTCGCACTTCAAGAGTCGCTTTAAAACTATATTCCAAAAATCATCCTTTGATGACAAAAAAAAAAAAAAAATGTTATTAATTTTTGGATTCCATTTGCAATTTATTCTAGCTAGCTTCGGCTCGCCGAGGCTTATATACCCTTGCAGTCATTAAATATGTCGAACAAAATACATAACTTCTAAAAAACATAAAAGCAATTACGTTTTTTCCATATATATGAACTATTGTTCATATGGCAGATATAATATAGTTGTCCGATTTTGATGTTATTTATTTTGTAATTTAAGAGTCGTTAGAAAACTTTATATTCCAAAAAGCATGCTTGTCTGCTGAAAAACAAAATGGTTATAATTTCACTTTCGTTTTTTACGGGGGGTTTTCAATTCAACACTCTCAGGAATACCCCTTATTTTTGAAAAACTCAATCGGGGCATTTTTTAGCAGATTTTTGTCAACGAAAAACACATATTTTGGCGCTCTGGCCGCTGCCACACTGTGTGTACGGAAAATGATGGAGTTCGGGAAATCGTCGGAGCATTCGCAGCATAGCGCCTCCGAGGCGTCGGCGGACTCTGGCAGCCTGGCGAACAGCGACCTGGCCGCGACGCCGACGAAGCGGGACCGGGAGCGCCGCAAGTCGCCGGCGACCAGTTCGGACAACACCAGCACCAGCGTCCAGGCACCCATGTCACCTTCCTCCTCAGTGGCGGACACCACCTTTGAGCCAACCATCGACATGATGGTCAACGATTTTGACGACGAGGCCACGTTAAACGAGGAGGAGGCTCTGGCGGACATGGAAGCGCACAGCGCCGAGGACGAGATAGCCACACTGCGAGAGGAGAGCGAGATGCCCATCGAGGAGCTTCTAGCCAAGTATGGGGGCGCGTCGTCCTCGCCGGCGATCAGCAGTTCCAACCGCTCTGGCAGCAGTTCGCGACGAGCACGTCGGGCTACCAAGCGGCAGTACCAGGAGTTGGACACAGAAATGGCGCACACGTCCACCTCAACTTCTAGCGGAGCCTCGCAATTGGAGAAACTCAACGATAGCGGAGAGCAGGAGGAAGCGAAGGAGTTGCCGAACAAGCAAGCATCTCCGCTGGAAACTGGAGAGGTCTCTTTCATGGAAGCGGAGGAAGCTTCGCAGTCAGAAGGAAACAGGAAGCAGCATCGCTCCCATTTGCTTGACCTGTACCCAGACGAATCCTTCACAGATCTGGCGCCCGCATGCGGTGAGGAGGCCGAAAGATGTATGTATAAATGAACTTCAAAATATAATTAACCTACATTATGTAATCCTTTTGTAGTCACTCCACTGCAAACGTTGTTCGATGAAGTTGAAGCGGAAGAGGAGGAGGAAAGTGAGTCCGAGCTAGATGACACCCGAAAGATTATCATGGTGGGCCATGACTATCAGGCTGACATTCCTGAGGGCCTCTCGCAATATGGGGACATATTGCCGTATGAGAACGAGGATCAGTTGATCTGGGAGCCCAGCCAGGTTAGCGAACGTGAGGTGGAGGAATACCTGGCCAAAATTCAAGAAACACGATCAATAGTTCCGCCGGAAGGTGGAGCAGAGGCTGCTGGTGGCGAGGAAACTTCAGCTGCCGAGCAACTAGCTCCAAATCCAACTCCTGCCACGCCGCCAAAGTCAACGCCTACATTTAGTGGCGCCGGCGACCAAGAGCTCGTGGTAAAAGACAACGAACAGGCGCTTCATTTGCTCGTCCAGTGCGGCTATGACTTCAAGGAGGCGCTGCGACGTAAGCGCCTAAATGTCCTGCCTCTCAGCGACACCATGAGCAGCTGGTCCGAGGACGAGTGCCTGAAGTTCGAGGAGGGCATCCAGCGGTATGGCAAGGACTTCTACCAGATACGTCAGAACCAGGTAAAGGAACCAGGTCCGTCGCCCGCCGATCGCCCCTAACGAGTAATCTGTGGGCTCGTTGCGCTCTTTCAGGTGCGCACTAGAACGATGCGCGAGCTGGTCCAGTTTTACTATCTGTGGAAGAAGAGCGAGCGCCGGGACCAGAGCTTTGCCCTCAACGACACTATCGATCACATGGACGTCTTTATCAACGAGGCGGGCGCTGGAAATGGGAGTGGTAATGGTGCTGGAACTGCACCTGGAATCGGGACTGCTAACAGCAACGGCAGTTGCTCCCCGCACAGCAGCAATGGTCACAGCAATGGTGACATATCCACCCTGGAAAAAGATGCCGTTGCCAGTCCGCGAAAACCCGCCTCAAAAAGTTATTCCATTATGACTGGGAGTCAAACAGCAGGTATCGCACCTGGAGGAAGTCGGAAGAGAGGAACATCCGCATCGGCGCCCCTCGAAGACGAGGATAACGTCGATGAAGAACCCAATTTGACTTCTGTGTAAATGACACTCCTCCATCATCAACATTATCATCAATGGGCGCAGGCGTCTTCCATTCGGTTGGGCCAGGCAAAGTATTAGCAGGGCGTCTTCATTACCATTACCACTCACTATAAATATGCATTCTGTACGTGTAGTATATACCATATGTCTAAACATATATATTCCAGATTCTTAAATCGACATCTCTCATACCCCGTAAAGAATTTCTCTATTGTTAAGCGTGCGATTCGTCTAATTGTTACATGTGCGTATGGATTCCGGAACCAAGTACTTATCGCTTATATATACAATATATTTTCGCTCAATCCTTGAGTTTCGTTGAACGTCATGTCAATAAATGTAAAATGTATATCTGTGAAGTCGTCTTACGGTCTTATTTATTAACTTCTAACTTTTCCTTAGCTGATTTAAACATCAGGTTTTCCGGCTAAGTAGAATCAGGTTTTAAATTAAGGAAGTTGAGTATTCTCATATATATACATATATATAAAGGGTCATGTTGGAAAAGGGCTTGTAAAATCTTTAGATTTCAAGATTTTTTGAAAACCATTAACCTTTGACTTAAGCTTTCAACTTATTAACTTTAACTTTATTTTATATTGGGTTAGACCGGTATTTAACATTCATATTTATCAGTCCGTTACCTAAAATTAAAATTCAAGGATTTCGCTTTACACTCATGAAGTACTCCGTACTCCTTATATGCTAACCGGATTGAAAACAAAGAACCGGTCCGTACTTTACCATGTATGTATATATATATATATATATATATGCAAGTATCTTTTTCCCCAGTTTTCTTCTTAATACGTTCTTGCAAATGGCCAATTACGGTGTTGGATTCCCACTTATTGGCCGGTTGCCCGTCCACGTATCTGTGTGTGTATGACCAACTACAAATGCGAAAATGTATGTGAATTTGCGGCGAGGATCAAATGTCAAGATGAAATCCAACCGCAAAGCTATAGATCTGATAAATAACCCCGGTCGCCAATTGTCGTGTCTGCTTCACTTGCATTTTCGCAGTCTTAAGAGAAGGAGACTCAACCCGAAACGTGCAAAGTATATGTACATATATGTATGTGTGCTTTTACATATAGACAACGGATACAGTCTTTGGTTCCAGGCTCACGATCATTCCAGCTGGAGCTTTTGTTCCCACACACCCTCGTATATGTTTTGTACGTTTATATGTACGTGTGGTGGCTCCACTGGCGTGGCGTGAATTTTGTACGTTCACTCCAGCTCCATTTCCATTTCCAAGCAGCCCAGCCAGCAGACCGTAGTAAAATCCAGTTTTGATAAAAATAAACAAAGTACGCTACACCACGCTCTATACGCTACACTATGAATTTCCAGCCAATGCGGCAGGGCCACCTGCAAAAGGATCTTTTTCTGGAATGACAGGGTGGGGCGAAAAGGTTTTCCTCCGCGATAGAAAGTGATATGTTCATGAAAGTCGCTGAATGGATCGGATGGATGTATATGGGTGTAATACTTGGTAGTATAACCCCATTTTTGGGAAATGGCAGAGCATATTGGATTCGTTACGGCGGGCCTACAACGGCGAAGTTAACAACCGTAAAAAGCGCAAATACGACTCAGAGAGTTGCGGCCAGCGGAAGCTTAACATCCGGATAATATTGCCCAGGCAGATTCAGTTGTTGTTCTGCTGCCTCGCCTGCTTCTTCCTCTTCTTCCTCGTCTTCTTCTTCGTCTTCAGTTCGTGGCAAAGGCAAAGCCTGTTGCTCAAGCCACTCTCCTTCCCGTCTCCTCCGTCCCCGCCTCCGCATCTGCCACCGCCTCCGTCCGCTCTTTCCACGATTCTCTCTCGGCACCGCCAAAAGGCACGTAAACTGGTTGTTGCTGGCTGGGCCGTACACATCGTGGTGCCCGTACTTTTCGTATTTTTCGTATTTTCAGTGCTGCCTGAGCACTTGAGCTGCGCGAGTCGCTTGAAATCGGAATTGCCATCGGACGTCGACTCAGGGGAATTGGCAACTCGGATCGCGGACATGGAGCTGGCCTACAATGCGTCATCGTCGGCGGCCTCCGTCGCCCCTGCTTCTTCCCCCGCCTCCTTCGCCTTCACCAACACCGCCAAGCTGCCCATCGAAACCGTGAAGCGGCTGATTGCCGCCGTCTCCCGACGTCCAATGCTCTGGCTGCGCAACAACGCCAATGGCCAAAAGCGCAGCGACATTACGCCCGTTTGGTTTGAGGTGGGTCAGGATGTCAATCTGCCAGGTAACCTTTCGTCTCTCGCACAATCGTTTCCTCTCTAAAACCTTACCTTTTGGCAGCCGACATTTGCCGGATCAAGTGGGGCCACCTGAGGGACAACTTTCGCAAGGTGTACATCCGCAATAACCTGTCCACTGAGACGCCTTCGTCGTGGCGCTTCTACAACGACATGCGGTTTATGGAGCCCGCCGTCCATGAGAACATCATGCGGCAGACGCGTAGCAGCAGCAAGAAACATCCTCCAGGGCACTGGACGGAAAACAACAATGTGCTGGGTCCGGACAAATACGACACAATGTCCATTGTGGCCACGGAGCCCATTTGCGAGATCAGCGACAGCTACGACTCGGAGCTGCACCAGCCGAGTTTCTCGGACATCAGTTCGTTTTTTGAGGACCGTGAGTGCCAACCGCCGGAAAGCAAGAGGTTCAAGCTGGAGCCGCAGCAGCCGGAGCAGCAGGAGGACGAGGAGGACGACGATGACTTCGACGAGGACGCCGCTTCGGAGAACCTGGAGGAAGAAAGGGAGCGGTTCAAGCGGTCGGAGGCCCCAAATCCCGGTGTTTATACAATTGAAGTGCTGGACGATGATGAGGAAATTGAACGGGCGGTAACCAAGACGCGTTGTAACCACAACAACAGCCACGGCTCCAGCGTAAAGAGCGAACCGGAGGCTAAGGTGTTTTCCAACTCGCAATCCCCCTCCTCCGATCTGCCCTTCAAGTACATCAGCACGGATGCAGCCACTAACACAGATCCCTCAGGAGGCGATCTCCAGGACGAGGCGGATCGCATGTTCCTGCTCAGCCTGATGCCCTTCCTCCAGAGATTGGACAATCGTCGCCGGCTGCGCGTTCGCCAAAAGCTGCAGAACGTGCTCATCGAAGAGCTTGAGTTCGGCTGAGGATCCCGTTCCGGAAGCGGATTAGTGGCAGAACTTGGGAAGATGTACTTTATAAGCGTAGCTTACAGTATTATAAGAACCCGACTGACTAACTCTGTGGATCTGCCTACATACGTAGCATGTAATCAGTATTCCGGCCTGCCTTCCTTCATTCACACACACTTGAATACATACCATACTATATATGTACATATATTACAATACATTCGAACGTTTCCAATAGACTATCGCCCAGCGTAATTACTTGTTTTTACACCAGGATAACCACTTGTGTAGTTTTACCTGTATCTGCATTCCGGCGCACCTGCGCAGTTTACCTGTGCGCACCACGCTCTCCTCCCGCAAAGTCGAGTTTCCAATTATCCACGGCCACGGCTGTTGCAATCGCTTTTTCTATGCCACGGGCAACTCGAAATTTCTGTCAGTGCAAAACAAGTTCCTTAAGGGTGGTATATGCGGCAACAACAAACAAAAAAAACAGTCACAAGAGAGCTACAACAGCTAAGCAGTTCCGTCCGAATTTTCGCGCCACATGCGCCGTGCTCTCTCCTACTCTCTCCCGCTCATGACTCTCTTGGTCGCTCCATAGGCTTCGGATGGTTGGCGATTGGAACAGCAAAACAGATCATGAAATACCCTAAAAAGAATTTTTGAGTTGTAAGTTTAAATTTGTTATCTTTATCATCTAATCTTTATCTGTAAGTAGTACACATCGTTATTTATCGATTTCGCTAAAAAGCATGCTACTCATTTTTATTACAAATTTACATTTCCTTTTTTTATAGAGCTGAAGGGATTGCATTAGTCTTTCTAAATTCATCGATACATTAACTAACAACTTATTTCTTATTTGAAAGTGGTTGGCTTTTTATTGAGTAATTGCAGGGAACATGTTATTCCTACAAGCTTAAATATTCTTTAAAAAAAAAACAAATAGTTATAAATTCATAATTGTTTCAAAAGTATGGTAACAATAGTACTACCACAGTTATTTTCAGATTAACCAAAAATACCTTAAAATCTATAAGCCCAAATAATAATCTTATTAAAAGCCTCAGTGTGACCAGATCGCGCACCCTTTATAAAGAACCATCCAGTCGGCTATTCCCAATACCCTCAATAAACAGGGGCGCAAAATATCAACAACAACAATAAAAGGGGCATTGTGAGAGAGCGCACATAGAAGAGGAAGAGAAAACAGCGAGCGCACGAAAGTGAGTTTTACATGCTGAGTTAAATGGTTAAATGCGTGCGTAAAGGTTGGAGTGAAGACAACTAAGAGTCCTAGTCCCGCCGCAAAAACTGGGTCAAAATTAAAACCACTCGATTGGGGCAAACAAAGTTCGGAAAGTTCCGAAAAGTGCAGCAAAATCACACACGGCTAAGTAAATTAAGCAAGAAGCAGACGTACAATAAGAACAATTGTTCATGGCCTTTTAATTTCACGTTCGCTTGCAGGAAAAAAGTGCACGAGGGCGGAAGCAAAAGTAAAAAAAATGGCCCAAATAATGGCCTGAAAAATGAAAACGATTTGAAAACCCTTCAACGATTAGCGATTTCCAGACTCTCTTAGCTTTTTTACATCGACCAAACAACCACATGATAAAGGAACAAGGACGGACTAGCAAACCAAATTAAAGCAAAGTGACGATTATGGATTACCCTACGACGGTGTAGAGTGAATAATTTTATCAAGTGAGTGTGAATTAAGTCGGTTAACCTGAAAAATTAAGTTTAAAGAGGGTTTACCTTTACAATCTTTCATGGGAACAGTAAGCGGCTGTTCATGTAAGTGACATGTTATTAAGCTAACTCATATACCCATGATACCCTGCAACGCAATGGACGCCATTATCCTATTAGCCGTTATGCCCGATCAGACGATTTGATTGTTTGAGGTTAGTAACAGTACATTTAACCAAACTTGTACAACGACCCTCTTCGTTAAATGCAGTTCTGTGCGGCATAAGTGAAAATAAATAGAAGATAATAATAAATGCATGTAGCCTCCCAGACTTATGTGTATGTGTGTGCGAAGGAGAGGCAGAGAGCGAAAGCAATAGGAGAGAGCGAAGGAAAGAAAGAGCGACATTTTTGGAGCGCGCGCGCGCACATTAAAATCAAAAACTAACTGAGATACATTTGGGTTTATTTTTTATATGTTTTGTTTGGGCTACATAGATGGTGATGAGCGGCAAAAGCAACAGAGAGAGAGAGCGGGAGATTATGTTGTGTTTTTGGTTTCGGTGTCGGTTTCGGATGTATCTTCTTCTTCAGACGGAATAAGGAACACACGAGCACGAATGTCGGAGCGAACGGATTACGCATAAGAACTCTCTGGAATCAAAAATCTCGCCTCGCGAAAATCCGCTGAAAAGGCATAAACCATCACAAATCAAAACGGAATCCGCGTCAAATCCAAAATCGAATCAATTAGTTAAAAACGAAACAAACACGGGCCTAACAATAATAAAAGCAAAGCGGCGTGCATGCGGCTGCTAAAAAAGGTGTGTACGAGAAGGAGATGCAAATATAGAAAGCAAAAGAAAGAGAGGAAAGGGAAGACAGTGAAACTATCAACACAAAACGATAAATAGATCTTTAATATTCAATTGCAGTCAAGTGCAAATATTGATTTTTTCGGCTCCCTGAGATTCCCAAAAGATTCCTCTCAACGGTTTTCCAATTTTGAAAACAATACATACACAAATATACACGATTTGCGGCGCAGAAACCACCTACATACGGACATGTAGAGAAACTTGTGTAAATACAACCCTCGTCCTCATCCCCCGACGTTTTGCGCCGTATCCCCGCTGCACGTACACAAATATACGAATGTGCGTGTTTGTGTTTGTGAAAGGACTTTAACTTCTTGGTCGTGTTTTTTTCCACGTCCTGCGACTCGGAGACAGACCCGTTTCAATGGAAAACGTTCAAGGGTGACAAGGGTAGTTTCGCCGCTGCCCCTTCTCCTTTTGCTCCTCTCAGTTCTTTTCCTGCTCTTGTTCTTTTTATCCTTGTTTTTGTTGCCGCTGTCTACACGGTTCGAAAATATCCTAGAAACGCATTCCTTTCCTAGGGCGTTGCATTGTTTCGCCGGAAAAGGGATCAAGGCTGAGACTCTGTATTGATTTCGACAGGATTCTTTTGATGAAAAATTTCAGCAACCCAAACCAATTACTACTCGTTTGCATATTTCGTTCTTATATTTTGGGGTTTCTATATTCTAGATTACATGAAATTTTCATGATGAAAATATGTAAATATCCTTTTTAGATCAAACCTTGATTTGTTAAGTAAAAGTGTTAATAGTCTCTTACAACATAACTGAATTGTTTTTAGTTGTCTTTACAAACTGAAAACCATAAAACCTTAAACATTTTTTATTTTCTGCAAACAATTGCAATACTTTATTATACGATAATCATTCGTACTGAGATGTTTATTGTTAGCCAAGGAACTAACTTTTAGCCCAACATTAAATTCAATTGTATCTTTATTTTAAACGTCTGAACGTAAATTATATTTTCTGTTAGGGTTAACATTTTGACTAAAAACTCGAAATGATTTTTGTTTTTCCATTTCTAATAAAACCATTTGAAAGGCTTTTTAGTTTATAAAGTATAAATATTATAAATATTTAATTATTAAGAAAGTAGAACCAGCTCGAAGCAGCTATATTGACATTAATATTCATCTAAACGGGATCACACCCCAACCCACTTATAAAGGCAAACCCTTTTCCCCTAAACCCCCCACCGGACAAGCCGGATTTGGTAGGCCCACCCTCAAGGTTATTCTATAAATTAACTCAAATCACCCAAAAGCAGAATTACGGAAAAACACGTTTTGTCGTCAGGTTTTCCTCTGAGTGTAGAAGAAGCCGCTCTGAAATCCTGCTTCTGCCAAGGGATGAATGTTGGTCGTTTGATTGGGCGTACATTCCTTGTCTTGAAGATGGCAACCAGTTCCGTCTGTTGTTTCATGACGTTTTCGCCTTGGGTTTTCCACCGCCCAATTCCCTTTTACCCCCTCCCCGGTGGAAAAGTCGCTTGCGCAGTGCAGACAAAGTGAGATGGTGGGTGGAAAAACAGGAAAACGTTATAACTACGCGATAAGGTGGAGTCGAGAGGTGGGGCTCCGCGGGGGTGGGTTCTAATCCCAATCCTGTTTGTTTTTCTGGGGGTATATTTCCGAACTCAAGTATCTGGGTTACAAAAAGTACCTACGTAGTACAGCCAGTTCGCCGAATTGCGCGAGAAAAACTCGCCATTTTGGCCCATAAACTAGGATGTGCGTGGCTAATTCTGAAATTTCGGGATTCCAAATAACTTGACAATGGCTTGAGTGCGGCCGAGCATCTTACAGATACAAAGATAGGCACACAAATCTGACCTGCTGCTGCTCGCGCTACACAGCTGCCATTCTCGGGTTGCATTACGTTTTTTCGGATTTGGGACGGGCCCTGCTTATAGGATCAGGGGTCGGGGATGTAGGACCGAGGATCGGGCATAAGAAGGCAGGCAGGCGGTCGGGGAATTTTCCCGCTACCTAAGATGCCCAAATGCAGCTGCAACTGCCTGTCTAGCACTACTTAATGAAGCACCTTTTCCCTGGCCAATTTAGTTAGCTGCTACCCCTCGCCAACTGACGACGTCCCGCGCGTTCCAAACGCAGTTTAGAAAAAAATACTTTGACTATTTGTTTGTCTCTAAGCAAATTTCCTCTAAGCAAAAAGCTCTTGCAAATTTCAAAAGCCTTGTTAATTTTTATAGCGGAATAGCGCCACTCCATCGACTGCCGCCTTGTGCTATAGAAACGTGATCTCACCACTCTCATGATGGAACTCTTGTCAAACAAATCGGTTCCGCAACAAATGGCCAGCAGCAATGCGTCGAGCGCCAACGGCGTGGCCAACTCCTCGACGGCCAACGGAAGTGGAGGCGGTAGTGTGAGCAGCAATGCCAGCAACTCCTCCGAGCGGCTGCTGGCTGGCATCCTCGACAGCTTTCCCGCCTGGGATCTCAACGTGGGACTGCTTCCCAATGTGGGACAGAGGTGAGTCAAAATTATTTGGAAAAAAATGGGAAACCTTAATTGAAACTCGCGTCTTATCCCACTAGCTCACCACCACGCACCGACTTCTTCATAAATAACTTCTTGGGCGGCCTGGACACGCATGGCGACTTCAGCATCGGACCCATTGGCAGCGGAGCACGCAGCAATCCAAAGATGTCCCCGGAGTCCTCCAACAACTCAAGCATCAGTTGCGGCTGGTGCGAGGTGAGCGCTTCGATACGTTGCCTCGAATGCAACGAGTTCATGTGCAACGACTGCCTGAGGGAGCACCGCAATAGTCCGCTGTCCTCCAACCACTCCATTGTGTCCCTGCCCACGCCCATCGGAGCATCGCCCACGGGAGGCAGCTCGGTGAACGCACAGACTCCGCCCAGCGGCAACTTCATTTGCGACATACACAACGAGATGCTGCGCTACGTGTGCGATTACTGCCGTAAACTGGTGTGCCAGTGCTGCACACTGCACGAGCATAAAGAACACAGCTATGCCTCGATTCAGAGCTTTATGGTGGGCTCCAAGGAAAAGCTGGAGGGAGCCATCGAGAGCAGCCAGGTGGGCACGCGCTGCATTAAGAGCAGCATTGACAAGGCGCTGGCCTTCATTCGGCTGATCGAGCGCAACTGCAGTGAGCTAAGTGACAACATACGCAAGGCCTTCCGCCAGTTTATCATTGCAATTGAGGACCGCGAGCGCTTTCTCCTGGACTTTGTGGAAAAGCTCCGTCAACGTCGCCTGGCCATCCTTCATGATCAGATGGCAGGCTTGAAGTCGGCTCTCGCAGGGCTGTCGGAGACCTCGGATATGCTAAGCAAGGTGGCGGATAATGCCTGCAATATGGACCAGATCGAGATTGCAATGAAGTTGACCAATGGCCAGCGGCAGATGGAACAGTTTGCGGGCATCTATAAGGACCTGCAGCCCAAGCAGGAGGTCTTTGCGTTCGCACCACCGGACTACAGCCTTTTGCAGGATATCCGCAACCAGGGTGGTGTAATCCTGGTGGACGACAAGAACATGCCCATAGTGTCCAGCAGCAACGGCATTGTGCCGAGTGTCTCCAGTGTGAGTGCTGTGGCTGCCGCCTCCGTGGGCGTTGGTGTCGGAGGCGTTGGCGGTGGAGTCGGAGGCGTTGGAGTTGGCGTTTCCAACGGCATGGACATAGCTTTTGGCATGAACATGGCTAGCAATCCTCTAACCGTGGCCTCCTCGAGTGTTCGACGCCCTTTGCTGCGGGACAACAGCTTCCGGATTCCATCACCTATTATGCAACCACGCGGAGGAAGTGCCTGTGGAATGTCTAGTGGCATGTCCAGTGCTGCTTTGGATTGGGAGCTCAACGGACTGCGCAGCTCACCCGGACTTCACTTCAGTGCGCCAAGAACCACTCAGGCGATCCCGGGGTGCATGGATCTGGTAAAGGTGCGGAACTCGAGTGCTCTTTCGCTGTCCTTCGCCACCGAGGGTCATGAGGACGGACAGGTGAGCCGACCGTGGGGACTGTGTGTTGACAAAATGGGCCACGTGCTCGTATCGGATCGCCGAAACAATCGCGTCCAGGTCTTTAATCCGGACGGCTCTCTAAAGTTCAAGTTCGGACGCAAGGGCGTTGGCAACGGAGAGTTCGACCTGCCCGCCGGAATTTGCGTGGACGTGGACAATCGCATCATTGTGGTGGACAAGGACAACCACCGCGTGCAGATCTTCACCGCCAGCGGCGTCTTCCTGCTTAAGTTTGGCAGCTATGGCAAAGAGTACGGACAGTTCCAGTATCCGTGGGACGTGGCCGTGAATTCGCGCCGTCAAATCGTGGTCACTGATTCACGCAATCATCGCATTCAGCAATTTGACTCAGAGGGCCGCTTCATTCGCCAGATAGTGTTCGACAACCATGGTCAAACCAAAGGAATCGCCTCGCCACGAGGCGTTTGCTACACGCCTACGGGCAACATTATAGTGTCTGACTTCGACAACCACTGCCTCTACCTGATTGATCCGGACATCAACGATGTAAATATGCTGGTGTACAGGAAGGTTTTATGGATACTAAATTACATTACATTTTTTGCAGATTCTCTCTGTTAAAGGACACGAGGGCTCAGGCTTCCATGAGTTTAATCGGCCCTCGGGCCTGTGCTGTGACGACGAGGGTCGCATTATAGTGGCCGATTCCAAGAATCAACGCATCCTGGTCTTCAATCAAAACCTGGACTTTATGTGGGATGTAAGTACAATATTATGTTCAGGACTTCTCAAAATTCTATAACAAAAATGAACAATTCCATTGGCAGATTGAGGTGCGACCCTCCATCAATCCTCTAATGCCGCCAACGCTGGACGAGAAGGATCGCACCTGCGATGTGGCCATAATGCCAGACGGTCGCATCGTTTTTCTCATTGAACTGTCGCCAGACTCCAAGGAAGGGTCAAACCCTTACAAGCGGTTTGTGCACGTATTCTAAATTAGGCTACGAGCGCCGATCTTTTTTAGACCATTTACAAGAGCTAAACGTTAGCGTAGAGACCCACTTAACAGGACGATAGAGAGCAGGTGCCGAAACTGAAATAATAAGGGAAAGGGAAAAGTCAGAATCAGAAGTGCATGGAAATTAGCGAAAATTTTTAGCTTAAGTGCTACAACGATTACCTCGATATTGCTTAAGAGTTATGGTTACGATTTGGTAATTTACAATACAATACGAATAACACATATGTATCTATGGATATCTATATCTATACGCATATGCATATATCTAGCGAATATACAAGCCCAACCAACCAACCAATTAAAACTAAAACGAAAATGAAAACTAATGCGAAAGGCAGTTGAAAATGATATAGGAGATATATAGTCGTAGGATCCGAAAGCATTCAGTAGAGTTACCAAACCTAGAAAAGATAAAGCAAAGAGGGAAACTCAACCATTTACTAGATGAAAATATTATTACCTGTTAGTTAGACTGAAAGGCAGTTTGCTAGCTGATAGAACGAGGAGGAGTAGAGAAGGAGGGGTGCGTTTTTATGGGGTTGCTTAGCGGAAAGAGGAAACTACTTTTGACAAGAGTTACTAAACATGATTTGCAGAGACACTGTGGAATGGTATTAATGTTTGTATTATAATCTTAATTCGTTTGTTTAGTTCAGTTTTACGTTTATTTTACAACTATTTTTTTGGTAAATATTTTTAATTATTTTTCTTATAATTGAGACTGAGCAAGTGAGTACACGAACTTTGTAAAACGAAGCAAAGCAAAACAAAGAAACAAACAAAACCGAAAATATTGATGAAACCCGCTGACTTTTGGTTGAACTTTTAACGAAGACTGATTAACTAAATCGCAATTTCGGAGCCAACTAAAGAACCATATATGGTGAGGCCAAAAAGTGAAAAACAAACGCACTCAAATTGCAATGACATTGATAACGTAAAGTAACTTAACATAGCTTAACATACATACTTTCATACATATAGCGATACAGATATCTTATAGATCCGATCATCCAGTCACGAATCATCAAGGGCATAGCTGAAACCGAGTTTAACTGACACTCATCGACATTCACCCACTCATTCATAGCCATTATGCATCACAGGGCTTTAGTTTGTGTTGTTAATTTGTAATTAATGTGAAAGGATTTGCCCGCAGGATACACGTCAGGTTGAAGGGAGGGGTTAGCTGAAAATTAGGAGGAGAGTTGGGGGGTGTTTAACAAACAAAACTTAAAACTAAAAACAAAATAACGAAAAAATTATCATAATTTTTGACTCAATGTGTTCATTAGCATTTAGTAGACTTAGCGGGCGTGGCATAGTGAAAAAATATGGAAAACCAGAGCAATATATGGGCGTATTGAATACACATTTAGGTGACATGTTCCTCGCAAAAGAAACAAATAAAACAAAACGATGAAACTTAATGAAATCACGAATTAGCTGAATTATCTGTCTAGAGGTGGAACGATTTTTAATAGCAAATCTATACACACACATAAATAGAGACGACTAGGACCGATTCTGGGCTAAGGCCAAGCGTTCAAAAATTTAAAAATGTATTAGCAAACTTAGTTACTTAGTTTACGTTATGTTCTTACTGTTTTGAGACGTTCTATTCTTTGTACTTGTGTTCAAACCCGACTTCAACGGATCGACAGAGAGATGATACATAGCTAACACTCCTTCCACGAATAAAGCAACATTGCATAAAATGCGCAAAACAAACAAAAACAAAAACAAAAACCCTAACACTAAAACTAACCTTTAAAAAAAGATGCAAAAAAGCCAAAGGCTCTACGAGAGCTGTGGCAACAAAAAACATATACAATATTTATATACACTTAATATACACCAGAAGGCAGAAGGGAGAAGGCAGAGGGCAACCCCCACATAGAGCTATATAGAGTAGATATCGTAATTATTTTACACCTTAGTTTAGCCAACCCCCGAAATTACGAAAGTACGGGGACCCACACGATCGCCATAACATACTCGTAACCTCATTTTATCCAATCGTAACACCTTAAAGCGCCGTTCATTTCTTGTGATCCAGATCGAATCATTCAAAAACATACTCGCACACAAAGCGCACGCAGAGCATCCCCCACAAATATCGTATGTATATATCATATATATCGCATCGTATCGGGCCTAGCGACATCTGAGAGAATGCCATATTTTATATTTGTGTGAGATTTACTAAACCAATACTAAAGAACTAATACTTATATCATTACAAATGAACGCCGTTTTCTAAAAGCCACAGTTTAGAAATTGTGTAAAAAATGTAAACAAAAACTAAAAAAAAATTAACTTCAAGCAAAACAGATAGGAAGGACAATTATTGAGATTTAAGCGAATACCGAATGCCATAATTCAAAATAAAAAGCATTTAAACATATATATCTATAGAATACTAAAGTATGTTAAACACAACAAATTACTACAAGTCATGAGGATACTGAACAATTTGCCAAAGGCTTAAGAATCAAAATGAAAAGCAAAACCAATAACTTTAAATAACTCCACACTACACTCAAACACACACACACATTCAAACCAATAGTTAATTAAACTTTTTACAAAATACATACCAAAAATACTTAATTAACTGCAAGCAGGTATTTTTTCAAATAAACCGAATATTCCAAAAACACGTTGCCCAAAATACACCTACGATTAATTCTAAAGCAAAAAAATGCTCATATACAAGTAGCTACTAAAATAAAAAACACTAAACGAATCCAAAACTTAAATCAGGTATTCAAATTTTTTTCGTATTACGTACTTAGCATTTAAGGAGAAAAGCGTAATGGCAAACTTAATGACTAAAAATCATGCTGAAAATGATTTTCAAAGGTAAAATAAAAAAAATGAACTTCGCAAAACCACATACATATTTACTAAGCAACTTTTTTATAACAAATCGATTGACGATGCTAAAACAAAACGGAATGAACTCTTATATCAAAATAAAATTTTGAGTAAAACTTTTAATGACAAATGCAAACGCAATTCTCGACAAGCTCGGAGAAATGATTTCATTACCTATAAAGATCTTTGAAATGATTCATTACGCATACATACATATTTTGTCGCTATCATTTAGCCATTAGTTTGTAACAAACCCCCCAGATTGTAACTAAATTTGAAAATATTTCTTATTTGGAAATTATATACATAAACATACGCATACATACATACACGTACTAACATATGTAATAATTATGGAGCAATTGAGTACAAAACGAGTACAAATTTAAAATATAAGCCAGATCAGACGACACAGACACACACACAGCTTAAGTTAAAACATACATACATAGATCGATCGGACGAGCGCAGCATAAGAAATAATGATAGGCCAGCTACTGGTTTCGCATAGCATACTGCATACTGCATATATTCGTAGAGGATCGGGATGAGGGTCAGGATCGAATGGAGAATTCATCGAAATAGCCAGCATACTAACCACACTTATAAGCATAGTCGCATACATACATAGTTACTTAAACATAGACTAACCCCCATATACTATATATCTAGGACAAGCGATTACCAAAATTTCCGAAAATCCCTCCTACTCCTCTTAATCTTCAAATATGATTTGCTTGCGATAAGTAAGGGGAGATCACGTTTGGCATATGCAAAATTTTCTCATACATTCTCACCCACTCAGCAGCGTACAGCGTACATACATACATATGTAGAGGCGTGCGGGTACTAGGTACACCCACCATTAAGCAGCTATTAAGTCATATGGCGATAAATCTAAAGAAAATCTACCAAAATCAAGCGACAAATTCAATAACGAGTTGCAGTTAAAAATTGTAATTGTCTAATAGTGAAAAGCGAGAAAATCTGAAACAAACGCATGCCACGGTTACTACGATACGTGGTTTGTCATTTTTCTATATACATGCGTACACATACATATTTATATACCCAAATATATATATACATACATAGATGTGGACTTGACGAGACAAGAATAAGAGTATATTTTATACGATAAACAAATTTTATAACATATTTAATAATAAATTATACACTAATAATTGTGGACATTGTTGGCTTTTATTTTCTAGATTCGGTTCCCCTTTTGGCTGTTAAACTTTTTTAAGTTTAACAACTGTAGCCTAAAGCTAGGCTTTTGCGTCTTTCGAATAAAGCTTGCAGGGAAATAGTTTTAAAAGCTCCGTATCAAAATAATGATTGATACTAATAACGATCATTTACCAAACCAATATTTATCTGGCAACTTGTTTAATCGCTTAAGACTTTGATCTCTAATTAAATTGAAATTATAACTTTATAGGCAAAACAACAAAGTAAGACTAGATAAACAGGCTTTCGTTTCTATTACTTTTAAAGGGTGGGGTTATAAATTTTTTTAATTTCGTATGTACTAAGTACTTATAAGAAAATGTTATGTAAATATCGCGTTAAATATGGCTTATTTTTTATAAGTTTTTTATAAGTATCCGATAGATACTGCATTCGTGAGTGTCCAGCTAATTTCGATATACTCGTATTAGTTTGCATAAAACCAGCATCTTTAATTGTCTTGTTTAATGGGAGATGCCTTCACGTACACCCGGAACCTGGGTCAAGGTTACCTATTTATCACCATAGAGTCACATACGGCGCAAATGCGTTTCGGGTTTTGTCAAAAATGTTCCGAGAGACCATTAGAATAACAAAAGGAATTGTTAAGTACTTGGCGCATAACGAGGCTTTTATGAAGACACAGCCAAAGCGAACTCAAAAAAGGTGGGATATTATTTTAGATCGCATTTGTTGCGTGACTTTTAAAATTGCGCCAGCTTGTGTGCAAATACTACCATTCGAATAACTTTTACAATTGTTTGCTGGTCGTAAAGTTGAGTAAAACTGATCCAAAGTCCAGATCCATTACCCGCTAATTTAAGCAACGAGAACGAGTAATTAAGGTAATAGAATCTAGATTGACGGGGAGTCAGATTCAAGCAAATGGCAGGTTTGCTGGAGCAGCATAGCCCCCACGCAAACTGTTTAATTTTATTCGATCTTCGGCAGACGCCGAGTGGCACTGAGGGTTTCATGGTCAGGGCTCGGTGCGATGCGATCTGATGCTTAATCAAACTTAAATAGAAAAATATACTTTTCAATAACCGGTTACTTATTTGCCCACAAATCACTTGTCTCTACTCCCCAAACAGCTGTTTCCCAGGCCAAATAACAAATACGAGAAGAGCAAATATTATTTTTTTTACCTGATGATCTTTAGCCTGGCTCGCACGATTCCTAATTGGGTAGGGCATCACGTAACTTAAGGACCGGCACCTTTTGAATATCAAATACTAGAAGCACTAAACTGCTTTCAAAGGGAATCTCAGTTTTAATGTTTATAAGCTTAAGTATATCTTTAGAACTGTTTGATTTTTTTTTGGAAGTAATTTGAGTGTAAGTGCGGACAGAGGTTCCCACTATTAAATGGATCTTATATATTTGAGTCTAATCTTGTGTCAGTGTTTTTCTAAGATAAAACATTCTGAACACGACATTCTAATTTTGGTGTAGCGTCAGAGGAAAATGTTTTTAACAAACTTAAAATTTTTGTTTGTATAAATAAATATAAATTGTTTATAACAAAAGATGTGATCTTTAAATTAGTTTTAAACATAATTAAATACCTAAAGATATTCGTTATTCAAAATATGCAAAAAAAGCCTACTGAAATTGTAAATCCGTATATAAAACATATTTTTTAAACCCCTTTTTCTTTTTTAGAAATATTATATTACCAAATATTCAATATACACTGGGTGTATGACTCAATTTTCAACATACAAGCTTTATTTGAGCAAAACTTTTTAAGTCCAGTTTCTTAATTGGCAGTTGGTAATTCCAGTTTTGTAATTTACAATGTGACAATTATTTTTAGATGTTGAGATGTGGAGTTGGAGCTGTAGAAGCTGGTCTTTATTTTACGCATTGTTGTTAGCCAAGCGGAGGCTGCTATCAATCACCATTATCTTTTGACTTTAGGCCAAGAATGCGTGTGCATCTGTGTGACCTGAGATTACTACCGAAGACCCCGAAAAATTCAAATCCATATTCGAAATAGCAGTGTGTAAACAAGACCGAAAAGAAAACTGAAACTGGAAAAGCGACGGAGCAGCGGCTACGGGCCAACTATGAGTTATAAGCCAGGTTTAGACGTGTTTCGAGCGCGGTGGCGTCAGGTGAATCGGAGAGTCCACTCGAATCCGAATCCAGTGCGTGTTCAATACGCTTTTGAATTGTTTTTTTTAGCTTTGTTTTTCGAGTTGCGGGCGACGCATACAAATTAGACCAGCGAAGAGTGTAATTAAAGCTGGCCGAATCGAAGTAAGCCGCTCCAGCCGAGCGCTGGTGGAGTGCATCGGTCCGGCTTTCTGCTACCTGATACCTAATGGCTGATACCTCAGGTGGTCAGCGGCCAATTGGCCACCATTTCGCTGCTGGACGCCGCTCAAATCAGTTGGCTTTCGGTCGTTATCGTGCGCAGATTCAAACAACACCTCAAGTACCGGACAGCGGTTATTTAATCTAAGCGATTAGCCAACTAGCGGTGACAATTAGTCGACCCAGATGCTGCAATGAAAGTGAAACTGGAGCCAAAACTAAAACCAAGCAAATAATAAAAAAAATAAGAAGCCAGTTACATGATTAATGCTGAATATGTTGTCATACAGAAACGTGATTAGCGCGCCGTCGGATAATACAAAATAAACTCACTGTGCTAATCAATTCATATTGAATCGATGTTGGGAAACTGACATATTTACATGGCGCGGAGTGTCCGGCGGCGGTTGAACTTGAAACTTATTATGGAGTGCTAGTGCATTTGGGTGCCAACTGAACTTTTGTGTGCATAAACTGCATTATCAGCAGCAAAACAATAATACAAAAGCTTTTTTAAATTAATTCATTCCGCCCCTTTAAAACCAAAAGCGACAATTTTTAGGGCTTTATACAAATAGCGAAACACGAAGCGAATTTAAAGACGCTTCTTTTATTTTCACAATTTTAATCTTTTTAGTTTTTTTTTACTTTTGTGAAACTAATAACTATAATTCCTTTATCAGTAATAAAATATAATTGCAATCAAAATGTCGTCTATTTATATTTTTAATTAAAGAACCTTTTAATTAATCTGCAAAACCAGTGTCCATATTATGTCGTTTCTTGGAAAAAAAGAGTATTAGTTAAATTTGAATGTTTTAAAATTAATTTTTACTTTAACAATCAAGAACATTTTTAATTAGTTCCACAAGTGGATATTAAATTGATTTTTCCACGGGGACAATGTGACATTTTTACATGGCTATATAACAGCCTGTTGCCGATTTGGCTTACTTACTTTACTGGGCATAGCTAATAACTCAAGCCGAATATTGGCCAATTTTACAGTTGCCTGTTACTACCTCAATTGCATGGACGTACGGCAGATTTGTGCTATTAAACGTATCCTCTAAAAAGTATTTTAAGGCACAGGAACCACACTCAACGCTCAATAATGTTTGACAATGCGATAAGACCACATCCAGAGGGCAATGGAGGCCAACTTAATAGTAAGCCATTAGACCATTTATATTTGGAAGTGCCCGATTTTTATTGATTTCCCATTTAGCAGGAGATCGGGCGATAACTACTGTCATCAACATTGGTAAGCTTTAATAGGTAACTGTGAAAGCAGTAATTACTAATTATATTGAATTTAGCTAAGCCAAAAAAAACTTAAGTATAAGTTGGCTCCTAAATAAGGCGAAAGGTTCATTTTTAAGTATTAAGGGGCATGAAAAAAAGTTAATTATTTTTAACTTAAAATTAAATCAAGCATACAAGACTAAATATAATGTACATACTACTAAATCTCTGTAGCTAAATTTCTTGAGTCCCCAAATATAGACTCTTTTTTGCCACATCACGATGACTTGGAATAAATGTTAGATTGTTTAATCGAAATCATTGTTATTAGCCATTTTTCTAATCAAAATCACCGTTACAAAGCATTCTTAACGGGAAATATAAAAGTGCAGTTGACAAAAATAAGCGTTTTGTTTCTCGTCAGCATTCTAAATATATTCTTAATAATTTCTACCAATTTATATTGACATATGTAGATAATTGAAGATTAACGGCTATAGCAAAATGCTTTGAACTTGTATTAACAGAGTCCAAAACATAGAGATTGTTATCGGACCGACACGGTTGACTTTCCCCAGTCGAAATCCAGTGCCCATATCAGTTTGTATATAGCCTACATATGTACATTCTAAATAAAATACACATCCATTTAAAGCTGATAATGAATGCCAGCGCCCCTAGTTGAGTATATTTTCGGGTTGTGGAGTAAGAATCCATTCAGTGTCAGCCGGCATTTGTGTTGAAAAAGGTGTGTTGGGTTCTCGACGAAATTAAAAAACATATAAAAAAAAGTGTTTTTTATATAAACCAGATGTTTTTGGCGGAAGACTGGATATGCTAATTTTTAAACGCAGTTAAAGAGCGCATTAATTTTCAACCAGCTGTTCTTATATATAAAGTGCATATTGTATAGGCTATCTGATTAAAGTGTTGAAGAACTAGCAACAAAAAGTAATTATCAATTAGTAAACATTTAAAAAGTGTAATGTAACCGGTATTACAAAATTTTACAGTTCACAACACTTTTTGGCTTATCCGCGACTCAAACCAGGCGTAGATAGTTAAGTTCTTATTGGGAAATATTTTAAAAGCTCAAATAGGAAAACTCTGAACTGAAAAATTCATGTTATTTTAGTAATTATGCATTTTAGCAGAGTTTATAGATTTTGTTGCGCAACTGATTATTTCTCATTATACAAATAAATGTATATCTAACCAGATCCGAAACAGATTCTTATTGGTATATATTTTTAAGCCGCTTCTGGTATGTTTTAGAGACAAATTCGAACACCGGAGCGGTCACACTGGCGTTAGTTTCGCATCCAGATCGGATCCAAAATCTTGAAATATACAAGTTTTTGTTGTCGCGGTGAACGGTTGGCAAAGCGCGTGAACTGCATGCGCCTTACTTTTGCCTCTTGATAGTACAAAAAAGTACAAATAATTTGAACTACAAACAGTAGGCGGACGAAAAGAAAACAAAACGGTAGATGCAAACGAAAGTGAAAGAGTGTCAGTGTTGTTTACATTTCTCAGTGCCACCCCTCTTACGCCCCCTCTTTCTATCTGTCTCTCTTTCTTTCTCCCGGTTTCTCCTGGATCACAGAACCAGAAACTGAAAGTCGAATTGGAATCTTCGCCTCACAACCAGAAAAGCAACAACAACCAGAGCAACTTCAATCCGAATCCGACAGAATGGCCAATTTCGACGATGTGAGTGTCCAATTAGGCAATTTATAGCAAGCGAGAGAAAAAGATGTGTAACGATTATTAACTCTCACACAAACGACGCACACAGGCCAACGCCGTGCACGTAACGAACATTAAGCGCCTTATTTTAGTTTGATTTGATTTTTTATTTGAATTTTTTGTTTTCGCCGATTCGTCGTTATCCTCCCGTATGTATGCGTGTTGCATGTTGCTATTGCGTATGTGAAAAACCAACTGCCTCCTACGAAAAACAACAATAACAACACAAATGGAAACACCAAATGCAATGGAAAACGAAAACAACAACAACAACTACGATCAGACGTTGCAACGCGCTCGACTCGCCTTTTCCAGTGGAAAGACCAGGAACGTCAGCTTTCGGTGAGTTTTTTTCGGTAGTTTCTCGGCTTTTGTTAGTTTTTTGCAAGGCTCCCCAGTTTTGGGTTTGGGTTTAGTTGATGTTTAAACTATCGCTTGAGTGGAGATTGTGTCATGTATTACAGTAGCCATTGGTTAAAAGTATCTGAGTGCTCAGATAAAACTTAATTTGGACCAAAAAAGTCCTTGAAATATTTTAACTTCTTTAAAATTTAATGACTTTTATTGACCTTTATTTATTTAATTTTCAAAATAATGTCATTTCACAAAGAGTTATTAATATTTTTAACATTTCGAACTGCGGATTTTGTTATTTATTGTTTTTGGACTTAACTGTAAATGTAATAATCGTATTATTAAGTATATATATGTACTTTGATTTATTATAGATTTATCCTTTTTCTACTTTTTAACTTAAAAAGTTATTTTTAATGTCTCCAAAGAGCTTATCTACTGCGGTCCAGCGCATAAAAAACGTTCAACAATAAATTGTAGTCATAGTTAATCAGGTTTTCCTTGGCCTGTTTACCACTGTACCTCTGGTTACTGTTATTACAAGTTGTAATTACAGAGCTATTGCGGCAGGGCAGCCGCCGAAATACAATCTTAGCTTGTAGGTATAATAACTTTTCATGGTTATTGTTCCATTTCGGCCAACGAAATCCCGAGATCTCAATTCCACCGACTTTCACACGCAATGAAAAGCTTTGACCTTTGAGCCCTCGCCCCGAGCTTTTCACTCCACGGTGATAAGAATTCCCGAAAGCGGAATACTCTGACGGGGAGAGATGCTAAAGTATAGTTATTGGGTCTAAGTATGTACCGTTCCGATGTGCATTAATGGGCCCGCGACGGGAACTTTGACTCCGCCAAGTGGTTGTACTTTGAATGCAATTAGACCGGACAACGGCGGACTGAATTCGTTGCCTGTAACCGGAATAATTGGCATTTCCACCTCCCGTCCGAACATCAGTGATCGATCGGACAATAGGCACGGACGCAAACATGCACACTCATACTCGTTTATGGATATGTTAATAAACAAAGAGATAAAGAGAAGTAGAAGCAGACGGAAAACGGGCGATATACCATACCCACCGATAGTTTTGAGTGCGAAGTGTGAAACGGAAGTGCGGAAGAATCTCAGCCCAAGGCTGCTGGCCGTTTAATTCCATGATCTTTCAAATAGATCCGGACAAATGAACACGTTCTATGACTGTTTTTCGCCTCTAGCAACTTCTACTCCAATGCGCGGCTCTTTGATTATATTTAAATACATTTGCTGTATACATACAGTTGAACTTCAAAAGCGCAAAACACAGAAACATTTTGACTCGGCTTATAATAAAATAATAAAATGTGAACTTCAGTGCAAAAGTAATAATACTTAGCTAGTAAATTTTGAGCTTAAAATACATAATTAAGTTAGAACGTCATATAATCAGAAATTAAAATCATAAAGTTAAAATAGAATAACAAGAATGTATATCTTAATAGCCATCATAAATACGCCCGTGACACTAAACAATAATGTTTAAGTTAATAGAAGTTTAACAAAAGTAAATCATTTCGTTCCTAAATGCAATGAGGTCGTTGGTTATTAAGTACAGAAGTACTCACGGAAAGGTTGTACCCAATTGTTTAGCCAATTAATGAGGTTGTTTTTCATTTTATTTATGATTTATAGGCAATTTTGGACACTGCGCGGCTAATTGCTTTATTTATATTCACAGCGATCGGCTGCCCGTCTATGGTTTTATGTTTGTCATGAGCAAATAATTCGATTGAATTGCAAGTGCACCACTGGGGGGCTGTTCACCTGCTGCTGCGGATCACCTTGGCTTGATCCGCGCTCCAGCGTGGACTGTCATTATCTCCAGGTCAAAGTAGAGCAGCGCATCGGGTTGTCAAGCCGGTTTCCGCCGTTCTGTCCACCCGGAGTTGACTCACCAGAGCCAGAACCGTAGAATCGTATAATAGTAGAATATCTGAAAAGCAACCGCATACCTAGCATTGACCTTCCCCAAACGCCTCTCGTGCATTGTGATTAGTATTGATTTTGTTTTGGTCTTTGTTTCGCGCTCCTACCGCGGAACTTGTCCCATCATCATCATCATTTGTCCATTAATTATTTTTGGTTTTTGGATTCCGTTTTCGGCTCTATTTTCAGACGCAAGCAGCTGGAGAATCTGCTGCGTTGCTATGAGGAGCACGAGAACGAGATCATCAGCGCCTTGGAGGCGGATCTGCGGCGCCCCAAACAGGAGAGTCTCATCGTTGAGACCGAGTTCATGAAGAACGACATCAAACACATTCTCTTCCACCTCGACGAGTGGGTGGAATCGGCGAAGGTGAGCTGTCCTGAGCAAGCTGCTTGGAATACTTGTCTAATTTTTGTTGTTCTGCTATTTCCTATGTAGCCCAGCAAGCCGTTTGTGAACCTGATGGACGATGTCCAGATCTACAACGATCCCTTCGGCGTTGTCCTGGTGATCGGCGCCTGGAACTACCCTCTGCAGCTGCTCCTCGTGCCCGTGGCCTCCGCCATCGCCGCCGGAAACTGCGTGGTGATCAAGCCCAGCGAGATCGCCGCCAACTGCGCCAAGTTCATTGCCGATGTCATTCCAAAGTATTTGGATAATGTGAGTTTTGTGATGAATCTGATGAAATTAGCTAAGCTTAAAGCGCCTAAAAAGTTAAATTTGAGGTGTCGCATCAACCAGTTTATATAGAATATTATTATACCAAAAATAATTAGTTGACAATTAAAAAAGCTAGCTTGGAATACCTCCAAATAATTAGGATTTTAAATTTATTCTTTTAAAATTTGTTTCAAAACAAGCTTACGAATGCAAATGATAAAAAGTGTATGAGACATTTTATTTAGCATTAAGCAAATTAAATTTTGGTGTTCAAAATGATTTAACTAAAAACATTCCGATTGTTTAGGACTGTTATCCCGTTGTCTGCGGGGGGCCCAGCGAAACCGCTGAGCTGCTTAACCAGCGCTTCGACTACATTTTTTATACGGGATCAACACGCGTTGGCAAGATCATCCACGCTGCGGCCAACAAGCACTTGACTCCGACCACCTTGGAACTGGGTGGCAAAAGGTGAGCTCGCTGGGATCGCCCTTTTATTCAATCCAGCAATTAACACTTTGTGGGTAACTTTCAGTCCTTGCTACATTGACAAGTCCGTGGAGCTGCGCACTGCGGTGAAGCGCATTCTGTGGGGCAAGTTGATCAACTGCGGACAGACCTGCATCGCCCCCGACTACATTCTCTGCTCCAAGGAGGTGCAGGAGAAGTTCATCGCGGAGGCCAAGGACGTGCTGAAGGAGTGGTATGGCGAGAACATCCAGAGCAGTCCGGATCTTAGTCGCGTGATCAATGCCAACAATTTCCAGTGGGTTGTCTTTGCCATTTAAGTGAGCACTGTTTCCAATCTGATGTTATTTCAGACGCCTTCTCGGACTGATGAAGTCTGGCCGCGTGGCCGTTGGCGGAAATTACGATGCCAGCGAGCGCTACATCGAACCCACTATTTTGGTGGACGTAAAGGAAACCGATCCCATCATGGAGGAGGAGATCTTCGGCCCCATCTTGCCCATTTTCAATGTGGAGAGCGCCTACGATGCCATCAAGTTCATCAATTCCAGGTATGCCTGTCCGTGGGCCACTCACCGCCCCTATTTTCCATTGTCGTCGCCCTTTATCATTTAATCACCCCACGGAAACAAACTACAACAACCAATGTCCGATTCGCCGTGTTTTTCTCTTAGAGAGAGTCCTCTTGTCCTGTATATTTTCACGTCGGAAACAGAGGTTCAGAATCTGTTCATAAACGGCACCCAGTCGGGCGGACTGTGCGTGAACGACACGATAATGCACTATGCCGGTAAGAGAGTGACCCAGTCAGCCACTAAATCAATCCAATCGAGATGCTAATGGATGTGGATAATGATAATGAATGCGGCTGCTCGGCCTGTAGTCGGTTGCTTGCCTTTCCTCTGCGGTTTTGGTCTCTCCCAATCTCCAATTCCCCAACTGAACCTGTTTTCGATAGCTTGCTAAGAGCTCTGCGTATCTGTAATTTTTAAAAGCCTTGTCTGGTGACGGTGATTCTAATAATTTCTGTACAGCCCCTGTAGTATATGATTTAAGATTTCCAGTCCAGCGGATTTGAGTAGCTACACCTCCCACACTAGTCATTGCTCATGCATTTGTATATATGTCATCGAAAGTTGCAGATCTGTTAATGCGTATTATTGGCTACGTCTCTGAAATGAAAGTTCTAAATTCCAGCAGATCTGCAATGACCGTTTGTTTGTCTTTATGTGTAACTTTTGTTTTTTTCCAAGAATCTAACGATGTCAAGGAAGCTCAACAGTGTCGTTCTTAATCTTTTTATACCTTTTCCCACTCCCCGTAATTAGAGAAAAACCCCTTGTTATTTACGTGTTCTCCAACTCGAATAAGCTAGTCAGAGAGTTCAGGACCAACACCACTAGCGGCGGATTCTGCAGCAACGAAACAATAATGCACTGTGGAGGTACTGCGCTAAGATATTGTACATAGTAGTTGTTTAAGAGAGACACCTTAATCAGTTTTGTGTAATGCACCAATCTGGGATGTAGAACCTTATTTACACGAATTTTAAGTAGCCGGTTTAGTGCACTCCAGCAATCGATATTTGAAATGCAAATTCTTGTCAATCCCTAGACACCTGACCACAACGAGAACTCGGATAAAGACAACACAAAAAGTAAAACAAAACTCTCAAGTATTCAAATAGTATGCACATTGTTTTGAATATTAATTAAGGCTCAGTGTTTTCTGGTTTCGGACTGTGAAATTGATATGTATTTTTGGCTTGGCAAAATTTTGATTAACACTTAAACGCTTGGTTAAGAATTGCAAATAGTAAATTAATATTAAGAGTGCTAAAATCTATTTGGTGATAGCTTTAGAAAATAAACTACTAGGGTGTGGTTGAACATAAGTTTCGTATCTAGAATTTAAGCTAATACACAAAACATATTGGTATTTGCAAAAATGGAAGTTTTCTTATTAATCTTTTTAAAATACATACATATATAATTTTTTTGCAAATATCAAAATGATCCCGGTGGTTGACTAATACTTAAATTAAAACTTCCGTGCTCCACAGTTGATGTGCTGCCATTCGGAGGCGTTGGCATGAGTGGAATGGGTTGCTATCACGGAAAGTATGGCTTCGAAACCTTCACACACAAAAAGTCTTGCCTGGGCAAGGATTTGTCAGCCTTTGGCGAGAAGTTGGCATCGTAAGTTTTAAATTTTTCACTGCCTGAGGCTTTAAGTGCCTATATTAATGAATGATTTCTTTGCAGAGCACGTTATCCACCGTACTCGGATCGCAAGGGATCGCTGCTGTCCTTCCTCCTGCGCAAGCGCCGTCCGTTGCCAAATCTGCACCTGAGCCACGTGGTGGCCATTGGAGTGGGCGTCGGATTGACGGTCCTGGCCAACTACTACATGCAGGTAAGGAAGGTATAGGCAAGCTGGCTCCAGTTGCTCGATTGTGCCCATTAAAATGTACGCTTATCTTCCATGCCTACACCTCACTGGGAAACACACTCAATATTCGATATTCGACACCATCACACTCCTCGCTTCACTATTTATACATATTCCCCGCCGTTTGTCCACAATTCCAGGGCAAATTGCTGTCGCGTTAGACACGATGAAGGACCCCAGAGTTAAATGCAGCCTGCGCCGCTGGACCGTTACCATTTACTTATGGAATTGTTTGCAATAAATGTATTAGCGTAGCACAAATGTATTTACTGGGCATGCACTTTACTAACTTCATTGCATATTCAGACTCCTTAAACACTACTAAAAATGGGACACAAGACTTCTTTATTGGGATTCTTTACCTACTTTTTTTACGCCTCCCAGCTTAGCAAATGTTTCACAACCTATCCCAATTCTTTATTTTCAGAAAAGCTCAACTGATTAAAACCCAAAAACTTTTTTACTTTTTATACGCATATCGGTGGGTGATGTAAAGCTTTGGATACTTCGTTATACATATAGTTATTGTTATTTAGTTGCTATTTAATACAAATGTGAATGCTCTAATGTAATATATGACCAATAAAAAATATTAAATTACTATGACATATACATATTTGAATTTGAGCTTTGGAAAATGGTGTGACCAGCTGTAGTCAAACGTGTTCGCTTAGCAACACTACTAAAAACTTGTTAAAAAAGGTCACATCTAAGGCCACAACCCATTTTAACATGGTAGAAGAAAAAATTTTGGCTAGTGATGCGAAGTCAGTGGGAGAACTAAGTTGAAGGTGGGAATTTATTGTTGGATCTCACCTCCTGACAACACTGTTGGGTTTTTTTTCGTGTGGAGACACTGGCGTCTGCGATTTTTGTCAATCATTTGCCAGCAGAAAATATATAAAAACTCAGAGAAAAATGGCAGCGCACGGCGACTTGATTGCACAATTCATAGAGATCACCGGAACAGACGAGAATGTGGCCCGGTTCTATCTGTCTAGCTGCGACTGGGACATAGAGGTGAGATTTCGCGAACCGGCGACAACAATGATGCAGCAAATGCGTCCAGTACTAATGCACCCTACCTGCCGAAATGTCACGATTGCAGCACGCTCTGGGAAACTACTGGAGTACCCAGGCGGACCTGCCGGTTCCGCCTGCGTCAGTGGGACACGCGGACAATCCAAGACCGAAGGCGACTCCGAGTAGTGGAGCAAGCGCCGGCCCCGCCGGAGCTGTCAAAACTACTGAAACAGCTAAAACTACTGACGCAACCGCATCTTCTTCAGCTTCAGTTGACGTCGCACCGACTGCGTCCAAGGCCAAGCCAAAGTGAGCGATAGATATTGTCAATAGAAGTCTACAACGTCCAAATAACCCAAACCCGCCCACAGATTCGCCACACTAAGCGACATGTCCAAAGAGCCATCCAGCGACGATGACCAGCAGGCCTTTTACGCCGGTGGCTCAGATCGTTCCGGTCAACAGGTCTTGGGCCCGCCGAAACGAAAGAATTTCCGCGAGCAGCTAACCGACATGATGCGCTCTGCGCAGGAGCAAAATATCGCGGAGGTGGGCCCATCTACCAGCAGCGGAGGTGGCGGTGGAGGAGCTGGAGGCACTGTCTGGGGCCAGGGCATGCGGCTGGGCATGACCGATAACGATCACACTGCTGTGGGTACCAATAAACCTCCGCCGTCCAGTGAAAACAAGCCGGTGGTGGTGCTGAAGCTCTGGAGCCAGGGATTCTCCATCGATGGCGGCGAGCTGCGTCACTATGACGATCCCCAAAACAAGGAGTTCCTAGAGACTGTCATGCGCGGGTAAGTATCATTCATTCCTGGGTGCAGCTTTTGGTAATATATTAGGAAACGATTGCATGTGAATCCCTCAAAATGAGTAAATCTCACAAATTTACCTTGTACATAAATCTATTGTCTGATGGTATTTAGAACGGGGATAAACCGAAACAGGAAATCAATATATTTTTTAACTACCCAACAAACTATATATCTTATTTCATAACATGTGTAAATATCTTCTATTTTTGTGAGTTTAAGCTATTAGACCTAGAACCTAAAACTCAGTTATGAACAAAAATTAACCTTTAACATTTTTTTAGAGAAATTCCGCAAGAGCTGCTAGAGATGGGCCGCATGGTCAATGTAGACGTAGAGGACCACCGACACGAGGACTTCAAGCGCCAGGCGGCTCCACAGACATTCAAGGGATCCGGTCAGAAGCTCGGCAGTCCCGTGGCCAATGTAGTTACTGAAGCGCCAGCAGCTTCTGCGGCAGTATCGCCCGCCGAGGCAGCCAACCAGGAGGCGAGTGCTCGCGATGCCATCAACTTGAATTCCGAAGCACCGTCCACCACGCTGCAGATTAGACTAGCGGATGGTTCGCGTCTAGCTGCGCAGTTTAATTTGACGCATACTGTCTCTGATATACGTCGATTTATACAAACGTAAGTCCTCGACTTGCAGATCTTGCGAGCTGATTAATGTAATGACTTTTTAAATTTCAGCGCACGCCCTCAGTACTCAGCCAGTAACTTCGTTCTGGTGTCCTCGTTTCCCACTCGCGAGCTGAGCGACGACAATTCCACCATAGAGAAGGCTGGCCTCAAGAACGCGGCTCTCATGCAGCGCCTCAAGTAACTCTAAGTTAAGTACTCGTGAAGGCTCCCAGCGGGAGGGAGCGACAACCTATGAAATAAAATTGGATTGGTGAAGTCGGGGATCCTATATGGCCGAATCCGATGTCTATAATTGTCTATTATATATACAATATACCAAAATTGTGTGCTTATTTCTTGTATTTATTTTATGGCAGTCAAGTGATCTCTCAAAGCTACATATAAATCTCAAACTAAAGGCTATAACAAAGTACTCGCTTAGATAAGAAGGTCCACCTCGTTGCGCAGTGCGTTAATGTGTTCCATGAAGTCGGCGCGCACCGCATTCCGCCAGTCGTGCAGGCCATCGCCGCCCACGTGCTCACAATCCACGTAGCGGTGCACGAAAGCGGTGGATAGCGAAAGTTCCACCTCGGCCGTGCTGGCCAAGAGTTGCCCAGGCGCCAGCTCCAGGCGATTGAGTAATGTTTTGTACGCGGATCTTCGCTCGGGATCGTACTGCACGTTGTCCGGCAGAAGTTTCTTTCGCTCATCAAAGCAAACGGCTATTGTCGCCAGTTCAAAACGAGCGGTTTCGGAAGAGAAGTGGCGCAACTGCTGCTGCAGCGATCCTTTTGCCTGACCCATAGAGAATCTGGAGTTGGGGAAAAACAGCTCATTGGGACGCAGTAGAAGAGTAAAGCTGGCTTGGTTCACATTCCGCAGAAGGCAATCCGAGAGGATCAGTTGATGAATCCGTGATTGCGTGCCGTTTGTTTGCCGAAAAGGAAAGTTAAAGGGTAGGGCGTATAGATGAATGTTGGTCCGTCCGAGCAGGTGAATCACTTCCTCGGGCAGCTCATCGTAGTTGTAGACCAGAAAATGTTCGATTCCTATGGCTTGGTGGAACAGGAAGAACTGTAGCAGTGCATTTTCACTGCGAGCAAATTTCGACGTCATATTAAAGTCCACAAGATCCAAGCACACCGTTGCTGGTAGGCGATCGCTCTTCTTTCCTGCTGGTTTTAGGTTCCGCAGGCGTAGCTTTACGGGACTCTTGGTGGTTGTAATGTCCGTGAAGGAGACACTACCTGGCTGTCCGAAATCCCGGCTCACTTGACAGAAGAAGTGATAGCTTGTAAAGTTCGAGGACTTATCGTCCACTAGGCTTTCGATGGAGTCCCGCTGGAAGCGAAACTTTCCCTGCAGACTGCGCCCGCCCAGAAGGTCCAGGCTGCATCGGAAATCAACCACAGCTCCCTTTTTTCCAACCACGAGGACGTGGGCTTCGCCACCGGCTACCAGTTCGTTGCGGATCCAAAAGGCGGAGTAGGCGTGGAACGAGTCGCCGATCACTTGCCACACGGGAAGTGGGCGTCCCAAAAGTGCCTTTGGGTCCTCCTCCTTTGTTCCATTCTCCAGACGCCGCAGCACAGCGGCATCGTTGCGTCCGAAGAAGTTCACGTACTTGAGCACATATTTCAGCCGGTTGTTCTCGGTTTTGTACATCAGAAGTATGCCCACGCTGAGGCACGAGATTACCAGCAGCACCAGCTGTTGGTACTTACGCATTTTGTTTATTTTGATTGCTTTAAAAAATAATAACAATTAAAAATACACTTCCCAATCGGAACCCGCCAGCTACAGCTGTTTTTTAGAGCTGTCGAGTACTGTTTATTTTCAGAATGCTAGTTAACAGATCAATAACAGCTGTTAGGCCTGGGCGCTATAAAAATAAGAAACTTTCAGGAAGTTTAGATTGAAATTAAATTTAATTTATATTTTATTTATGCTTTATTTTACACAAACATTTTTTGCAGGTTTATATATATATTAATTTACATATATATGTATATATATAACACATTCGTTTTCTATGCACTTTTTCTTTCTATGGTTCTAATGGTAGGTTGCCTCTGATACAGTCTAAGGATGGTGGTCTAGTTATTGTGCTATTAAGGGATTAATCTTATTAATTTTATTTTAGTTAAATTTTTTGAATCGCCCCGCCCAAACGAGGTGGCAAGATGTCGTAGTCGAGCGGGCGTTGCCAGATGTCAGCGATTAGGGGTTTGTTTTGATTGATTGTTGTGCTGAACCGGAGAAAACAGAGGGACAGTGAGAAACAGAGAGAATTGTCAATTTGGAAACCGAAATCCCCGTCCTGAGGCGCAATTTCCCGCAGCAAGGTCATGGCCAACAGCAAGGAGTTGTGTTCTATCCGGGAATGGGCACCGCTGACGGATGTCATTGATCACATTCCTGCTCGGCTCCAGCGCGGTCTCTTTCCGGCCAATCTCAACCTGACCTGTGTGGACGCCACCGATGAGTTTCTGGCCGTGGGCAGCGACGCAGGAATAGTGTTTTGGTACAACCGCCAATCGGGTGAGATGCAGAAGCTCAAGGCGGAGGTTAGTGATGACTCATTCTCACTCCCAATAATTGCGTGTGGTTCCCCCATTAACTTTCAGCTCGCATTTATTCCCCTTCCAGGTTCCCACTCGCATTACGTGCCTGCGGATTGTGAATTCAGTGGAGTATATGGTGGCAGCTGGATGCGCCAATGGGCAGGTGAGCATCTTCCAGATCCAAAAGGAGTTGCCGCGAGACCTGGACTTGGTGGCTCCTTGCACCCGCAGCCGGCCCATTGAGCGCTACACCATTCGGGATTTGCACAAGTGCGTCGTCAGCTGCTGCGAGTGGTCCAAGAATGGGATGAAGCTCTACTCCGGCGATCGCCAGGGGGTGGTGGTGCTCACAGAGCTTGACTACCAGGCGGTAAGGCCCTTATTATTTATTAAACCCAAGTACTAACTAATGGTAATCTTCGATCCACCAGCATCTTAGCAAATCTGTGGAGATCCTGAGCGAGGCCTACGAGATCGTGCAGCTCAGTGTGCATCAGAGCCACTTGCTGGTGGCTACCCTCTACCGTTGCATTGTTTGCCAGCATGACGTGCGCACCTCTCAGTGGAACATCGTCCAGGTGGGTAAGAAGGATCGGAAGCAGCTTATCGATTGCGGCGCCATCTTTCTAAAGAAACATGTGACCAACAAGCCACAACTCGTCTGCGGACGACCCGGGCTGCGTTTCTGGATGGCCGACGCCGGCGGCAATGTGTCCAAGACCTTGCTATTCCGAGACGCCGTGCTGCGCAGCCCCACCTGGGAGATACCCATCCTGAACCCCAAGCAGCGCAGTGAGCCGTCCAGCAGTCGCTATGCGGCTGTAGCCTCTGGAACCGAAGCGGGATACGTGGCCAGCAGCAACTTTCGGCAGCTATACTTGTACGATGGCCACGACTCGCTGCTCGTAACACACGACGACGCCACCTTATACATACTCAACTTGGATCGTCTGAAAGTGGAGGCCGTGGCAAGGGGATTTCGGAAGATCCTAGACTTCTGTGTGTGTGGCAAAGAGATCTTTGTGCTGGAAGGCGAACGTACATTGTTGCGTATGGCTCCCCTGCCCGAACCACCCAACAAGACGGTCAAGGTGATCTTCAATCCGCTCATGCCTCCACCAGTTCCTGTTCTGGGATCTGCGCACTACTCGGAGGTGGAGTCGCCGGTGGAGTTGCAGGCGGAGCCCGTGCTTCAGAGCGCACAAGAATGTTTCGAATCGCCTATGGAGGAGCAGTTAAACCTGAATGTGCCCATTGAACTGGCAGTTGAATCGCCGTTGGCTCAGCAGAACCGACGCTTAGAAATATTCCGTCGCATCGGCCAAATGGACTTCGAGGAGTCCATCGTACATTCCAGCCGAAAAACGTGCGAAGAAAAGCCCACGGCAAGCAATGCCTCGGGAATTGTTGAGATTGGTCATGAAACCCAAGAGCTGCGGTTACCGCTAACAAATGCCGCCACTCTTATGGAGGCCAGCTACTGTCAGATGGAAAAGTAAGTATCGCACTTGTATTTAATATGAACATAAATGAATACATAATTTTAAGGTGGTTGGTATGGCTTCAAAAACGCAGTCCTAAGCAGTTGCCAAAGCCATTTGTTATACCCTTGCAGAGCAAAAGGGTATTATAATTTCAGTCAGAAGTTTGCAACGCAGTGAAGGAGACACCTCAGACTCCATAAAGTATATATATTCTTGATCAGCATCACGAGCAGAATCCGAATACGTCTGTACGTCTGTCCGTCTGTCCTCCTGTCTGTTTCTACGCAAACTGGTCTCTCAGTTTTAAATATGGCGTTTTCTAACCACATTGAATTTCGGATTAAATTTTATAAAAATCGGATAACTCTATCATATAGCTGCTATAGGAAAGATATATATAAAGAATGGGAAAAAATTATAATACGTTGTTTTTAATTCCATTAACATGATTTTCAAAGTACGGATTTTTTTTAATAACCTTTGAATCGAGAAAAAAATGTTATTAAAATCCTACAACGTTATTATATAGCTGCCATAGGAAAGATCGTAAAATCTGTATAGAAATAACGGAAATAAAATGTTAACATCGTTGTTTTTCATCAGACAAGCATGATTTTTGGAATATTGAGTTTTCTAACGACTCTTGAATAGCAAAATAAATTTCATCAAAATCGGACGACTATATCATATAGCCCTCATTTAAACAATAGTCGAAAATATGGAAAATGAATAGAAAAATCGTCATAGCTTCGATGCTGTTTAGCCTTAAGTTCAACATATTTGATGACTGCAAGGGTATATAAGCTTCGGCTTGCCGAAGCTAGTTTTAAAACAGACAGGAGGACAGATGGACAGATGGACAGACGGAAAGACGTATCTCGATTCTGATCGTGATGCTGATCAAGAATATAAATTCTTTATGGGGTCTGAGGTGTCTCCTTCACTGCGACTGAAACTATAATACCCTTTGCTCTGCAAGGTTATAACAACATTTATTCAGATGTACTTCTTCCCTTCGATTATATTCTTTATTAGAAAACGTGTCTCGACGTTTATTTAATATATTTTAAATTTTGATTAGTTTTTGTAATTAATTAAATATGTATACTTTTCATTTCTACAGCAATGGGGCGGCTTCTCCGCTTGACATGAAGGCAGCTTTCCTTCAGCATCTGCCCGATGCACTTAGTCCCACCACTCTGCAGAAGACGGTAGCGGAGAAGGCCAAGACACTGGCTGCCGAGCTGGATCTGCCGGAGGTACATCTGGCACCTGTTACCCAGGAAGAGCTGCAAGCGGCCCAGGCGAACGCATCCCGGCTTAGCGAGTCATTGATCAGGTGCTATCCCACTCGTCTAGAGGAGGCCAGTGTCCAAACAACTGATCGACAAAGTTCACTGAAGACGGAGGACGATTATCAATCAGGGCAGCCGGTGGATGGGATTAGGGCTCTGGCTCCACCAAAGCCTAAAATGGCTCCACTTAAGTTTGTCAAGAGCCAGCCGAAGCCGAGACTTACTCTGGAAGAGGAGAGGGATGAAGATGAGTACACCAGCTTCCTGCCCGACTTTCGGCGAGCTGGAGACCCACTGCGCAAGGAAACACCGGCTACCAGTGACTCAAACACCTCCAGCGAGTGGGAGTTCCTGGACAACTAGTTCAGTATTAGAAATAAGTGCATACTCTCATTTGCTCTCGTTTGAATTTTGTGCACATTTATATATGTTTAGTTTTGTTTTGTTTGACAAAGTGTTGTGCTTATCAGATTGTGATCACCGTGATTTCCTTACTCTTTTTAGTGAAATTTACACAATTGTACATAGTTTTAGACATAGAAGATCGGTATTTCTTAATCCCTCTCGAATCTTTATTTAAATTTTAAAAGCAACCAAACCATTCCATTTTGATCCAAAAATTGTAGCTTAGATAGCACCTTAGAATCTGTGTAAAATTATACCATTTATGAAATATCATTGTACCCTAAGTTGTTTAAGATATTCGAATGCTTTAAGTAGTTGCTACTTAAGTTCAAGGTCGCTTTACATACACAAATACATTTATTTTATACAATCGCAAACCTTTCGCTCAATGGGTGTCCCCTCAGCAGGAAATGGATATGGACTGATACCGAGAGTTTGGACGTTGTTTTTTCAGCAACTACGTGTCAGACTTGAGCCGCCGATAAGGTTGCATGTGTGGGAAACGAGACGCCCACGGCAGCATGTGCCGCGTCTGCTGATTGCTGTAGCTGCTGCAAGGCTCGAGCGGAAAAGTTTTGGTGTAGAAACTTCTTGATCTCCAGCAATTATGCAACCCCGTCCAACTCGACGTGTAAACGGATAGGCCCACTACATTGATTGATCAACAAATAGTAATTCGAGTTTGCTCCGCACTCACTCAATTGACTACAATAATGGAAAATTCTAAGAAGAGTCGCCTGCAACTGGCTTCCAGAAGAATCGTAGAAGTCGTCTAGCCTGCCCTCCACAAGAACCAAGTGCAAATCGTTGCAGATTACTGAGAGTTTAGAGGGAGGCGGCTAGATAAAGGCCAAAACTTTATCGTACTAAATAAATTTATGCAGGCATCAAGTAAATGGTGGTTTAGGGGATGTTTGGAGTGAAGTCAAAATATTTAAGGCTTCATTAATTAACCAAACCACAAGGGTATATTGTGCTCAAGGTTAATCTGAACAAAAAAAACGCAAAATGGAAAATGCCATTAAGTTTAGTGTTTTTATTTAAAAAACTTAGACTGAAGCTAATAAATTAAAAACTAAATTTTACAGTCTTAAAGAAATAAAATAACTATTCAAATTAACCCCTCAATCTTTAATTCACATACATCTCCTCCAACCGAATTAAAACCGAAAGTCGAAACTCTAAAAACTCAGATCAATTTTATTCCGACACAGTTTAAGTGAAATTTAAAAAAAAGCTAGCTATAAGCATTGACAAAATAAAAGCACCGGAAATTTTCCTTGGCCAAACCATTCCCTTGAGTTCAATCTCAATTGGCCACTCAATGAATTATGGAAATCGGTGAACTACGATCCCCGGCGAGGAACAGAGATGGAAGGCAGGACTCAGCAATGTTTATTGAGAAATCCCACGCGTGCCGGAAAATTTCCGATATCGTCTGGTTCCCTTAAGTGCGCCGCAGAGCGTTATGGAGAGTGTTTCCGAGTCGAAGAGAGAGTGTTTTATTTGCAGCCGGGAATCTATAAAAGCGGCCCGATTTTCACTCAACCAAGTCATTCGGCGCGAACTTTTGCCTCGACTACATTGCGGTCCTCAGAACCATTAAAACGTACTAAATAAAAAAAAAAGTGTAAGCTAAAAACAAGGTATACAACAAATAAACTGAGAACATGAAGCCCACCAACAATTCGACGCTGGAAGTCGTCTCCCCAAAAGTGAAGCTGGATGATGAATTTATTACCACCGACTACGATTACCAGACGTCGCATGTGAAGCGCTCTGCCGATGGACAATTACAGGTAAAGCTTTATTATTAGAGAGATTACTACCAGAACCGCAGGAAATAGTGGTTTTGCGATCATCATCCGACTGAATGATATTGAACTGGGTGCGAAAAGCCCACTTTCCCGTTGCCGCGCTGACCTTCACATTGAACTTTTCCAACTGGCGGGGATATATTCTCCCACCCAAATGCGCACTCGCCAGCACTCAGAGAACAGGTCGATAGAATATTGTTTAAGTTTTCCGCATAATATTTAAAGTATTTAGTTGAAATACAAATTTGATAAACTCCAAAGTGTTTTATAATTGTATCAGTTAGTGAAAATGTTTTAACGAATCCATCTAGGATGAAAATTAAAATTATTAAAGAAACATTTATTAAAGCCAAATTCATTATCAAAATTATCTCTCTAATATAATATAGAAGAAGTATGATAATAATTTTTCCTGTATTGAAAAACAAATAGGTAAGAACAACACTTATGTTGCTTTTTTTGCAGTCGTTACAGAAAGCTAATATTAGCCATGTGCTCCCTGTTACGGTTAGCTTTGAGTGTACTCAATCATTAAATTAAGTTTCTTTTTTTCCGACTTATGACAAAAATCGCTAATTGGCTTACTCATTTTCACGATAAACAGAATTTGGTATCTGTGTTTTTTGGGTGCAGGGGGCAGCAAAATTTTCCATTATCTGTCAGGAAACCCAGCTGTGCCACTTTCCCTGAGTTTCTTGGACCTGCTCCCCGATTCGCCGTAGATTAAAAAGTTGCGATAAGCGGCGGGGGCGGCGTCTTACTCACTTATGTTACACTAAGCGTGACAGTTAAGTTTATTGATTATTCGGAGAAACAGCTGACGATAAACGCGGCTGATATCTCGTCATTATTCCTATTCCGTGCGCAGGCGCCTTTTCGGAATGCCTAATGGCACCTAAACAAATAGGGAAGGCAAGTGAGCCCAAATCGAATCTGATAGCCCATTTCCAAGTGTTTGCGGTCGCGGTACGGGCTCTGTTTACATCCCCTGCGAGCACCACCCACTCCTACATTAGCCTCACCCTGCAGACACTTGCTGCGTTTCAAGGTCAGGCGATGCCCACAAAGAGAGCCCCGCAAGAGCAACGGTTCTCTTTCTTGACCCCCTAAAGAGAGAGCTTTCGTTCGCCGTCAAAGATAATTTTGCCGGCCGGCTTTTGACCAATTTCGAGATGGACTTTGGACCAACACGTTCCCAAATTATTAATGCAACCATCGCCATCAATATCATTACTTATTCATCAGTTTATATTTGTGGCTCAAATCAAAGAGCGCGTTGACTCGGCAGAAATCGGGCAAGAACTGTTAAAATAAACAACTCGAAAACATGCGGTATAAGACCTGTTGCTACCTGCTAATTTTAACTGTACTCGTTAGTAATATGCAAAATTAGTAAAAGATGGGTTATTTTAAACTGTTTTTATAGCTTAAAAACCAAATTTTAAGAAAGTAAATACTGCTACTGGTTGGTAACGAAACTTTCATTCCACTTTCAGACAAAGATTTAATTTCACGAACTTATTGATTCTTTGTTTTAACATGTGGTGCTAACATATAATATTACCTAACTGACAAGCACTTGGTTAAGAGTTAATTTACTCTCATATTAATTAGTTTTATTAGTATTGATTACAATCTTAGATTGGAAGCCACCTGTAGCTAATTGCCTCTAACGTAATCACAAATATCCCCGTGTGCCAAAAATTCACATGGGGTATCGGCTTTTTGTATCAAGTTCGCTGGGCAGAAATCACGCGATCATAATTTATGTGGCTACCTGATTGGAGTGGCTCCATATAGATATGGTATGACGATAAGGTGGCCGGACCTATAATAAGACTGAACGGGTTGTGCCGTCGCCGAGTCCAATCGATCCTAACCTCTACGTAATCTTCGCAGGTGCACCCCCAGACGACGGCGCTGAAGATACGGACGGGTCGCCAAGTGCCCAAGCTGGGCGTGATGCTGGTGGGATGGGGCGGGAACAACGGCTCCACGCTGACCGCCGCCCTGGAGGCCAATCGGCGCCAGCTGAAGTGGCGCAAGCGGACGGGCATCCAGGAGGCCAATTGGTACGGATCCATCACCCAGGCCTCCACCGTGTTCATTGGATCCGATGAGTCGGGTGGCGACGTCTACGTCCCCATGAAGGAGCTGCTGCCCATGGTGGAGCCCGACAACATAGTCATCGATGGCTGGGACATCAGCGGTCTGCACCTGGGCGACGCCATGCGCCGTGCCGAGGTCCTGGACGTGGCCCTGCAGGACCAGATTTACGACCAGCTGGCCCTAAAGCGGCCACGGCCCTCCATTTACGATCCGGACTTCATCGCGGCCAACCAGTCGGACCGGGCCGACAACGTCATCCGTGGAACTCGGCTGGAGCAGTACGAGCAGATCCGGAAGGACATCCGCGACTTCCGCGAGAGCAGTGGCGTCGAGTCGGTCATCGTCCTGTGGACCGCCAACACCGAGCGCTTCTCCAACGTCCAGGCGGGACTGAACACCACCAGCCAGGAGCTCCTCGCCGCCCTGAAGGCCAACCACTCCGAGGTGTCGCCGTCCACGATCTTCGCGATGGCTAGCATTGCTGAGGGGGTGAGTACTATCTGTAAAGTCTTCAATCGGGGGTTAAGGCCATACACAGAAAAACATTACAAAATGGAAAACTTATACTTAGCAATAATCCGAAATACACCATTAAGGTATTACATTTTTTTATAACATTGCTTTTTCGCGGAATTATATATAATATACTGAATTAACTGGTATGAATTGATACAAGAAACTTTTTTTTTGCTTCTGTACAGGATAGTGTATTACCTGGTTCGAGTTTTTATAACAATACTTTTTTTTTACTTTTGAACGTATGTACGGAAAAGTTCCGTACTTTTAAAATGTAATAATTTTTGATGTTTAAAAATAGTTTTAAATTATTAAATTTTATTCTAGTTTTGGGTACATTTTGTTTCCATTTATGTCGTTAGGCTAACTCCTCCAATTCTTTATTTTCTATATTCATCCTTGATTTGTTATTCCACTCATTACCATTTGTTTTTCGTCGCAATGATTTTCCACAATCCATTTAACGGTTTTTGATTAATATATACTAATCCTCAATCCTCAGTGCACCTACATAAACGGGTCGCCGCAGAACACCTTTGTGCCCGGTCTCATCCAACTGGCCGAGGAGAAGCAGGTCTTCATTGCCGGCGATGACTTTAAGTCCGGCCAGACAAAGATCAAGAGCGTGCTGGTGGACTTCCTGGTGGGAGCTGGTATCAAGCCAGTGTCCATCGCCAGTTACAATCACCTGGGCAACAACGACGGAAAGAACCTTTCCGCTCCCCAGCAGTTCCGCTCCAAGGAGGTAAGTGGTCATGAAGTTTTCACGAGTCTCTATTAATGTATTATTTTCCCTAAGATTTCCAAGAGCAACGTCGTGGATGACATGGTGGCCTCCAACAAGTTGCTGTACGGTCCCGACGAGCACCCCGACCACGTGGTGGTCATCAAGTACGTGCCCTACGTCGGCGACAGCAAGCGGGCCATGGACGAGTACACGTCCGAGATCATGATGGGTGGCCACAACACCCTGGTCATCCACAACACGTGCGAGGACTCTCTGTTGGCCACGCCCCTAATCCTGGACCTGGTGATCCTCGGGGAGCTGAGCACGCGCATCCAGCTGCGCAGCGCAGATAACGCATCCGCCCCGTGGGTTCCCTTCAAGCCGGTCCTCTCCCTGCTGAGCTACCTGTGCAAGGCGCCACTGGTGCCGCAGGGCTCCCAGGTGGTGAACTCCCTCTTCCGGCAGCGCGCCGCCATCGAGAACATCCTGCGCGGTTGCATCGGCCTGCCGCCCATTTCCCACATGACGTTGGAGCAGAGGGTAAGCCGGATTTACACAAATTGCTGTCCTAAACGAAACTAAATCCTTGCTTTATCCACAGTTTGACTTCGCCACCATCACGAATGAGCCGCCCATGAAGAGGGCAAAGGTCTTGGGCCAAGCCTGCGCCGTGGACTCTGCCGCCAATGGCAAGAAGCTCCATGCCAATGGACACACCAACGGCTCCGCCAAACTGTCCACCAACGGAAACGGCTACTGATGCATGACTTTTGAAGGCAATGGGTTTCACATCGGAATTATATAACTTGCATATATATATGATTTTAATTGGATAAATTACAAACTAGACTTAAGCTACTATTACTAACTAACCCGATTAAATATAAAAGGCCTGACGGACTGTTGCTCTGTACCACAAACAAAGTGTTTCTTATTATTGCTATGTTTGTTAGTTTGATAATAAACGCGATTTGCAATTCCGCGATTATGCTGAGATTGATTTGATTACTTTGATTACCAGAAATACGTGTTTGTTGTTCTATATCGCTGCTGCGTCAGCTCTCCTTATCGAGTGCGCTGCTAGTCGCGGATGGCTCCTGAGGCGGCGCACCTGCTTCGCGTCCACAACCCTACCGAGTCTTCTGAATGCTGCGATCGGGCACTTAACGCGCTACTGACTCTTCATGGATTGGGGATGTTAGACTGGACCTCTCTAGCGGGGCTAAGCAAGAAGTGTATCGCGCACAGGTCAGAAAGAGTCCTTCCTGCAGCCACTCCTTTACGCTCCACACCCGGAGATTGGTCTGGATATCGTCGGCCCGGCAATGTCTACGGATTTACCGTTCGACACCGATGCCCTTGGCAGCCAAAGTTTCGAGGTCCAGAGCGGTGCCGTTATTTGCCCGCTTCTCCGCTTGTCTTGGCCTCTCCCGCATCCCAGCCTCTCCCGCTGTTCCTATGTGGGGAGTTTTAGGACTTCTCACGAAGGATCGGATACATTGAATTCAATCATATTACTTTACGCTAAGCTAAGTCGTTTAGTTTTTAAATTTTATCTGCAACTTTCTTGTTATATTTCCTTTTCCAATAAAGAGCATACTTTTGCATACTACATTGCATACTTTTTGGATAGTCAATAAATTGTGTCTCTTAAAACATGGCTGCTATAAAATAGTTTTTTTTTGCGGAAGCGGAAACTAAAAGCTTACTTAACTGACTTACTGATTCCGAGATTTCGAGTTTTGTATAGAACTTTGTTTTCGTCAGAAAAATCAAAATGCATTTAGTGGTTTATTATACTTTGATATTTTGACTACAAATTGGTCACATCGTTATAAATAAATTAAAAAAAAGAAAACGTTTTTATACGAATTCGTACTTTAGGTTTTAACAATAACCATATCAGAAACAATCTGCTTTCTGATACTCAATTTTTATTATGCCTGTTGATATGCACGTATATAGATAACAAATTAGTGCACTAAAAGTCCAGATCTGATTCTTACACACCAAAAAAATTGGTTTTTGTGACCTCAAATTGACTATCTTTCAACATCGTTCAATGTTTTATCCTCTATTGTGTAATTGGGCTTACCTGTAGAATGCAGTATGTTCCCTCGCGTGATTGATGGGTATATCTTTGGCACATTGAAGAGTTATTAGTTTCTGCTCAACGAGTTGATACCTTATCGAAAGTAGTCAACACCCAAGTCAATCAATTTGATTTTCCTCCGGTTAAGTCGATATTATAATTGTTAAGGGGATAAATGCACGCACAATGTTTAATATTTAAAAATTGCGTAAGCGTATTCTAGAACTTATATGGCTGCCATTTAAGCAAGTTCAATCTTTAAATAACACTTTCAACTTTGAACTAGACTTTGCTCAACGAGTATTATTAACTACGATATTGTCTATTATAGTTTGGAAATAACAGGTGGCCACATCCAAACCCTTGCCCTTAAAAGCAAAATAGTTGGTCTAGACATTGGACATTTCTGAAGGCCAAAACCACCCGCAAACTGGTCTTTTGGCTTTGCTCTGAGAACGTAAAGGCGTTTGCATTGCAAATATCCCCTTAGCTTAAAAAAGCTACTTGTGGTATCCGCCTCCAAGGAATTTTTGTGGCGGTAGAATATTGGTTATTTATCTGAATATCTAAATAAATTTCCAAGGCACTTTTATCTGAGTGCATCTAATGTAGTTAGTGCTTACTACAATAGACAAAGGTATCTGGGTTACTCCGCGGTTTCCAGCCCGCAGCGATGCCTTATAAATTCATCAAGCAAATGTTGCTTTTCCAAACTCCCAGTAGGGCCTGCCTTAACCACTTAATCGACTAATGTCAGAAGGGCAAACTACTTATTTCTGTTGAAGCAATAGACCTATAGGGTTTCAATACATCTTTTCTAGAAATCGTTTAACACACTCTCGTGTAAATGGAAACATCCAGTCACAAGGTTGCTAATGCTTCTTTAATCTTTTTAAAATTATAAAATGTCATTGTAAAAATACTAAAAAAATATATATCTTAACATTCATTACAATATTCTTAAAAATCCAAATATTTTTTGTACTTTCCAAACAAATCATAATTTTTATGTTAATGTTAAAACTCTAAATGGATAAATGATATATAAATGATTTCAGGAACACTTCTTAATTTTAATGTTGAATTGCAAATACTTTACTATCAGCTAATCGATTCTGTGTTTTAATAAGTGCTAAATTGTGACTGAGTAATCATAAAACCTATTAGGACATGGTATTTTGAGGTGACTCATTTCAAATGGTTAAAATCAAAGTTATAATACGCAGTGACTCATTCAGGAATCATTTTCGGCATGGCTATTCCAGTCTTCATTTATCGTTATTGGGATCTACGTCAGGATTGTTTAGCAAAATTGGAACACGCGGCGATAGTGGGTTATACAGTGTTTATTGCAAACCGTCCGATAAGAACTTGGTACATTTCGACCGCAGAAAGCCGGTAAGCATGAACGGGCAATCTCTCTCTCATCGGAGAGAACTTTATCATAACTATAACTATTCCAGCTTTGTTTATCTTATCGCTTATACTGCGTGGTCCGCTTGTTTTGTGGCAGCGCCAGGAGCTCCCATGGCTGGAATGGTAAGAAGACAGAGGTAGAGCTAGTTACTAGCACCTAGAGTCTAGCGGCTAGATAGCTCTGAGCCGCGCAGTCGGCGTTTCGGTCGACGGTACGGAAGTGTTGGGTGGGTGGGCCTTTGTACCATAGTTCAGTCGTGAGTTGCGTTGCATTGCGTACGGTCCGAGGCTCCGCTGCCGATTGGAAACCCGGTCTATACCCTAGTATTTTGTTCTTAGCCCTGCGTCCTCGGTAAATAAATAATCAACCAGTACTAGCCTCTAAAATTATGCAAATTGTCGGGGTGAACTACAAGAAAAAAAGTGTGCGAAAAAGCTCAAATGTTTGGAACTTAGCGTTGCTAAAGAGTTATGATAGTCAACTATCTCGGTGCAAGCATTTTTCAATATTTTGTCATCGCCAGTGATAAGATACCCCCAACCCGTCCAGACCGTTGGTTTCGACCCACTGGCTTATACAGGGCATAGCTAACCCGGATAGATAAAGCTTTGCTTGCCATTATCACTCCCTAGACAAAGCCCATTAAGCGCGTGTAAACACGAGTGGGGGACTTCGTTTGATGTATCCGTCAATGGTCCCCGAACTGGAAGTGGTGTGTTGGAAAGGTCTGCGAGCAGATATGAGGACGGGCAGATAGTGCCCAGCCTATCCGCATAGGTGTCAGATATAAGCTATTAATCAATGTGACGCAGCCCCAGGCCCGAGGCTGAGTCAGAGCACCTGCTCCACCCTCTATCGGAGCACCCCGATTTGGGACTTACCACTTGCGACTTTGACAAACGACCCGTCTACTCCCACTCGTCCACACCAAATCCCCGCGCTTACAGGCTCTCCTATCGGAATTGATAAGCAAAACTATATAGACCCTGGGCCACAGACGGGGCAACATCGTCGGTGAAATGGCTTACGCTTAAGTTGGCGCGTAGACCGAAGGCAAAGTCCCCGGCCACGGCCACCAAAAGAATGGAAATGTTTGTGCGGATCCCATATTGGCACTCATCTGTGGAAACCAACATCTGGCGCACAGTGGGAATGCCAAGTTCACTTGATGCAGCACACCCACTTCTCCGCCAGACGGCAAATAGATTCCTTCAGAGCAAATTCTGCATTTCACTGCACGTTGCAATTACGGCCTGCAATTGACTTGGGCTAATCGCTGTAATTGCATCGATTACCGAAACAATTAAACAAATGCAAGCGTGCTGGCTTCTAAACTTTTCCCACACCAATATGAACATTTTTGATATTTATAGTGCCCTCGATAAGAATCCGACAGGTGTTGACTTAAAATTTCTCTTTAAATCGAAGCTTATCTGATATGATACAGATAACACTGCTCATCAATCGCTCATGGAGTTTATTAGAATATAAAGATTTAGTTTACAACAACTCTCTAGGAACCAAGTTTCCTAAGTTGTTAGTTAAGTTGTTAATTACAAAACAAATGAAGTCTTATCTTAAAGCAGTTGTAAAAGGAATTGGAGTACTGACCAAATTTTAGGATCAAATCATACCGTAAAACGACCAAGTTCGAGTTATTCTGATTTAAGTACTTGACTTGCTTAATATGTATTGGTTGCGTCAAGATGAAGTTAACAACGTTCATATTGGCAAGACTCTGTTATGGGTAAAGTTTTAATAATATTCAAAATTTGTTACACAATTAACACTATTTACAACTTAAAAATTACATTTTAGAATCGAAATTTTTTAGGGACTGGGAGATGAAGTAAACGAAGTATGTTTATACATATATTGGTATAATCAAGACATTGAAAACAAAAATCATACATCTTAAGAACAATCTGGACAAATTTTAAATGAATTATTTTCGTTATAAATGCAGCGAAATAATTAGTGTGTTGCACTACACCATTAAGCAATACAATTAAAAGGAAAAGAGGAAAGAGGAAAGAAATATTACGAATCAACTAAAAAAATATAAGACCTGTATAAATTAAAACTATTTATAAACTTTTGGTATCAAAGTAACCCTTTTTGTTTCGCTGAAACCAATGACTAAAACTTCGTCGTAAAAGCGACCTCTGATTTATTGTCGAATGTGAATTCTTCAGGTATTTCGCAATTATCATGAAATCGAGCAATTAGCCAAAATGAACCTTGGTACCATTGATAGTGTTAATCAAATGAAACCTGGTTCCTTTTGTTTCGGTTTACAATTAAGTAAAGGAGTAACTTTCAACCCATAAAGACCCATATTTTTGATCAGCATCACCATCTGAGTTAATACATGGCCCGGACAGACCTTTGCCTGTTTCGAAGTTTAGGGAAAGCTCGCTTAAAGTTGAAGTTTTTCCAAGAAATATAGAGTATTATACATATGTTAGAACGGCCTAAATCGGATGACAATATCATATGAGGATGGAAAAAAATGTACAATGTTATTGTTTATAACTTAATTTCATGGATTCTTGAATTTGTACAATTCAATTTCATAAAATCGGATGGAGAAATTTAAAAAAAACCAATGTAAAATTGTTGCACATCCGTGCAAATAGCTCTACATTTGGTTTATCGTGTAGCTGTCATAGAAACAATTAGGTAATAATGGAAAGTTTAAAATAGCAAGAGGAGAACTAGGTGTAGTTCAGAAACAATTTTTGCTAATCGCCATAAAAGTAGGTTATTATAACATTGTCATTTTATATACACTAATAGCAAGCAAATATGTATAAGCTTGAGGTCGCTGAAGCTAGGGGTTCTTTCTTGTGCGTACTAATGCCCCACTTGACACTGAGATTACTTTTTCTGATTTGGGAAGCACATATTCAATTCTATAGGGAACAAAAGGGGTATATATGGTTATAAAGGTCCACTTACAAGGTATCTTATAAAAATTTAAGTTTTATACATTTTTTAAAATTTTAAATAACCCTTATTTACCATAAAGGAAATTTCACCTACAAATTTTTAATTCCCATTTACTTAATGGCTCTATACCATGATTACAGTATTGCAGGAAAATACAAAATGTGACAAAAAAATGGAATCTTACCATATATTTCAGGCTCTATAATTTTATTGCAAAGTTCTGACAGAAATTATATGAGCGTATAGTTACTGATCGCCATTGTATAGATTTAAGTTGAACGGCTTGTGCTCCATGTTTATTTACTTATTATTTGTAAAGAAAATTGGATTAAGTCACTAAATAACCTGCAAATAAACGATGTTTAATTAAGTTGGAGATAGTGCTGCTTACACAGGCCAAAAATGACCACATAAATATTGAGTGCATTGATAAAAATACTCGTAGCGCATTACACATTTAATTGACCGTGTCTGATACAGACGATAGGAGGATAAACAATATGACATCGTGTTGCTGGGAGGCACGCAAAGTAATTAATTTCGTTGATAACCTGTTACTATTTACTTTGGCCAAGGAAGAACACTTGCTTATCCGATTTTTCACTCATTGCAGTTGCCAAATGAATACCGACGACATGGAAACGCAGAAGAAAGCGGAAGCAGACAACAAGTACATAGTGAAATATCGCCAGCAGTATTACGACTTGTCCAGGTTTATGCACAAGCATCCGGGGGGCATAAACACCCTGAAGGGTCTCAACAATGGAGACATGACGGGTCGCTTTATGAAGGCCCCGCCACATTCGGATGCGGCTATGTACCTTATGAAAGAGTATAAAATTGACCCCGAGGACTACCAAAACACAAAGTTTGCCCAAAAAGAAGCAGATCTTGATGAAAGTAATGGAACCATACGACAACGTGTCAAAGAAACCGAGGACAAGAACAACAACCATACGGACGAGAGCATGGAGGTAAGTTTGATGAGCTGCGTTTAATTTATAACACTAGTTGCTGGCTGCAAGGATCGAACGTTGGCAGAGTGTTTTCAATGATCTCTGTAATCCAAGGCACAGCTAAAAAATATATAATTAACGTAAGGCACGCTTTAAAGGAACACTCGTCAGGGGAATTCCATGTTCCTTGAAGCTTAGTCAGTCGTTGGAACGTTTGAAGATTTTTGGAGCTGCACGAGTCCTTAGAGGTGGCGAGACTTGTTGGCTAGCACGAAGACCTTTGCCTTCGAGTATATGCGAATGTCCTCTTCCACGTTGGTTAACTCCTTGTCAATCTCTGCTTTACGGTTTCGCACCCGTAAGGTCTGCGCAGTCATGGGCATGTGATTTAGCTCATTGACGAGAAGGTCGTAGCCTGTTCAAAACAACAGATTTTTAAAATGTGCAAATATATATATTATTTTACTCACGCTTCTGCGCATTGGTTAGGTGGGTCAGTCGATCCTGATCGCTAAGCAGAACATGGCCGCGCGGACAGTCGGGGTCCTGGGAATCGGCAAGTTGCTTGGCCACCGCCTTTTCTCGCTTCTGTTTCTCCAGGTAACGCGGTAGACGTACCTCATCTCGAGCTGTCGAGTTTCCAGAACGTTTTTGATTAAGTACAAATTTACAAAAAAGTATTTAAAAATGTACACTGTATAGAATGGTAAATTGGATTATAAGATATATGGTTTTATGCCATGCCCTTAAAAACACACAAAGTTGGATTTCATTAGAATGGTTTAACTCAAAAAATGGTTTAAATGAAATAGAATTTTACGAAGATACTTGATTCTTTTAAGACAACTATTTAAATAAAAATACACATTTAAGATATATTTTTCGAAATGTAGGACCACAAGTTCCATTTAAGAGATATACTTACATCCCAGCTTATGCTCACGACGCTTGGACTTGGAAGTGATATTTGTTACATTGGATGCCGTTGTAAAACGGCTACGGGCACTAAGTGGTGCCTCATCGTCCGAAGCTCCATAGTTTATGGGCTCAGTCTCAGTCATGGGCATTGCCTCCATTTCCGACATGTGAAAACGGCTCTGCTTTGAGGAGTTCGAGCGGGCCGACAGCGGCAGTTGTTCCAGTTCCTCCTCGTTTTCATACCGAAATGGTCTGTCGGTATCTTCGTACTTAGTGCGTGGCTCCTCGATCACAGATCTGCCATCGAAACTGCATCTAAAGAACGGCGGAATCATTTAATATACCCTTAACTTCAACCAAAGAAAAGCTACTTTTTAAGCGCGTTTGTGAGGTATAGTTCATCCGTAATGTCCTCGGTCTGAATCCCGATGCTAGTGGAACTGCGATTGGTGCCACAAGATTGGCAGCGATCAGAGAGCGGGTCTGACGAAGGCTCAAAAAAGTTCTCCGCCTCCACCTCCTCGGAGGGATCATAAAGAATGGGATTGCGCTCCTCGAGGCCATCAAACCGTTCACCATCCGCAGGAATGGCCACGGCCAACTGGTGCTGTGAACGTGAGCTGCTTCGGGTGTTCTGCAACGAGTTCTGTTGTGCAGCTTTTAACCTAGCTGGTGGCTTTTCCGCCTTAGACTCCTTAATTTCTGAGGAAGTACGTCGTAACTGGGGCATCCATTTGGGACGTACCGGCTCCTTGGCGGCCAACTTCTGGCTGGTGCTCTTCTCCAGCGAACGAAGGCTCACCTTATTTTCCTTGAGGAAGTTACGGGATTGCGTGACGCCTGTGGGAACGGAGACCAAAACAAATTACCAACTGGTTGCCATGGCTGATTGACTGTTTGGAAAATGGTATCTTACGCGGCACCGAAAAGATGCCCTTCAGCGTTGGGATCGGGCGTACTGATGTATTCGACATGGTCAACCTGCTCCCGGAGAATTAGCAAGGCGACTGGAGTTAGAGAAATCTACTTTTGTCTACGGCGAGTGGAAACTGCGTCGTTATGTGTAAAGTACTGGACAGGTTTAAATGACAGTTTTGAACCAGCTGCTTATGACTTTATCTGCTTATCGATAACCGATATAAGTATTTTTGTATCAGGTGTTGCGGTTGGTAACACTTACAGATATAAAGGGTATTTCACATCGGAATTTTTTTATTAATTCCTAAAATAAAATACTTAGTCATTTTTTTAGAAAACTTTAACCATTACCTAATTGTTCGGAACATTTTCGACTTTCCTTTTATATATTTTAAATATTTCTTATAAAAAAAAAATGAAACTGCAAAAAATGTTATTTATTTTGTTAAAAAAAAAAATAGATAACAACAGTAGCTTAAATTGGTTAGGTAATTAGAATAAAATGGGTGATGAAGACTATTTTAATTGACATTGTTGAACTATATATTTCAGCACTTGGTAGATTGGTCCAAGCCTATGCTTCCGCAGATCGCCAACATAACCGAGTGTTACGATGAGTGGGTGCACAAGCCGGTGGACAGACCTCTTCGGCTCTTTGGGCCTTGGTACTTGGAGATGTGCACAAAGACGCCATGGTGGTTGGTGCCCACATTCTGGATCCCGGTGATTATTAAGAGTGGATTGGAAGAAATTACCAGCAGCTGGCAGTATAAAAACCAGGTGAGAAGTCATTCAGATAATGATTGAATCCCCTTCTGGTATAAACTTTTTCAACTAAGTAAAAATCTTATCTATTTAAGCTTGCGATACTCTTTGGATACTTCTTGTGCGGTGTGCTTCTGTGGTCCTTCCTGGAGTATACACTCCACCGCTGGGTGTTTCACGTAAAGCTGAACAGCAACAGTGGCAAATGGATATGCACGTTCCACTTCATGATCCACGGACTGCACCACAAGGTGCCCTTCGATCCGATGCGACTGGTGTTCCCGCCTCTTCCGGGAGCACTGCTCGCCGCGATCATTTACACGCCTCTCTCCTTTGTCCTTTCGCATTCCCGCATGGTCCTTTGCGGAGCCCTGACCGGTTATCTATGCTACGACATGATTCACTACTACCTTCACTACGGCAATCCCTCCACAGCCGCCTTCGTACACATGAAGCGGTACCACCACCACCATCACTTCTCGCACCAAACTCTTGGATACGGCATCAGCAGTCCGTTGTGGGACGTCGTCTTTAGAACAAGGATTCACCTTCGCAAGCTGAGGTACCAACTGCGCTGGTCCTAGCCGCAATCACAGGCTACAAAACAGTGCCACTACAGAACAAATTAAACTCGGTAAATGAATGCAACAAAGTTGCAGACCGATCAAAAAATGCAATCAAAGGGGCTACATTCGTTTTGTATACGGTCATAATTAAGTATTAGGATTAAAAATATTTTGTAAGTCTTATACTGATTTCTTTTTAACAGGAATAAACTTCCAATGATACCAAAGAAAGAATCGACCACCTCTTTTCAAAAACGTATTTGTATTGCAAATCACTAAAAACTGCGATTACGGCTTAGGTTAAGTATTCAAAATTAGGAAACTGAACACAAAACATATCAGTCTCTAATATGTTAACTAATAAAAAGATAGTTGAATTTATTTGTTGTTCTTGAAACTGTGTTGTTCAACTTGAAAATCTTTGTTCTTCGCATTATTTAAAAATGCGAACCAAAGCTGGTAAGACTTTTAATATTTACTTAAAAATTAAAGCAGGTATTTCGAAAAATAAGCATGAATCTATGATAGTTAATTAGCAACCTTTTAATGGTCATTGCCATTTTTAATTATTTCTCAATCCACCTGTTCAAATTTAGCGCCATTTTTCCATCGGTTATTGGCAACTTAAATCGAAAGACAGCTATGATTTCGCTGGAGACACTTGGTCACACTGGCAAATACCCAGCGAAAGTTTTGTTTATTTTTTTTGGGGCCCCCAATTCTGCTGCTGGAAAAATGCTAAATGCCAAGATCGGCAAGGTCGGCAAAGTGCTGGTTTGCGGAATGAAGGGCGTGGGCAAAACAGCGCTCATCGAGCAGCTGGTCTATGGGCACGTCAATCCGGAAACAGTAAGTTGCCCGCTGGGCAAGCCCAAAGAAATAGGGCTCAACATCGGAATTTAATTACAGGAACTTCATCCCACCATCGAGGACATCTACGTTGCCAGTGTGGACACGGGAAGGGGTGGAGCACGAGAGACCCTGCGCATCTACGACACTGCCGGACTGCAGGGCGAACAGCAGCAGCTGCCGCGTCATTACCTTCAGTTTCCGGACGCCTTCGTTTTGGTCTACGACCCTATGGATCCGCGCAGCCTGGACATGCTGGCCGATATTAAGACTGACATCGAGAAGCACAAGGAGAAGAAGGAGATTCCCGTCGTGGTGTTGGCCAATGTGCGGGCACGAGCAGCTCCCAATCCCGTGGAAAAGGTCATGGACCGCGCCAACATATGGTGCCAACGGGAGCGCATCAAACACTATACGGTGAACGCGATGGAACGGCCTTCCCTATATGAGCCCTTCACTTCGCTGTGCGCCCGCCTGCATCCAACACAGACGAAGAGCACCTTCCCTCAGCTGCGACAGGTGATGCAAAACCGGCAGAAGAGCGAGGCCTAAGTGATCTGATAACCATGACGGGAGCTATAATATTTAAGTTTTATTCAGGGGGCTTCCAAAAGATTTGCTTGTGGGATTCCCCTAACTGTACTTGTACTATTAATCTAACTAGTGTTTACTTGCCTTGTATTAACACTGAGCTTCAATGTGGGCCTGAGCTCGAGCCACTTGTACTTATGACTATCTGTTTGTGTGTGTCTAATTGTATCTAGTATTTATTACACCCAAATGTCTTATCTCATTGGGAGAGCATTATAATCAGTTATCAGTATTCAGCGTTCAATCAAAGCTCTAACGAAGGCGTAGTGATTAAATAACAAACCCAAATTTTTACTCTGCGGAAATCCGTTTGGATCAGATCAGTCGATTGTAGGCCTCTTCATCGCGAGCAATGATTTTCCGTGCTGCCTTTTTAATTGCTTTACTCGTGCCGATCTCAGCCGCTCATGTGGCTTTCGGAATGGGCATTACAGTGCCGGGCACTCGATGGTGTGGGCCCGGAAACCTGGCCGAAAATTATGACGACCTGGGCACTGAGCGAGAAGTGGACATTTGCTGTCGGGCACACGACAACTGTGACGAGAGGATTCCACCGAAAGAGGAGGCCTATGGCTTGACGAACGACGGCATATTCCCCATGTAAGAAAATTGCGATTAAATGAACGTTTGACTCGACTTGTGTGTCAATCCTCCTGCAGATTTTCGTGCGCCTGTGAGTCAGCTTTCCGGAGTTGTCTCTCTGCTCTGCACAATGGACACTCCTTGGCTCTTGGCAGGATTTACTTTCATACCAAGGAGGTATGCTTCGGCTACGGGCACCCTATCGTTTCCTGTCGCGAGAAGCAAGCTGACTTGTTCGAGACACGATGTCTCAGCTACCGAGTGGACCAAGGTCAGCCCAAGCGCTGGCAGTTCTACGACTTGGCACTCTACACACACATAAGTGCGAGCGTAGAGGACTCCCGAGACTGAACTTCGACATCTGCAGGGCGATAAGACTTCGATTGTATACAAAACGGATTGCGTGTAGAAATCTATTATGATTAAGAATTAGAATGTGCAAGTACGAGTGTAATTACATTTATTTGGTCATTAATAAAAGATTAAAACATTTTATAAAAAAGTAAAGCTTTCCAGCTATCCAGCTTTCCATTAATTATAACGACGCTATAAATTTAAAAACCATTTTGCAAAAACTAACATTTTTGAAATTATTTTTACAAATTTATATGGATTGCTTTTTTAAAAAAAAATTTATTAGGTTTCAGAACAACAATTTCTAAACAGCTAACGAACACTTTACATAAATTTTTTGAAATGGGCTATGCGCTTTGAAAACATAATAAATATATTTTATAAAGGCTGTTTTATTTGATTGTTAGTTTTGTTAAAACAATTTAAACATGTAAAGAAAATTCAAATAAGCAAAGGCAAATTCCTATTTTGTTTATAAACCTTCGTTGTGGCAAAGGCAAATTCCTATTTTGTATAAATCTTCGTTGTGGGGTCATCCACTTCTCGCTGGAATCGTAAAAAATGGCATGTCGTAGAACTGCCAAATCTTGGCGTTGGACTTGTCCACCTGATAACGGATGCAGCGCTTGCGGAAGGTGCCCTCCTGGTACTGCTTGCATCCGGTGGTGGGATATCCGTTGGCGAAGCACCTGCTCCTGCTACCATAGTAAATCCGGCCAAGGGTTTTGGAAGTAATGCTGTTCACCGCCTGAAGGCAGTTAATGAACTCCTGTTCGCAGGTGCACTTGAGGCTAAATCGAGTGAGGCGGTAAAAAAATCGATAAGGATTGTTTGAGACCTTCCACTTACATTGGAAACCAGTCCGTGTTGGTGGGCAATCCGTGAAGCGCACCGTGGGACTCGATGATCTCGTCGCAATGGTCATGGGCCCTACAGCACTTGTCAGTCTCACGCTCCCGGCCAAGATCTTCGTAGTTGGCTGCCGTGTTGCCCGGACCGCACCAATTAGTTCCGGGCACCGTGATGCCCGTATGCGGGACTGGAGGCAGCGCCTGGTTATAGATGTCCTCATCCTCAAAAATAGCTTCGTCGCCAAAGGCCCATGCCACCGAAAGAGGGAGACATGCAAGCACAACACGCAACAACCACATCTTTAAGCTTTGCCTGTCGTAATACAACTGAGCATGAGCCGTTCGATCCAGCTGCTACACACGAATGATAAGACCGCCTTACAATACTAAAACAAAATGTTTTTTTCCTCCGAAATCAGACAACTTAATCATTGGCTCTTATGGAATCGTAATTCTCTTATTTACAATATTCTACCACAAGTTCAAAATAGGCACAAACTATTACATTAATGAAGATGCAGTTTATTTGCTAAAGTTGCCTAGCTTCTAACTAAGAATGTCCTTAAAAGCTTCGGTAGCTGACTTGGCCTTTTTTCGTTTCGAATCCTTTGGCTCCTCGGCGTCCAGATTTTTTGACAAACTTTCCTGCCACTGGCTTGGCGAGAGCTTGTATGTGTCTAGACGGTACTTTGTGTAGATGATCCGGCCGTGGGGAGAACCTTTAAGCATATTGGCCTTGGAAAACAGTTCCTTAGCCATGCGCAGCTTCTGCGCCTCCTGCGAGGCCTTAAAGCACTGTTCGAAGACCCGGGAACCATGCCGCGTGATGGCCAAGTCAACGTAAAAGCCATCCAGCTGGCGAATTAGACGCTCTCGTGATTTTTCGCCAATGAACTTGCTCTGCATGAAGGCATCCACAATATGAGAGCCGTTGGGTGTGTTGAAAACCTGAGCCAGCTGGGTAGCGGGCAGATCGAGGATACAGTTTACCAGGAAGATGGGCTTGTTAAACTGCAGCACGTGCTGGGCAATGAGCGACCCGTGCAGGTGAACGAAACCCGACTCGTCGCTGCCGACTACTTCAAAGGGCTTCAACTTGATTAGGCAACTGAAGAAGAGCTTCGCCTTTTCCTTGTCGCCACTGACATGAAGGGCGCTTTGCAGAGCGGCTATCATTTGAGCCTGCTTGGTGCCCAGCCGCAGGCACGCGGCACTAAGAGCGGATACCACGCCAGTGTATCCCATTTTGAGTAGTTCCTCCACATGGGGTTGAAGTTCGGTAAAGACTGACTCGAAATCGGGGACCTCTTTAATGTGCTGGAGCAGCCGCTGGACTGAAAAATTAGTTCCCGCCTGCTGAGCCAGGAAGCCTATGCGGTTGCAGAAGAGCATGGCATACAGTTGGGTCAGCAGCTTGGCTCCTGCCACGCTTAAAATAGTTTCGAGCAGAATGACAGAGCTCTGGTGGTGAAAAACTTTAGGTAAAACGGGCTCAGCTTGTTTCTTTTCTGTGTCTTCTTCCGGCTTCTCCGTCTCCTCATCATCCTCGTCTTTAATTTCGATTTTGGTGTCTATGTCCTTCTTTTCCTCGTTATCATCGTTCGGTTTCAAAAAGCCCGATCGTGAGGATTTTCTTTGCAAAGTGCTTAAGCATGCTTTTGTCCGCAACACTCAGCGCCAAACAAATAACGCCCAGCAGACTTGAAGAGTGCTCCTGGTAGGGAAAGTCCGTAAACTGGGGCCACATCTCCAGACGTTGGGGAAACTCTTTCATCACATCCTGCCATTCATCTGGCACCGAGTACAGCTTTCGGTGCTTGGCCATCTCGGTGCCTCCCTTCTCGAAAGCGATCTTAGGCACGTGCATACCCACCAGGCAAAGTATGCAAGTGCGCATGATGTGACTGGCGCACGTGTCCCAAACAAAGTCCTCCAAATTGTTTAGCATAAACTTCGATATACGTAGCACAAACTGTCTGCACTTCTCACGGTGATCTTCACTGAACTCTGCCTCAAGGTTGTACTCCTCTTCCACTTGGGCTGCATCCGGCTTGGCCCGTTTGTTGGACGTAGCTGCATCGCTGGTCACCTGGACAGCTGACTTGCCCACTCCACGAAGAAAGGCGATCTCTACCATTTTCTGTAGGACGTGTGAGGCAAATCTGTCCGAACACATCGGCCGCAGACTCTCGCCAAATTTACTGAAGTACCGCTCTATCTGGACATCGTCCACGAATCCAACCAGGGATTCCAGCGCCTTGGACACGATTTGATTGGAGGCCAGGTGGATTTCCTGGTCGTGGGTCTGCTCAAATACATTGTTGGCCATGTTTACTGCGGTTAACGTGGGCAATTAAAGCTGATGTTTACGTTGGATTTCATTCACTCACCTCGCTCCTCCACATCCTCGAATCCCACCTTCATAGCATCCAGAATGTTGATGAAGTAATTAAACTGCTCATCGTCAATGTGAGTGCCCCGGCCGAAGATGCCCTGCTTGGCAAATCCCTTAGCGTTTCGCATAAAGCGATTCCCTTTCTTTTTGGGCCGCTTGCGTTTTGAGTTGCCATCTGATTCCATCCTGATTCTGTAAAATTAAAATTAAAATGTACTTTCAACGTGCGCCAGAACACGCTGCTCAAAAATATACCAAAATACAAAGCAAAATATACTACTTTGTGACAAAAGGGTCACACTGCTCGATATATTATGACGATGAATCGATGTTTCGCCCATTTGCGGTTAAATTTAAATTTTATTTAAATGTATTTATCATACTTCATTTATTATTAATTCCATATAAATCAGTAAAAAAAAAGGTTTTTGTATTTATAGATTGTATACTTTTTGGTTCAGATTTTTAGAGTCAAATGAACATATCATTATGCATTATTGTGCGTTTCAAAAGAAATGTTGAAAAATATGATATAGACCCAGTGTTGGGATAATAAGTAAAACAAACTAATTGTACACAAATTTTGATATGTTATTTATGGTAACCTTCAGTTGTTCCACACCCGACATCCCGTGCAGCACAGCATTCCCGGCAGTCCGCTCTCCAGTTCCGGATTCGTTCACGGGATCCAGTCTCCCGGTCTGCAGGAGTCTTCACAGCGTATTGGAGGACCAGGCTAACCGTAGCTTATATTTTTAAAACTATTTTCAGATAAATAAACACTGGTTGACTTAGCGCCGATTTTTTGAAAGTAGATTAAAGTGTTATTTTCCTCTCCCGATCGCCGAGCGCATCACAGCTCATCACCCCAACTTGCTGTTGTTGCTGACCCGAAGCGTCTCCCACCACCAACACACACCTGGCCAGCCCCAATCACTAAAACAGTTATCAGTTAATTAAAAAGTGTTGACAGCTGTGGCTTTTTCTTACTTTTTGCTAGACCCCCTCAAAGTAATGGTTACCAATCTGTCATGGGCCTTACAACCATCAAAAGAACATTGACAACACAAGGACCAAATAATAAAAATACAAAGAACAGAAATCCAGGCATGTTCAATTTTCTGTTGGCATTGTATCCTTTTAAGCCTCGGTAAGGCGTTTTGCAGATTTCCTAATGCTGAAAGACAGCAAAATTGTATGTGAGCCATGTTTAAAATAAATCCTCATTGAGTTCCAATTTTCTTAGAAGAAGAGCAAAAATTTTTCTCACATTTCGACAATGGTGAGAATTGCAGTCCCCTCATTAAACTGAGTTTTGGCATAAGGAGCAACACTTTAGAGACGTTAATTAAATTATCGGCAAAAAGCCGCCGCCGGATAAAAGAAGTCAAAATATTTTGAAACCAGAGACGAGCCATCAATCTCGACCAGACGACACGTGTGTGCTCCCTTCTCCGCCTGGCAACGCCAGAATCCCCAGGATAATGGGGGTGGTGACGTCTGCCGAGTGTAACTACAGTATCAATAAACAAATCAAAGAGCACCGCCCTTGGCCATCCAGTCAGCCAGTCAGACAGCATCCACCCCCTGGCAATGCTGCGCATCCTCCTGGGTTGCCAAGCACCGCCCCGTTGCCAAGTGCTGCTCGAACCTGGCCACCGAGGAACGCACAGACTCATTACTCGGAACGAGACACGGCGCGACCTGGATCCCGGATTTCGAGTCCTAAAAGAAATTCCGGACGCGTGTGAGATGCACGGAACGCACGCGCCGACGCCGTCCATTAGACTCTACCATTAGGCCATTAGCGTTTTCAGGTCTACCTGTCGCCCCGGATTAGAACTGCCGGCCCACTCGCATTGTTGCGGTCAGCCGATGCTAATGGGCCGGGCTAACGCCTTATTGTCGAGCATTTTACGGGTACTGATTGCGTAGAGGGCGTGGGAAATTCGGATCTTATGTATTGATTTTGTACTATCAATCTTTTAAATGTACAAAAAAAAAAAAAAAATCCTTAGAATTTCAAACTATAGAAATGTTGCCTTTTATTATTCTCAAAAAAAATAATGACTCCAAACAAGATTAAGTTAATGGCAGTTTCTGGTATTATTTTCAGGCATTTACTTACCAGAATCATATTGTCCGGATTTGATATTGAAACCTCTTTTTTACGTTGTTGTAGGCGAATGCGTTTGAAAATAATTTAATAGAATTTATTTTTAACAAAAATAGAATTACTAGGGGCTACAATTTAAAGTGTATAATTTATGCATGTACGTATATATATAATTTTTGCACGTTTCGATTTGATTTGCATTTCGGCTGGCCGTCCAACCGCTCTAAAACTAAAGCCTAGCTATTTACACAGATCGATGCAGTAATCATAGTTTCAAGTGTTTTCTTCTGGAGTTTAACCGTAAACTTGTGCTGCAGCTGGGTGCCTTTGTCTCTCCTTTTCTTCATCTCTCTATCTCTCGTTGCGAAAAATGCTTTTTTATCTAGAAGGTGTGGTAGTTTATGATTGCATATCGGTAATAGTCCAAAATTCTGTTATAACTCAAACCACGACTTAGTAGAAAGACAACGGAATTATTTCTCAATATCATGTTTAGTTAAGTGACTCTTATGGCCCTCTGAAGTTTCTGATAATAATGTACAATTTTTGTAAAACAAAAAATAAAATGTGTTCCATTTTCTAGAATTTATGTTTCTTAAGAAATTTTTGTTATATATATCTGCAATATTGGTTTTTTAAGCGAAGGGTTACAAAATGTTGGTGAGGCAAATTTTGGTTTCCTACAGATTCGACTTTTAGTTCACTTTCTCGGACTGTTTTTCCTCCTGTTTATCTAGAATCCTCACATGATGTTGAGAAACCCTTCCAAAAACTTTTTATGGCTTCACCTTTACTCTTGCTAGGTGATGGCAAAAGTATTTTTTATAGCAATCGGTGTGTTTGAGTCATGACAGCCTTTCGGTAATTGAGCGATATGTTGGGTTTGTGTTGCTATGCTGGTGGACTCCTGCAATATTGCTAAGTAACAATCCTCAGAAGAAGAAGCTCTCCGACTGATGCTGCTGCTGGTGGCGCTGTCGCTGCTGCCAGGCGATGTTGGCGCTGCCGGTGACCCCTCCGTCGACCCCCCCGCTGATCGCGCCACTGCCTCCGGCGGCAGCGGCCGCCTCCAACTAGAATCATAAGTGCTGGTACTCGCCCATGTCGTACATGGCGGTCATGGGCATGGCCCCCATCACGCTGTGCAGGTGCGAATAGGCCACGGCGGCGGTGAGCGGAGGCATCTGCATTTGTGCAGTGGCGGCACTCACGCCCCCTCCGCCTCCGCCACCCCCTCCGCTGGCGCTGCTGTTTTTGCTGGCGATGTTGCTGGCGGGATGTTGCTGATGTGGGTGGTGTTGCAGGCTCTGCTCGGCGGCAACATGCTGTAATTGCTGCTGGTGCAGGCCATTGTTGTTGTTGTTGTTGCCACTCCCGTTACCCGGTGAGTGCTGCTGCTGCTGCTGGCCACTCTGACTGGGCAACATGCTGCCCTCCATCTCCGAATCGCTGGAAGAGTCCAAGTGCTGCTTGTCCGTGGAGCCGCTGCAATAAGGAGACAGAAGTTAAATTGTTAATGTGGGGGTATCAAAAGACAATCGCATAATCTAAGGTTGATATTATTACACATTAAAAACTTGGTAAATATATACTGCGCTTAAATTTACAGTGGCGTGCATAAATGAGAACATTTTTGCAACTATTGAATATATACCCGCCTAAAAAGAAAATTGGAAGAGCCAGTGAGTACCCTAAACTCAGAAGTTTGCTTAAAGAACATATAGGACTGCAACATAACAAAAATAATTGTTTTGTTAAATTAAATGTTTAAATTTACTACGTAGCGGACTAATACCACATAAATAATTGAACATAAATATTGAATGATTCGTTTTCGAGGGCCAATGCAATAATTGCTCCAATAAATTTCTGCAACTCAATGTTTTTTGGGCTTTCATAGAAATGTTTGGCATCGCTTGTCGAAACTGTGACCCGAGGCATATGCTTTTGGGTGTCAGCATCGCTTATGTTAAAATGTGTCAATTGCTGCAACTAATTTACTGCTGTCAACACACCCACACACTCGTGCGTGGAGCGCATAATTTATTTATAAACAAATGACAAATGACAGAGGGCACAGCAATTGCAATTGAAATGAATTCCGGAAGGAAACCGTCTGCCTCTCGCGTTTCTATAAATGGTGTCATGTTCGCGTTTGAGGTGTCGCCTCAGGGGCTCCGAGAAGAAGCCAGGGGAGGAAGTGAGAGGGGTATAGAGGGGTATAGCCAGAGGGAAAGGGACAGCGAGCGTTCCCCAGAGCATTCGGATATGCAGCATCTGATTTCACGTCTCCTTCCATGGGCTCAAGTGGGTGCAGAAGTGTTGTTTCGTTCCAATCGTTAGCAGCTTGACTTTTATTATTTGTGGCTGATTCGGTAAATGGCATTAGGATGTCACTTCAGAACGACGGACAACCGCCGACCGCACTTAAGGGTTAATGTAAGACGGCCCCTGGGGGTTGGAATCACCCGGTAATGGCCAATACCGGGCATTAACAAGCCCGAAACTCGGGCAAATGCCTCCTCTCCTCCGCCGCCGGCAATCATCGGCAAAGTGTTAATCTTGTCGCCAATTGCATGGCCGAGCACAATCAGTAATCGGTTATCAGCAGCCGCATCGCAGAACCAGTTTGCGAAGGAATTGATGACAGCAACGGGCAGCATCAACAAACAACATCGGACCTTTGGCACAAGTCGTGCTCCCAAAGTCTGAATACCCTCCTGCAAGGTGGATTGATTGTAGGCGGATTAAATATATCATAGGTTAAATACTACCTATTGCTTATGGGGATCTTTTTATAAAAGGCCTTATGTTTTTTCTAATTCTTTTATCTTTTAATTGTATTATTAATGGTTAAATCATTATTGTGCTTTCATATGACGATTAACTTGGCATTTAAACCAAACATTCTTGAACGGCTAGCATATTTTAATGCTAGTCAACTTCAGGAGTGATAATAAAAAGCGTTCTCCTGTGTTTGGCTTTAAACACCTAAATAGAAAAAGATATAAAAGTATTAACAGAATTATTCGATTGAGCGCTCTTTAATCTTCGATTGTCTGCTTTTCAGTGCAACATGTGTTCAATTAAAGAGATTAGTTCGAGCTCAGCAAAATCGGTTAGCCAGCGGATGAAACCGGACCGAGGGTATTGAGCAAGGAACGAGCCTCTTTGGAGGCAGTGCTAAACATTTAAGCGCACACTCGACAAATTTGCGATCGGTCGCAATGGGACAGAGACGGAGGACAGGACCGATCTGCTGGCCAGTGGATACACCTCCCAGTTATTTGCTGACTCCGCTTCCCCAACTGCCGCGAATTCCGAATGGAGGAGGAGGGGAGGAGCTGTGGGAGGAGGAGCTCCTCTGGGGGCCCACATACGGCGCAGCTGTGCGATATCGGCAATCATGTAATTGTAGATTGTATCCCGCGAGTGGCAGCCACCAACGGCGATGTCATGCCATTATTTCTTGCAGCGTTTGCATGAACTTGAACTTGGACTTGGACTCGTGTTTGGACCAACGATCGCCATGGAACTGGGGTGGGCAGGAGGCCAAGTGACAACTGATGGACACTACTCCCCCAATTTCCCGAGAGCGAGCGTTCGAACATTAAAGTAACGCTCGTCGCGGGCAAAAATCGATGGCCTAAGCACACCAAACATGAGAAAAGGCCCATCCCAGAGCGAAAAGTGGGGAGCAAACAAAAGCAGGCAGAAGTATATAAACAATGATATCGAATTACCACAGTTTCGTAGTTCTGCCCCTCTTCTTTATCCCTCTCCATCTCCATCTCCCTCCACCCCTCTCTACCCCTCTCTTTCCAAACACTTATTAACACATACAGAGAGAGAGAGCGCCCATTATTTGTGGGCATGGCCAACCCGAGTGCATTTCAAGCCCGAAATGCCTCAGTTCGGTTCTCCTATGGAGGAACGGGAGCAGAGCCGAGTGTCTCAAGGACAATTCCCTGGGCCAGAAGTGAATGTCACATAAAGTTTATAACAAAACTCAGGAGCAACCACAGGGGAGGAAGAAGCAGCAGGTTTTGGGTCTCCAGCTTGGTGTGTGGTCCCCAGAATAAAGGTTCTTCTCGGTTCGGGCTTTTCCTTTCCCTGCCCCTCTTTTTTCGGGGTCCGAAAAACCAGTGAGGGGGAATTAATTTTTACTTGTTTGCTCAATTGATTTTTTGTTGCCACAGCCATTTCGGCCGGAGACTGTCTTAAGCAGATTCATTAGCTTGGTAATAATGCATGATCGGATTATGTTTAACTGGAAACGCTGGGGGAAATCGGAGTGGGGGCATTAGAGCCAGAAACAAGTTTGCCACGTGAGTGAGTTGTTCGTTCCCGTTTTCAAATGCAAAAGGTCTGAAGTGGAATAGAGCATTTTTGGAAAAGGGTTAGAGCTTTAGGTAATACGTTCCAAAGGATAGCTTGAATGACAATGGGTTCTAAAGCCTATTTATAACACATTTTTATGTCTGTAAGATTAGTATTTTTTTAATAAATAAAACCAAAATATTCTTGGTAGAATATAGGCAATTGCGATCTGTTTTGTAGAAAAAAGTTAGAAACTTGGTAACACAACAACTTTTTTTAAGACTTCAGAAAAGATGTGGGTGATGAAAATATGAAAAACTTTATAAGCATGGTATTGCAATGCCTAGATCAGTATTTCCCAAAGTGTGGGTCGCGTGTAGATTTTTGGTGGGTACTAATTGTCATATAGATCTTGTAATTTTATTTAGGTGGGTCGCGGTCCCGAAAAGTTTGGGAAACACTGGCCTAGATGATAGATGATTGTCTCCCTGTCCTATTTCCCATGACATAACTGCACGATTTTCACACGAAAGAGGGGACTACCGACCATCATTTGGTTATGGAGGATGATGGCTGGACTGGGGCTTCCAAGGAATTCCATTGCTAATAAAAATTATAAGCCAATAAATCCTAAAAAACAAACAAAACGGACCGAGCCCAGAGAACCAGGCCCTGGAAAACGTGGCTCAGGGGATCGCTGAGATCGGAGAATCGGGAAGATCGGGAGAATCGGGAGGATCGGAAAGATCGGGGCGATCGGCCAGAACGAACAGGTTGAGTTATCGCATTGCGCGATCGGTACACAAATCTCGGGACGTGTGCTCAGCAGGACACCCAACTAAACGGGCAACGGCGATCCATAAGTGGAATCTGAAAAGGTGTTGATCATAAATTATCATTTAATTTACGCATGTGTGTGGCTGTTGTTAATGTTCGTTGCGACCCTCTGACACTCAGAGAAACCCAGAAACGTTCGAGGATGGGGAAATGGGCCGGGGAATACTTGGTCCACCTCACCTGGGGCTTGGGGACTGCGTCTCAGTCTTCGTCTTTGTCTAGCCAATGTCTGAGCGGGCATTGTGCCATTGTCTACAACTATGTAAGATCCCGAAGATTAGCCCAAAGTCCGAGCCCAGCGCTGTCATCGTTATAAGATATTTTATTATCAGTCCCGAGTCGAAGGTGGATAGTTCGTACTTCGTAGCATGTGTGGCGTGTGGAGCATTTTATGCCGGCCGAGGATTGTTTTGACAGTTTTTTATAATTTTGTGGCCTTTTAATTGCCTGTCCGAGGCGAATCAGATGGTACCTGAGAGGCAAGTCGCGTCCCCAAGACTCCCGCTGACTAACCAAACTTTTATGTAATCCTCTGTTCTCTTCAGTACTTTAGGACTTAGAGTGTTTGGTGCAAGTATCTTGGAGAAGCCCTAGAAACACCTTGCGGGTAGAAAATCGGAGGAGCGGCTGAACCGCAGAAAAAACAAATCTTTTTATACAATTGCAATGAATCTGATTAAGTTAAGAGAGAGGGAAAGAGTTTCGTTAGCAAACTTGGAAAAATGGACAAATGTTTTTTTGTTCTTTGTAAACATTCGCTTTAAATTAGCTTCTAATAAGATTTAATTTAACAAGGGAATAAATATCAATAGTTAATGTTCACATTACATGTTTTATATTATAAACAAGATTTTGAAACTTTTCTATGGTTGGTTTTCAATTGCAATAGTTACATTGAACAGAAAATTCAAAACAAATTCTTTAAGACCCACAAATCACCTTCTTTCCCATTTTATTGTGAGCTTTTCACTGTAAGTGACTTCCAGATGAGATCTATTTATTGTCAAGAGACTTGACACCCACTCCCGGAAAAGTGGGATGCGGAGATGGGCTGCCGCGGATGTCACAATGCGAAGATGCCAAGCGCCTCCGAGCGATTCAGTACCACCAACCGGTCCATCATCACCAAAACAACATCATTATCAACGCCATCGGCGCACGGGTATCGGGAATGGGAATGGATGGAACGGGGACGGGAATAGCAGGGAACTGGAACTGAAACTGGGGAATGGGGAACTGAAAGCAAACACAAAGCACAGACGGGAGGAGATGAGAAGAGAAGCGGAGGGAAGATCAGAGAAGAGAAGAGGGCCTCAGACGGGCAAAAGCGCAAAATACATAATAATAAAAACAGAATGTACAATAAAACGAATAAAAATGAATAACGTGCTGGCGGGGATTGGAGTGTATGGAGCAGAGGGGAGGGAGGAGGGTTGTCAGGGCGAACGAATAAAAAACACACGCACATTTTGTGGTAACCCGATATCCTGGCCAGCTACCCTCCAGCCAACCGTGGCATTCGACGAACGCAAAATGATGACGATGTCTGGGGGAGATTCGCGCTGGATGGTGCCAGAGGGGGGTAGTGCGCGGGGAAGGGACAGGGGAGTGGGACGGACTTGGGACTGGAACTGGAAGTGGAACTCGGACTGGGTCGCCTCGGTAGTGCGAGTGCAGAGTAAAAAAGGAGAGGGACCCGGGGGACGCCTGGAAATGGGACTGTGTGAGTGAGTAGGGTGAGTGTAAAAAGAAAAGAAGAAAGCCTTGAGGTTCTGAAACTCCAGTAGAAATGGCTCATAATGCCCGGGCAGATCAATCAAATCCAGCTGAAAGATGGCCCCTGAATTCCTATTTTATTTAAGGGCCGGCTGAAGGAACGTCAAGCTGACTCAGTTTGTAGATAAATTTTTACCTCAGATTCGCAAACGACATTTAACGTATTAATTATTGTGTGCTGTCAATTTAACAAATATTCCCATTTAAACAAGAAAACTTTTCTCGTAAAAAGACATTTTAAATAACACATTTCAAATGTACGAAAAATTTTATATTTACTTGATATCTAAGCAACGTTTGGTTGAAATGAATGAAATGAAGTAGCCATAAAGCTGATAATGAGGTTAACCTACATATTTCATTTTCATTTTTTTTTTTTTTTTGTAAGTACTTGAATTGACTGGAACACTGATCCAGTATTTGTGTAATTCCGAATCCCAAAATGTTGCTGTAAAAGTTTTTCCCTAAGAAAATATCAAATTTCGGCTAGAATATTTGGGTTAGTTGTTTAAAGCTTTTCACCCAACATCGCTCCAAACAATACAGTGGAAATTCGATATTGTTATTGGACGTTATTTCAACACCTTACAAAATGAAGCTCTCAGTAGCCAGAGGCTTTGAGCTAAATTCAAAATTTATATGAAAAATAAAACAAAATTTTCTGTTATCGCGTTAAAATATGCACAAGACCTGGAATAAATCGTTTCACAAGCGAAAAATGGTAAGTCCTATGGGTAATAACTTAATTGAGAATCGAATCCAAAAGCTATATTTTGGTTTTATCCCTTTTCCGTCCAGTGGAGGACCGTATCAAAGCCAGGAAAATTGGTGTACTATATGCAGCCCCTGGTCGAGCACTTCTTCGATATCTGGATGCAACCACTTCCCTTTCCGACTCTCCTCAAGTTCCTCTATAGCTGCGTGCTGCTCTTCTTCATACTGATCCCGATCCTGTTCCCACTACTCGTCCTTCTTTTTTACTATGGAATATGGCAATTCGTGGGAGATCGGCATTTCGGGGTGGTTCCGCCGGATAATTGGGACCTACTAGGAGCCACCTCCCAGCTTTGGCACTTTGAGGTCACCAACAAGAAGTATCTGCTGTTCGTGACCATGTACATCGATAGGTACCGAGTCATTATAACCGCCATATCTTCGACAGTCGACTATATGCGTATGGCTCTCTGCTTCGTCTTCAGCTGAGCCAGGATCGCGAAATAGCCGACGTTTATTTGCCAATTGCGGCCGGGGAGTTTGACTAACCTGTGGTTGTCGGAACGTATTTCAAGAGCTCCTCAAAATGTTAGAGTTTTCTCTAACTATTGGAAAACATGTGTTATGAAGAATATTCATTCCAAATTAAATTTTTTTTTGTAATTGGCCATACAAGTTTTGGCATAAAAATATATATATATATATAAGTTTTTACGAATATAAAAAGTTAAGTTTTCTTTATAAAAGCTAGGTGTATAGAATTGGCTCCATAGTTCACAGCTCACCAGCTACGCCTTCAATACTAAAGTATTTAAATGGTTGAAGATCTTCTTTAGATTTAAAGATCTTTTTATGCAAAACAGTGAACGGTTTACTTTGAACAAAAATGTTTAGGTATCCGTTTATCAGTTTTATTTGTAACTTACTCATCAAAAATATAGTTTTTGACTACTAGTTTAATAATGAAGGCATTTTTGCAAATCTTAGATCGCAGAGCCTAGCCGTAGATCCATTTCATTCCACCTATGTACCTAGTTGGCAATCACTTCTGTCTACAGGGCCTTCTGGCCCTGTAAAGGTAGTGCCTATTCAAACAATAACCACTTTGGCAGTTGTTGGGCTGTTCAAAGTGCCGCTTTAGATTCAGATTTGGCGCCGTTGTGGTTTGCTGGCTGCCACAAAGCTGCATGGAACATAGATACACACCCTCGTGCAAAAACAAAAACAAAAGTAAAAACAAGGAGGAGAGGAGAAAAAACAATATGAAAAAGTTAAAGTAGCAGCACACTGAGTTGCTCATCGAGGCAACAGCCATAAACATATATCAGGTTACCGGCCGAGAGGAGAAGAGGGAGCTACGCAGTGTAAACTATCGCCGAGAACGAACGTGTATCTGTGAGATACTTTTGTCGAGCGGCCCTCTGTGTGTGTGTGTGCCTTGCGGTTGCCACGGCATCCAATTTATAATATTTTTGCATTATTTCTGTTTTTACCATTTTTTATTTCCACTTTTATTACGACAATTTCTCGCTTTTCGCCTGCCTCACCGTTCGTGAGGCGCAGCGCGGAGTGTAGGAGCCGTAAGTGATATACCATTTAGCATAATGGAACTATCCTGGGGAAAGTTCGGGCCTTTTGCCAATCTACCGGCTAATGATAGTTGGCCGGCCGAATGGGTGGGACTCGAACAACTGGCAGAGTGAGCGGAGGAACTGCCGCCACTCGAAAGGGTCCCATTTTCACTTCTTTCGACTGTTTGCACTTCACATGACTTCCAGCGGCTGCAGAAGGACTCGGGCCGGTTGAGCGGACAAACAAAAGGATGCAAGTCGGCCAGAGGATGTCTAATATTTGAGAAAGTATGTCCTATCGGCGGCCAAAGATCTCTCCTTCTTCCATCCTCCATCCTCCATCCTCGATCTCCGTTCCCGAAGAGGAAACACCCGAAAGGAGTGCCGCAACTGCTTGAAACTATTTGCTTTAGCGGAAATGCAGATGTTCGGGGAAAGCGGAAAGGAAGGGGTGGGGGGGGGGGGGAGGGGAAAGGACTGGGGATTTTAATTAGTGACGAGGCCTGCGAGACATATGCCGCAGATATGCACACACCGAAAAGCAAACATCAACAAATCAAATAAAAATAAAATAAATATATAGGATCATTTTGGAATTTGGAACAACATGTTAATGACTTTGTCAGCGACTCGTTCTTTCTCTCTCTCCCCTACCTCCCCCCTCCCCCCTCTCTCACTCTCTCTCTCTCGCTTTCACCCGACCCACAGCGTGCGCCAGTTGCGTGTTGTCCTTGGCACTAATTAGCCAACCCCCTTAGGCCTCCCGCCGCCCACTCGGCGACCTTGAAAGTAAATGCCGTCAGCTTTTGTAATTGAAAATCTTAAATGCAAATTAATATATTTTTTTTTTTTTGAGGTGCCTTGCACGCGTTGACACTTGTCAGATATAGCGCAAATAAAGCATAAATATACATATGGACCTATTTATACTTATACGCGACCGATATAACCCATAGATATAGATCCTTTTTCGAAAACGGAATACACCCGAAAATATCTCAATTTACCAAGCGAATCAGAAAAAATTCGCCATGGATTCTTGGTAATAAAATGTACTTTCAAACTCACTCTTTATGTTCGGCGGCTCGATCTCTTTGTCGTCGATTCTTGAACCAATTGGAAACCTGTAAGAGCATAAAAATAGCTTAGCGACCATTTGTAAACACTCGCAGTTTTGCCCCATGATTAATGAGATGCAATTAACATGTGGAGGATGGCATCTGTGAGGAATTTCAATTGAAATTTGTCAAAAGATGCGTTTGACATTTATATTTCACTTTGCCGTTCGGCTTTCTGTTTTTGGCACCGCCAATCGCCGATCGACTCACCTGCGTGGTGGTCAGTCCTGTGGCCTCCGCCAGATCGCGTTTCTCCCGGGGCGATGGATATGGATTGTGCGAGTACCAGTCTCTCAATACCGAGCGGGATTTCTCCTAATAGAAAAGAGAGGCAAAATATTTGTAAATGAACATTTTTCAAATACGTAACATCCTAAGGGACAGCCAAACAAGCTTAACAAACTCTTAAAATCAAAGAATCTCAAATTTACTAGGGCGTTCCAAAAAATCTTCCCAAAAAATCAGATCTTACATTTATCAGGAAATTGTAAGGAAACTTATTTAATATTTTCATAAAAAATATTTTGTTTATTAGAATCAACGGATTTGTTTAAAAATAGACATCGCTTTACAATAAAAGCTTGGGTCCCAATTTTTGGCCCACAACATTTTCATTTCTAATGATGCAAACAATTCTCGGAAAACTGTAAAGATACAATTAGTATGATGGAGACGGCCACAAGATCCTATGGCAAAATGTGCAAATCTAATTAATATTAGACAAAAGTAAATTCGTAAGAAATTACTACTAATCACAACTTGTAAGAAAGGAAATGTTTAGAGTTTTTCAAAGCTTTTCTTATGAAATGCATACTTGCTTTTTGCTTGAGTAACTTATACTTGGCTTATTAGAAAGGAAATCTCAAGAGCTAAGCTGACCCTTCCGAAATCTACTTGCGCCCACTGAAAGCCTGGCAAAGAGTAAACAAAACGCTTCCTGACCAGGATGTTCCTCCGATAAAACCGAAAGGCGTTACCCCAATCAGCAGTTGGAGGCCTTGCAATCGGACAGGCGAGGCGGACAGTTGTACGATTTCCTCGCTTGCCACAATTAAAATGAAAAGCGGTGCAGGACAGGACGAAGCACTCACCTTAAAACAGTAGCTCGTCTCCTCGCCGTCCCAAATGGTGCGGGGCAGTGGAAATTTACGGCGAACACGATATTTGCCAACAGCACCCAAGGGTCTTCCGCGCAGTTTTTCGGCTTCCACATAATGCGCTACAACCGGGGAAAATGAAAGAGGGAGAAGGAGATGGAGATTCGTTGAGACATTTCGGGGTTAGCTGGAGTGCTGGGGTGCGGGGCTCACCTTTCAACCACAGGGCCTGGAGCTTGGCGTGATTTTGGGCCGAGAAGTGGTGATGCTCGAGCAGGCGGTACAGCTCCTTGTACTGGCCGCGGTGGAATGCAACGACCGCCTTCGCCTTCAGCACGGACTCGTTCAGCTGCAGCTTATCACATTGGGGCAGCGACCAGAGGAAGCGGCCCAGTCGCTCGATGTTGCCCGCCTGCTGCAGGACCTGTGCGGGAGATTCGATCGGGGTTTCATATCATGATCAGTGGCTTTTGGGGGGCTAAAATGGCTACTCTCGCTACTTTCGGGCATAATCAACCTTTCTGCTTTGAATAGCTCTGAATGTTAAGATCTGTTATTGGTTTATACTCAATTGTTCTTTTGAAATTTATCTTGACTCTCTCTATGAGCTTACATAATGAAGCAGGAAGGAAGACTATTTTGAAATTAAAATCCTTGCAAACTTAAATAAGTGGAAGCTATTTTTTTAAAACGTGATTTATGGTGGTCCGTTTATGGATTCGATCTTCATTTTATAAAGGTTTGTTACTAGGTTTATAGTAGGTTGTTACTGCCTGGTTCAACATAACATAACATAAACGTTGTTTCTGATATAGAATATATATAAACCTAACTCTAAGTTCCTGAACCAATTTAACTCGTAAAAAAAATAATAATTGAAAATATAAGATGCCATTATTTTAAGCCAAAGTAGTAAGTATTATCTAATTAATGGGGGCCACTCCTGTTTTCTTACCTCACAGACACAGGCCACCTGCTCCTGGGTGAAGCCGAAGCTGGGAAGGTTCTCCCCTGCCGCCGGAGCCTCCTCCGCTGACCACTCCGCCGCCTCCGTTGCTGCCGCTGTTCAGATGGAGGCCACCTCCTCCTCCGCCGTTGTGCGTCATGATGTCCAGCGTGCTGCTGTTGTTGTTATTGCTGGTGGCGCTGTTGTTGTTGTTGTTGTTGTGCAGCGTCACCGATCCACTGAGACCCGTGGGACTGTAAGGAGGCGTGTGGCGGGCGGTGAGAACAGCAGCCGCATTGGCCGCCGCCAAATCGTAGAAATCAGTGGCGGGATGCTGTAACATTTTCTGCGGGAATCGGAGCTTTAATTGGCTGGTTGGGTAAATTCCAACGACCCCGGGCTAAGTGCAAGACAGAATACTCCAATCGAACTAGGGAATTGAATAACCTAATCTAATATTTGCTTAATTCTTTGGTTATTTGAGCGCTGCAACGAAAAAAATGAAAATATGGGGAAAAGATTATTAAAAAATACATTTTAATATATGGATGTAAATTCAAATCTATACAATTTATTAATACATATTTATTTTTCTTTTAACATCACATCAATGTATACTATTACATAATATTTGTGTTTGTACACAAAAAATAATATTCCAACTTTTGAAATGGGTTGTTATAGTTAAGAGTGGAATATATTATGTTACTGTGGCTTAAAATTAAATTGTCTTCGCTAATCTGTTTGTACAAGGTAACCATTAATCCAAAAACACAACTATTGCAACACCCAATTTGGGCCAATCCATCCCATATTTATCGCGCTAATTAACCCACGGACTTTTCATCTTTTTATTGCCGCCTTCGATTAATATGGAAACAACACTAATTGAGACACATAAAACTGTGGAAACCACCATTGAATGGCAAGTGATTTTCGCCCCTCGCACTTGCACAGATGCTGAACAAAACAAGCGTGTCTGCTCGAATTGCCATATTCATAAGCAGTTTGGAAATCAGGAATGGAAATCAAAACAAAACCTCGGGTCGACCCCATGGTGTCAAACATGATTAGCTTAGTTCGGGCGAAATTATTAATGCGCGATGTTCGATGTTCGATTATCGGAAATCGGAAATATGGTTTGGCGCAGCCAGAGATCTCTAACCTGTCCGCACCCGACCAAGAGATCTCTTACGAAAATAAACTCTTTACACAATATACGTGTATATGGGGCGCATGGTGTTTCGGTATTCCTCTGATTTCAGATTTCTGTATTCGGTTCTAAGAATATTTCTAAAATTACCAACGACGGCGACGGCGACGATCATGCTGCTGCCGCTGCCGCTGCCTTCGCGCGGGAGTGAGCGAGAGGGCCGCTGAACGTATCCCCCGGATAGAATATCCCCGTTCCGGGTGCAGTTTGTAGATGTTTTGATATTTGCAATCGATCTCTGCTTTTGGCCAGACTGTCCAGATAAACCGATATAGATACACGCGCTGCCCCCCGCAACCCCCTCAAATCGGAGCAGACTCACACAGAGTGGAGAGTGGAGAGTCGAGATATTCTTGGATCTGTTTTCGGTTTCAGTTCTCGTGTGTGCCGGGCAGATTATATATACAAAACAAGAAAATAGAGATTTCGTTTTGGCTGCCGCTGTAACGAAAATACCAACGCCAAGTTGGCTGCTCTTGAGTCATCGGCCTAGACCAGAAGATCCCCCGCAGCCGCCCCTCCTCCCCTCCTCCCCACCGCCCCTCCGCAGCACCGCCCCATTTCTTCGTTTCGCTGGGGTTCTTTTCTCTGATTCGATTCTCGTATTTTTGTTGGCCTGTTTCATGTTTGACGCAAGTAAACAAGCAAAATGCGAACGTGAAACGAAATACGCGATAAATTTTCAATCTGTTTTGCGTACAAGTGGATGCTATCCGATAGATACAATGCATCGGCCCTAATGGAACGAGTAATTGTGGATCCAGAAGGGATTATAGGCATTTTACATCTCATCGGGCTGAATTAATAGTACCCCATAGACCTGCAGTCATACGAAACGACCTCTAAAACTTTGAATAGTGACCCACCGATTGCATACCAAGGTTTATGGCCCTGTCCCGTTGGCCGGGTCGAGATCCCTGCCCCCAAAAACCGAGCAAGAACACCAGCAGCTACGACAGCAGCCCCGAAAGATAGTCTATCTGATATCGGGCCGCATCTTTTGGCTGCCTCTTAATTTCCCCTTGGGGGAGATTCCTTATCGCCCGACTGCTTCACTGCTTCACTGCCTGACTGCCTGGCTTTTGTGGCGTTCGAATAAAATTAATTTAATTTATTTTACAAATTTTGTAATTTATTTCCAGTGCTGCGCTATCTATCGGGTTTCTGTTTCTGTCTCGTGTCTGCCCTCCACTCGGTTCGCTTTGTTTGACTTTTATAAGACTTTAATTTGAGTGTTATTGTCCGGCTGTCTCGGGAAATCTGAAAGCGGACACCTAAGCTCGAATCGCTGTATCTCCCAGATTCTATTGGGCTGTTAATCAAATTGAATTGTTGCGCTGCCGCGGCTGCAAGCCTCTGCCTAATTAGTTTGCTATCAAGCGACGACCTACAATAAAACCAGGAATCACCTGCCCGCTAGGTGATGATTCTTCGATGGATTTGATGGCACTCACTCGACGTGATTCACTTTATGGGGCTTTCCTCAGTGGGAATGCTGATTCCTGAGCTGCTCACTCCGAGGGCTCTGTAAGTGAACTGTGGACAGTTTTCCGGAGAGCCCGGATCGGAGAGCCCGGATCGGAGAGCCCGGATCGGATCGATTTGGAGAAGCAGCCAGTGAAATCTGAAAGGCTGTTTTCCGCGACCAATATCGAAATCATCTGCGCCGGCGTCTGTGTTTATACAATGTAATCGAATGGGGAGCCGTGTGCCAAGCAACCTGTTGTGGGCCAGCCCCCGTTCCGGGTAATTCGAACAGTTGTGCCGTGTTGCTGGCTGAAAGGCCGACAGCGGCCAAGACAATCGCTATCCGCCAGATACTTATGAGCGGCCAAGTGTATTTTTAACATTTTCCGTTTAATTGCCGCGTGAAGGGAGCAACGCACAAAGAAATCGAATAGAACGCGTCGTAATGAATGAAATTTGTCAATTTAATGGGTTGCACACATCCACACAACCACATATCCCTGCCCCACAGCTGTATTCGCACGCAATGTAGCTGCAACTCGGCTGCTCTTCGCATTGCTGCGCCACATTAGCCCAAAGTTTGAATGAATCCCATGCGAATTTGTCGAAAGTGCCGGGGGTAGGACCCCTTTGCCCAAATTGCGACGGATTCTGCACGCCTGTGCGTAAAATGATCAAAGCCCCTGCGATCAAGCTTGCGTATCTGCATCTGTTTGCCCGAATCTCGGCGAATGGAATGCGTAAATTTGTCAATTTGGCCACTTCCGAGATGGAATCGGGCCGATCCAGATAATAACCGAATGGCGAACTGCGAATTTCCCCCGAATTGGTTCACAGAATGGTACGCAACATCTGCTCCCATCTCCGCACTCAATTAATCATGCGACTTCTGACGACAAACACGCGCTGGCGAATTCGTTTAAACGTTTCCAATCCCCGAAACGAGTCTCGTATTTAACCGGACAAATGTCCGTCCACGCCCACTCATCGCGATGCCTTGGCAGAAAAGTTCCCAGCAAAAGCGGCGATAAGTTCATAATTTTTTGGATATCTAGCAGAAAATTTCAATGATAAAGCAAAATGATTTTATAAATAAACACCGTTTCCGATGGTCTCGAGTACCAAACTTGAGATGCGGGCGAGAAACATCTTAATGATGAATGAAAGACAACTGGAAGCGGTTGTTCCTTCGATTCGACCATCTATACTTTTCCTCTAATTAATAAACAATTCGGGTGGGCGGGCCGACGTACGTTCAAAAATTGTGGAAGGGCGCCTGGTAATCAAAACAGAATTTTAAATTCGCAGTGTAAGCAAGTAGGTATTCTCTTTCAAATACATGTAAACATGCATTTTCCGAGTGTTTTCCTACGGTTCGCCCCCTCTAAATTTTATTCTCAAGTGCTTCGAGCTGCTTTTCTAATGGCTGCAGGCAATTTGGAATGCGCCAATGCCACTACATACCGCCAAAAAGCGAATTGCACTTTGGATTTCTGTTTTCCCACTCGAGATTGCCAAAAGTTGTGAATATATTGACTTTTGTGCTAGAGTGATCAATTTGAAAAATAAAGGAATGCGACTTGAGTTATTTTGAACGGTTTAAGAGGTTAGACACCCACAATATTATATGCACTCTTGAAAGGGACAAAATAATTAGGAAGTTAAAAAAAAGTGTCGATGATTACTAAATATGTACTAAAATAAGTACGTTCTAAGTACGTTCTGAAATTTAAGTTAAATAAATATTGTAAGCTTTTTTAATTTGTAATATAATAAAATTCTAATAGGTTCACTCTTAAATATTTGCACTTAAATTAAACAAATGTGTGAACAAAGTATGTTTCATTTAACCTGACGATTTATCTAAAATGTAGGTCTACATTTTTTTAAATATAGTTGTGTCCCACCTCTAACAACAACTTTTCAAACAAGCATTTATTTTTCACATATGTGTTTGGTTTAATAACAAATCATTAGCCCTTGGCACTATTTTAAAATAAATTTGTAATAAAAACAAAGTTGTGAAATTTTATATTCAAATTTTTTCTCAAATTTATAATTTCCGTCAGACGTCGGATGACAACACATAATTTAAATAATAATGATTTCACATACTTATATTCTTACCAAAGTAATTTTATGTTTACGTTCAATTTTGTTATCATAAAAGATGTTACATTTTCTTAAAGGTATTTGATAAATATAGCTTTCGTCTGTGTTTTTTTAAATTTGTACATATCTCTGATGAATCTTTCTTTCTTTCTCCCCTTTAAAGTAAACTTTTTGCCGTCGGCAATCTGGAAACCCGTCGAAACCTAATCCCGTGGCTCACCTGTATTTTGATTATTTATTGTTGATACGTATCCGTGTTTGTTTTTAATTTTTGTTTGTTATTTTTATTATGCTTGGATTTGTGCTTTTGTTGCTTAGATTTTCTTATTCTGATAACTCTATATCCACAAATGTTAGAAATGGCAAAACAATCGATGATCTGTGCCGTGTGGTTTTTCCTCGATTTGCATATTTGCCAAACTTTTCAAATCGAAGCCATGTGCCGGTAACGCACGCACACACTCAACTGGATCACAGACACTGGCGCACTAACACAAACTTATTGGGGATATATTTCTCATACGCACTGTGGTATAACACGTGTTGCAAATTATTTTCTCGAGCTAATTTTTTCGCTGTTCTGCCGTGACTCGAATTAATTGCACTTACAAATCAGGGGGCAAAACCTGCGACGACAGTCCTGAAGAAGTGCCAACCAAAAATGGCCGCCAGCGGATTGATTAGATTAATTTTCTTTGCTTGTTTCTCGTGTTGTGTGCGTTGATTTGATGCGTTTTCGTTCATTCATCGGGAATTAAATATAACTTTGTGCGCGGAACGTCGAAAGACCGCCGGATCCGGCCTGGATGGAGTGAGCGACGTGGGGAGATCGGGCAGCGAACCGCTCGCGACGGAATCTCGAAAACAACTGAGAACTCTCCGGTTCTCAAACCTCCACGAACCGAAGGCACGCGAAACAAAAAGGCAGAAAATGGTTGGTGCTGACGTCGGTGTGAGTGCGCCAGAGCGAGATGGCTGACGGGAGGTGCCAGTGTGTGAGTGAGTGTGCATCATGGGGGTGAAAAGGCGCATGCACTGTGAGGCAAGTTACCGATTGCGATGACAGATGACATCTCGAATGAATGTTTTTTTTATAAAAAATTTTTTTGTTGAATGCATTTGAACTTTAAAAACTCGAAAGAACAGCTTAAAAAAAATTTAAAGTTTTAAAATAAGTTTACCACTAGTGGCATATGTAACAATAGACTTTGCGAACTGCATATTACCTCTTAATTCAAAAAATGAGAAAGGAAGACAGCATACTCCACAGGTAAAACAAAAGAATTAAGCATAATTTAAAAGATTATTTTTGTATTCTTCCTTTTTCTTGAGCGTTTACTATCTTGGTAATGATGCTTATCGATTTTATTTTTGGAACGTCTGCTAGAATTTTTGTTTTTGTTGTCGTTTGTACCACAGTGTAATTATTGCTCGACAGTTTTACAGCCACTGCAAACCGAAAAGCGTGTGAAAGAGAAAGGGAGAGCGGCCAAACAGGTTGGCTAAAAGAACGCCCCCTCCTGCTTACCTGTTCTCACACACGGACACTCGCACACAGAGAGACTCTCACGCGCACTGCGACAGTGGAGCAATAACAACTTGCTGATTGGTCAGCCACAATCACTTCCCAGCGAACCGGCATGCGCAATGGGCGCCATATTGAAAGGCCGAAATTGGAGGCAACTGTAAATGCATCGGAACTCCTCCTCCCCAGGAACCCTTTCTCCCCGCAACAAAAAGGATGCTTAATGCGGTACCTGTGAGTCCTGCAATCCCATTTAAGCCATCTACCGCAATTGAGCCTTGCATCTCCTGGATAATTGCAATTACTGAACTTCCTGTCCGAAAATGCAGCAGGATTTGCATTACCTACTTAGCTCTGGTTTCTTAGCTTGTTGCTCTTTGCTCAGGGTAAATTTGGAATTTTTGCCATTAATGAATCGAAGTTCACACTGATTCTAGCTTCATTAACTATTTAAAAATATATGTAAGTGAACAGAAGACCCTATTCTCTCTTTACCACCAACAATTTAATTTAATTTAAAGTTTGATATTATAAGAACTGTAACTCGCATTGTTAATGATGCAGATACTTGTTAACAATTGTTTTTGGGAGCATGTTAATAAAAATTTGCATGCTTAATAAAAAAACTTTTAAATATTAGCAGGACATTACCTTAATGCTTCACTAAAAAATTCAAAGATGACTTTCTATTTATCGGTAGCTCGATCTCAGCATGTGCCATCGAGTCGTCGCTTAGAGGACCACCCGAAATGCAAATTCTGAAAACGAGATGGGAAATTTGATCGACAGCCCCACAAATGTGATGGACTGATGGGGCGCCAGGCTGATAAACCTAATCAAGATCGGCCACTGCCCACACAGATCCTAACTGAAAATCTCCCGCACTGGCGATCCAGTATCGCTTACAAAGTCAGATACCTTTTTTGGCGCCAGGCCTCGACAGTCACCGAGAAACCAAAATAAGTGTTAAAAAATTAGGAAATCGTAAAATTTACATAATAACAGATCATATTTCAATCGAATTAGAAAGACAGACGGCAACGACAACAGTTGGGAATGTCAGAAGAACCAGAAAACACATAAAGATGGACATAAAACAAAGTTTGAACGGAGATGGAGGCAGTGAACAGCGGACACCGATACGAGATCCCACAAAATGTTAATGAAAAAGTGCGATAAAAATCTTGTCCAACATGAATGAGAAAAACGAGGCAACAGCTACAGCAAAAGCAACAACAACAGCTACAGCAAAAGCAACAACAACAGCTACGGCAAAGGCAACAGCAACACAGCCAACAATGCAGCGATCAACACCAAATTCTGAGGTCCGAAGAGGGTGGGAGAAAGTGCCATCATCGTCATCTGTTTGATGGGGGCCCTCGGGTACCGATGGTGTTAAGAATGAAGACAATAACGAGGCTGGCACACGTGCCCCCAAACTCTCCGCCGGACACCTGCTGTGCGGCCCGTGAGGGGTCTCCTCTCGGAGCCATCAACTTTTCTCCGGACTCGAGGCGCCCGAGGAGTCGCTTTGTGCAGCTTATTAGAATTGGTAAACAAACAGCCAAATCGTGTTGGGTTTTATGGTCCTCCAGCCGGATCGTGCGCACATTGTTAATCATCTGGAACTGGCCATAAAGCAGGCTTCATTGGCCATTATTAATTCGGTTGAAATTATTATTAATTTTGCGCCATAAATCTAAGCGCTGCGTGAAACAAACCCTTTTGTGGTACGTGTGGGTAATTAGCTTTGAGCTCTTTGGGATTAGTTGCTCATTAGATTGGTTAGCCATAAATTTGTGGTCAAGATATTCTATTATCGTTTCTTATGGCCAATTAGATTAAAAATAAGTCCCGTTACCTAAAAAAAAACGAATTTGAATTTAACGATTGAGTTAACCTGTGAACAACTCACACCCAAAGAAAAGAAATTCACACATATAGTTTTAGTTTTACAGCTATGCAGTATATACTTTTAAAAAAATATAACCTTTGATTTCTTTCATCATATTCCCGATTTTTCAGGGAATTTCTTAATTTTGGTTCTCTGATTTTTGTGCAAATTGCCTAATTTTCGTATATATGCAAAGGGGCTGATTTTGACCGAGACCGATATATATTACCCTTGCAAAGAGTATTATAGTTTCAGTCATAAGCTTGCAACCCAGCGAAGAAGACACCGAGCTTATCAACGAGTATTAAATTAATAATAATATTACATCAATTTTGGCATTATCATATAGCTGTCATAGGAAAGATCAAAAAAGCTTAATCAAATAAACGGAAAAAAATTATAACTTCGTTGTTTTTTTTTTGGAATCACGACTAACGATTCTTGTATGAATATCGTAAGACTTTATCCTAAAGCTCCCGTAGAAAGTATCGGAGAACAGAAAATTCGTTATAGTTGCGATACTCTTATAAAAATCGGATAATATAGCAGCAAAACAAGAAAAAAATAGATTAATGAAAAGGTTTAATCAATGCAGCGTAGCTTACATTTTTCAAAGTACCAGTAAAACTTTTAAAACAAATCTTAAGAACGTCTTGACCCCTTTGACCCTTAAAGTAGAAGCATAGAAAGCGGATTGCAATAGTAAAGAAAACTGGAATAGTACTAAAAATAAGTAAACAAATAGTTATCTTTATAAAAAAACGGACGTCGCTTAATAGCCGAGGTTAAAAGCGTATTTCTGCATCTCCCTGCTAAAAAGAATAAACAGTTTAACTGTAAGATGAAATGAAAGTAATATAATGCTATCGAGCCTTTCCTGGACATGAACTAATGTTTGCCCACTTCACACTTATTCCAGAACAGCCCACCGGAAATTTAAAAGGTCTCTCACGCGTTCCACAGCAATTCTTTTACAATCTCCTTCCGATAATTGGCCGCCAATTCAATTACGGGCCAACATTCACTCGCTGTCGCCTTGCATACATCGCCGGTTTTGAGGGGCTCTGGCCATTTGCAATTGCCTTGTAATTTGCCACAATTATTCATATTAAAAATGAGTTAAGCGTTGCCTTGGGTGCCAGGTGGGAAGGGGCAGCGGCCGACAAGTAAGTAATTTTCACGCGTAGGTAACTTTAAACGATCTTGGGGCCGGGCAACGGACCCGACTTGTGGGTTAAGGGGTGGCGGGGCGAAGGGGATAATAATCGCTGCCACATAAATATTACAAGCATCTGACAACTGAAAATTATCTCCTTCACTCACGAGCCATTTAAATCAATTTTACACTTCGGATTTCACAGGCGGTCCAAGTGGACGAAGGATACGATACGGGTCCTCCCCGCTCCCCGCTCCCCGCTCCCCTTCCCTTCGCCTCCTGGACCCTCTCCTCGTGGAGCCCTCTTCCGAAGCCTGGAAATTGAAATTTATTGAAAAAATGATGACAAACGAACGAAAATAAGCGAATGCAGCAGCTGCAAGGTGGTCCCGGGGGTGTGACGTGAGAAGCCGACGCCAAAGCTGAAATTTAAGGCCAGCACTCTGGATATATATGTTTATGGCCAAGATAGGCGCTGATTAGGGTTGCCAGGTGGTGTGCCGCGTTATGCTGACAAATTACTGATATTTTTAACTCTTCACTAAAGTGAGGCATTCCTTTACAATAAAAGAGAAACAAAAAAGGTTAAAACTGGTCCACCAAATTAGTCATTTTGTTTTTTCCTTAAATAATTAATCTAGTCATTTTGTTTTTACCTTAAATAATTATTCTACAAGGGTTAGTATAACGGTTTTGAGCAAGTAATGCATCCATTGTGTTCCGCAAAATAATTTCCAAATATTAAAGTGGATTTACAGCTTTCAACTCAAATAAAAAATTGTTTCTTCCTCTGCTAAGCGAATAGTGGACTGTTTTATTTGTATTAATGAACATGTGTCTAAATAAGGCATAAGAGTGACAAAAATTGAACTTAAAAAAAGCCAGTTGATGCTATGTTTTGCAGAAAACACTTGATCATAAAATGGATAAAGACCAGTGTTATTCTTAATCCATTTTATGATCAAGTGTTTTTTGCAAAACATAGCATTCAAAGTTCAATTTGATTAAAAGACTCGTACCTGAAATTACAATTTTTTTAATAAGAAGAAAGCATTGACGCAACTAAAACTTAAGTTTACGATGTTTCATTATACAATAGGAGAACGTGTTGAATATTATAAAAAATAATCATTAAAAGTAAGTGCTTGAAAGGGAAAGGTTTCTTTTTAACAGTTCAATGTCTACTTCGGCTTAACAATAGGGCTTAAAGACAGGACTTAATTCATCAATAGGTTCAGGATAGAGATATAATAAGGAATACTTCTTCCAGTTTATGACTCCTTTTATGT